AGTGATAGCCAATAAGAGAAGTCATAAACAGTCCCATAGTGCACTTCGGCATAACATCGATCCAGCCTTTCGAGTAACTTCAAAGTAAGTTTGTTCTTATTACCCTGATGACAGTTGGGGCCTGTGTAGTTACTTGGTGTACATCCGCTATGAAGAGTCCAGTTAAAAGCATCTACGTCATCAACATTTCGCCAGTTACAGAACCCGGATGTAAAGGGGCAGTGATCCCAGCGAGGCTGACTTGCTAAACGCAAAACAAGCAAAACAGAGAAGAACGTTCGGGAAAATGCAGGATTCATAATCTTATTGGTATCTGTTTATCCATATCGCAGAGGATTCATAATTAGTAAATTCGTCTTGGAATTTTTCGTTCGAGTGAGAAAACAGGGGTTCAATTTTGTGTGCTACCGGAAAAGCCGGATTTGAATTTTGGCTTCGATTGGGAAATCCGGATTCAAATTTTGCGGCTTTCAGTTCATGACTGGTATAGCTAGGGATTAGAATTATTAGCAGTAAATAAATAGAACACATGATTCCTTTAGGAAATTTCCATTTGGTTTTTTTTCTTTTTCACTTAGTTTATAAATTTCTGGTTAGGGAAACTTAAAAAAGTCCTAATGGCCGTATTCGTATTCAAGTGCCGTCTCAAGTGTGAAAACGGCCAGTGATGCAACATAAAACAACTTTGAGTTGTGTGTTTGTACGTTTGTAGTAAGCTCCAGTGTCATAAAACCTTTAAAATATATTTCCATTTTTTTCTTATTGTATGAATTATCTAATTCTTTAATTTCATTTTTCGAGGGCTTAATATAATGTTGTACTTGCATTATATTTATTGAACTTACTCTGAACTCTCCCTGATACGCTTGTCCAAGTCAGAACGAAACTAAGTACATAAACACGCAATAAGAACATTTCTGCAAGAAAAAATCGACCACAATCAGCACTTTAGTGACGTCAAACAACTTGATAAAATTCTTGTCAGGAATATCAATTGTGTTGAAGGTTCTGTACACAAGATATCTCGAATTAGGTACGAGTGGTGGACGTGAATTTATGACATCTAATCCCCCTGCTGGGCGCGCTTTCTGTCGTGTTGAATTCTTAGGCCATGTTGAAATGGATTCCTTGAATGTTATAAATTGTTAGACACCTTTCGCTGCAATGGGACTTTTTAGTTGCCGTTGAATTAACAGCAGCGCAAAATAATACAGCGCGTCTGATATTGTGATCGTAAAAGAACTTGTTTTAACTGCTAAACGACAGACTCCTTATAAAAATGAATAAATGGTTTTGTAAGGTAACGTTCAAAGCTTACCTGTGTTAGGAGCAGTTATTTATCGTCCGAAATCCTCTCTTTAGAATTAACAGACAGCATCTGTTAAAACGCCTTTTTCTAGGAGGTTAAATATCAATTATTTAAACAAGTAACATCGGTGCCGTCAATACTAAATTATTCATCACAATTTCTAACAAAACGGCTATGAATGCTCCATTTAAAAATATTTTAAACTTTGTCTCACGCTGTGAGAACTCTAACTGCACTTGTCCTCAGGAGATTCTTTCCCACAGACGAATATTTTTTTTCTATGTTGACAATTTGGCATGCACAGCCGACTTAAGTCATCAATTTTTAGGCTTCTTAGTCCCAGCCATATACCTGCTTTGAAGATTAACACCTTTAATAATTTTGTACGGCAAAAGTAAAAATGCACACTTGAAACACTGTCCTCACAATTCCCCAGACGATTGTCTTCAGAGTTTAATAACGAACCGAAATTCAAATGACTCGACAATTAAAATGTTAGTATTCTGAGCTACAACACCGGACAAAAGTGTTGAGACAGCTCCATCTGTTTTATAACTTTTGCGCCCTACTCCCGTATTCTCTAAACAGCAAAAGTAAACCCCCTCCCCACCCCCTATTCAAAGTTGTCTTGCTCTAAAAACCAACGTGTATAATTGCCATGCTATCCTAAACAACTTTGGATGAGGGAAGGGGGAATTCGAGTATTCATTTGGCAATGGTTTCAATTTTTTGCCAGGATGACAGGAAAAATAGGCATTTTCGCGATTTGTCTCAAAAGGTCTTGTCCTGGGTTGTAGGTCGCTTACCCTGAGATGGTAACTTACGAGAAGTTCTTATTAACATAAGTCTTTGACTGGAGAAACTGAACTGGTGTTTTTGATGGGTGGTTGCCAATAAGAAATGAACGCAATTGGCAATTCCCCACTTCACAAACGCTAAGGAGAATGGATACAAGCTTTCAGTGCAGTGATTTCTGTGATTGTTTAGGTGAAGAAGCGTTAGTAAGCTGGTATTCAAGGCAACTATTAACCAATCAGAAGTAACGCTTGTCCACCTAAACAATTCTCAAAAATGGTTGCGCCGAAACCTTGTACCCATTCCCTTTTTTAGTTTGTGGGTGGAGAATAGGGCTCGACATTCAGAAATTGCTGAAAAGGGAGCTTGGTGATAACTTTTAGAAGAATAAGGAGAATTTATTTAGAAACTTTCCATGTAGACTCAGTCCTCAGCCTTGGGTTTCTCGATCCGATAGCAGTACTCCAAGGTTCGTGTGATATTAACGCCTTATTTATTTTAAGAAAAAAACAAAATTGGAAATGACTGATACACATTTAGTTTAACCAAGAGAAGATATATAGCCAACGTTATTCATGGGAAAATGAGCTTCATATTTGGCTTGAGTTTATTGCCACGTGAGTCCTTTTGACCTTGTGAACACACATGTTGTGGTTTAGCTTTATCCTTTGTTAAAAGTTTCATTTTCTTTTGTCCTTGGGTATGACAATGAATGATAATGAAAAGTAAAAAGGAAAGTTTAAGCCAGGGAAATATTTAACCACAACACGTGAGAACTTATGATGTCTTTAATTTTCGGCTCCGTTGTACTCTAACTATCATTGTGAATGGATATGTAAACTGCCCTGAGAGTAGATAAGTTCGTAAACCTGGGTAAATATCGATCGGTGCCGATTGGACACAGCCAGTATTTAATGTGAAAAAAAGTGATGCATCTTAAGGAACTATACAAATATAATTTCGTAATTGTTTGTGTACCACATTTGTTCATGCTAAATTCCTGGAAAACAAATATAATTAATTGTTGAATTTCAGTGTGATTAAGTCCGTGGTCTGCAGGCACAACAACATGTTACCTCACTTATCTTGGATCCCCCACCTCCATGTAAACAGGCCCTAAAACTAGTTATGTCAGTACGTTTAATACATTAAAAAATAAATATAGTTTTCTGCCGGTTACAAATCAGGATAAAAACAAACAAAAAATAAAATTTAAAAAAAGTAGTAATAAAGTAAAGAGTTCTTTGCTGGATATCGTCACATTTTTCAATTGATATTATAACTTGAAAAAAGCTCGTAATTGTAAAATATAAAATTTAATGCTTATAAATATTTGACGAAGGAAAAGCTGCAATCATTACTCGTTGGACTGTTGCACAATTAGTAACAGCTTTTTAAACAGTATTGTTAATTATTAATGTTCTTCTTTTCATATTTGTGCGTATGGAGAGAGGTGGTTTAACCTGTTCCACCACGGTTATTATTTTACATAACAGTTTGTACCGGAGGATATTAGCATAACATTCAAGGGATTTTACATTATTTTCAAGGTTTAAATCTCAAAATACTTTGAATCAGATTTGTCACCTACACGCAGCCTGTGTGAGCAGGTTCTAAAGTAGTAGGGACGTCGCTAAACAAATTCCTCGCTAAGCCCCGCTCGTGTTTCTCATCAGTTTTCACTATTTCTCCATATTACTATCTTGGGGCATGGTAAAGGCCAGCCGACCCAATTACAAGGCGCAACATATTTACAGAATTATGCAGTGGCATATTGCCAGATGTTAAAATGAAATTTATTGCTGAAAGAAATAAATGGTTGCTGCCATCGTCATCGTTATGTGAAAGCTCACAGCGAGTTTAAGCAGCGACGTTTTTGAGCGACGCGCGTCAACCGAAAATGAGTTTTTTTTTTCTCCTTTAATTTGCCCTGATGCTCTGGTTGACGTGCGTCGCTCAGAAATAGAGAGATTAAGATTCACGTTTACGCCAAACAGCAAACGTGAATTTGTACCACGTGATTAAGTTTTCCCCTTATCTTCCGTTTACTCTTTATTGCTTCTACACAAAAATAAGTGGTTTTCTGCCAGTTTTAACCATAAGAATCGTTCTGGACTGTTTTTATCTGCTTATTTTCTATTCTGAGAAACTCTCAAATTGGGCCTGACGTTTGTCGTTTGCGGTAAACGTGAATCTTAATCTCTGTAATGTCTTTGCTTAAACTCCCTACTAGTATAATGTCCGGGAAGAGGCAGCGAGGCTGAGTCGACAACTCGAACTCTGGGGTTTGTGGAGTTGACTCAAGCTTCGATCACACCCAAATTCAACTCCGTTGTCATGTCCTTAAAGAGCCAATTCCTTCTCCTCCGGTCAGGCAGGTTATTTAATAGAGTGCCTGTTAAAACTAGTTAGGGCGCCGGCCAGGCTGAGAGCACTTCTACTCTGAAACTGCCCACCTACCCCTCCCCAAAGCTAACATTAACACTTACTTCTCACTTGAGGCAAAATCATGGCTTAGGGGTGGGGTAGGTGGGCAGTTTCCCAGAAACCTAAATTGATCCGAAGGAGAAAAGGAGGCTCTGCCTGAATCGCGTCAATCCTTTGAAGTCGCCGCAGCCCAAACTTCTGTACCAGTCAATCTTGTTTTCTCTCGTCAAACTGGTTTTTTCGAGTGCGAGCATCCGTTTATTGATAAACCGATGGTCACAACTGAGCCCGCTGTACCAGGCACTTACGGTACTTTCATCCGGGCTCGAAACTATATCCTATTAACATGCCGGGCGTGTTCAACAAAGATCTTACTGGATTCAAGCAGAGTCTTTCTTGAGTCAACAAAATCGAGCGAGCGAAAGAAAGTCAAAGAAAGGCCCAGCTTTGCTGGCTGAGTGAAGAAAGCTTAACTAGCATAATAGACATCTAGTGTTTCAAACAACGGTTCGGATGTTTCCAGAGGGGGGTCAGGCAGGGGTTTGTCGAAACCTTCTTTTCCAACAAGCCAATAAGTAGTAACAAGACCAAGTCTCTGTGGAATAAAAGCGAGTTGCATCATTACTAATAGTGTTCTACAACAAAATACACTGTTCTACATTAATATTTTACTGCAGGAGTTTTAAGTATAGCATCAAAAACAACTCCATGGAGGTGGACAGGGTTTAGAGAAATTTTGAGATGCCAGACGATACATCAAACACAAGTATACTATACTCTCTTCAGACATACCATATCTTGAAATGGAGAAGTAAGTTTAAAAGAAACACGATAGACCGATTTACAGTTTTCAGATGAAACAGCGTATGAGCTTCTCAAATGAACAAAAGAGAATTAAAGCTTAAGTTCGAAAAACATATCCATCAACACTCGATATCCAAAAATTCCCTCAAGATTTTCTTTGCATTCAGTCGATTACTGTAATAAGAAGAGCTATTTGCTTTCTGAGAAGGGGTGAGGGGTGGGGGAGCCTACCTTATATCCCCTCCCCTCCCCTATGCTCTGCTACATGATTATTTCTCACCTTGATCTGTACTTGTCCTCTCTCACTGAGATAATATCCACCTAACTCCACCAATCTTGAGTGACAGTCACGGCTTACGTGAATGCGAAGAGCTGCAGCCGCGAAATGGAATTAAAATACAGTCAAACTCCGTTAATACGGACACTGTAGAGGTTATAAAAGGTGTCCGTGGTCCGTATTAAAGAGGTGCCCTATTAAGCGGATTGAATTTAGAGAAAATAAATGGGCTTTCTTTCCCCAGGGACAAAGAAAACTGTCCGTAAAAATGAAGTGTCCGTATTAAGTGAGTGTCCGTAAAGCGAGGTTTCACTGTACTTCATAAGAGTTCTAGGGAACTATAGAATCAGTTAGTCACACAATTCGTGATAGGATATGCAGTTCTAATTTATAATCCTGTGGGTAGAAGAATCCTATGGTCAGGTGACCATCCAAATCGACCCTCTTCAGCAGTACTTTCACAATGCTCAGTATTTTACGAAATAAGACTTGAAACTTTTCTAACGAATTACATCTTTGGCCACCACTACGAGTGGAAGATGATTAAGGAACCTCGCTACGTTATAAAGTGATGTCGTTTTGCCACATGATGAAGTCGATTCGCTTCTTAGTTGTAAAGTCGTTTTGCCGCACCATGAAGTTGATTCACTTTATAATAAAATTTGAGCTTCTACATACCTAGAGTCCTTGCTTGCAGCGAATCGACTTAATGATGCAGCGAAACGACCGTAAACCTTTGACAATAGGCAAAGAATCAGAAGAATTAAATAACGGTTTTAAAGGGCCAACTGTGAATCACCCAATGCACTTATGCGTCGGAAGAGAGACACTATTTATTTTCATTTAAGATCCTAAAAAAGTGGATAAACTGAAAAAGATGTTTTTTTTTCTTCGCACAATGCCAGAATACTTACGCAGTCCAAAGTTCTCCATTTTAGATGCAATGTGAACTGTGTGTCCGAACAAACAGAAACGAGGCATAGTTATACCAACCACACCAGCGACCACTGGACCTGAACAAACAAAGGACCAACAAAATGACTGACATAGTTTTCCGCCAAAGGTTCGGCGTTGAAGGCTTAAATATAGTGCGCAATGCAAGAAAGGGGCAACAGCAACATTTTCCATTTTCGGTGGCCAAACATTTTGTGAAATAATTTTTTTTCTCTAATATACCTGTGTGTATTCCAATCCTGAGCTGCAGTTGATGCTCCGGAAGGTGCCGCAAACGAAAGAAAAACATATGACTTAATAATTCCAGCGCCATACTGGCAATCTCCCCTGCATGCTTGATGCCATTTAACTTCGGACAACCGCTGACAACAACATACGCATCACCAACTGTCTCCACCTAGATGGAAGATCAGTTCAAGAAAGAGTAATGTACTTCAATTCATCTTACCACGAAAAATAGATGATCTACCGCGACTGGAGGAAACAAATCATCCGGTGTAAGGATTGAATTCTTATGAGGTTGCCCTTCAGTTTAAGATAACGTATTGTGGATCACAAAAAATTGTTTGTTAATGAATTATGAGTTAATGTTTCCACTGTTTTTTTGTGTACAAAACTAATGTAGTTTTTGCCTGCGTCTGTTTGTAAATCAATCGCGTGAAAAAAGGAAAAAAGCGGTTTTTTACAAGAAAAGAAGGTCAACAAATGATCGAGAACCAAAGAAAATGATACATGCGTCATCATTATTTTTCGACAGCAGCTTTCAGGGTGAAAATGGCTCAAGATAAAGGCTCTAAAATGGCCTACACCGACCTTGTAGACGTCAAATCGTGTGATGATTTCATCAAACGCAACGTTAAGATCGTTTAAGAAGTCCACAATCTGTCAAGGAAAGAAGGCCAAAGATCATGGTTGATAAAAAGGAAGGAAACAAAGATAAGAACCTAAGAGCTCTGGGTGTGGAAGCCACGGAAACTTACCTCAATAGGTTTGCTGCAAGATGCCAGCTTGGTGAATCCAACAATGTCGCTGAAAAACATGGTGACTTCTTCAAATTCCTCAGCTTCGACAGAGTCATGAATCTTAAGTTGCTCGGCGACCATCCTAACAAAGCAGGAAGAATCAGATTCAGAATGGGAAGGTTTGTGCGAGACAAGGTATAGCGGCAAATAAAAGCTTTTTATTGATCTAAAAATAACTTTGATGAAATTCACATATCCCAAGGGTTACACTGGGTGTTTTCTCTTGCTAAGAGGAAATCCTCTGCACACACTGCAACTGAGACATTTCAAATGCTCCATCGTGCAGTAACTAAACGGAAGCTATGAGACCTTAAAATAGTAGCGAACCGACAAGTTAAACTTACGGTGGAAGCAAACGATTCAGCAGTTTATCAGTTCGTTCTTTCTCCTCGTTAAGCTGCCTTGTTCGCTCCTCTACAAGTTGCTCCAAATGATTAGCATGTTTTTCCATCATGGACACCATGTTTTCAATAATGTTTGATCCTCTGTGAAGAAAGCAGAGATAAAAGAACCAATCAACCATGTTAAATTGTTTCCACTACGACAGAGGCTATGCTGTTGAAAGCTGGGTTTCAAGTAAATTCAACGCCAAAATGGAAGCTTCTGTTAAAGAGAATATCCTTCCCTTTTCTCTCCAAGATTGTAAAGCCGTTGGACAATAAGTCTATTCGTGTGTGCAGGTGTGTGCGTGTACACCCAAATACAACCTTGTCCCTAGAGCGGTTTCCCTTAGAAAATGCCTTTCCTTAAAAAGGAAAAGCTTTGGTACAAAGTTGTACCCAAATAATCATATAAAACTCACCCTGTATAAAAAAATTCAGGAAAAAGAAATGGTAAATGAAGAGTGCACGTTATCTAGCGTTCAATGAACACTACAACTTGCATCATAAGGTACGAAATCCCTCCCAAAATAAGAAATGGTAAATGAATTGTGCAAGGTATTGACCATTTTGAAGGTATGCGTATAATTGTGTCAAAGTTAGTCTTCCCGCCAAAACAGCCCCACAGTGCAATTCGACACAACACCGACCCAGTCTCCTGCGCAACCTAATAATGGGCAATGTAGTGTCCAGTACCTCTACAATGACTTGCAATACCACTGACCTGCCACTGATCTTCTTGAGCCGCTCAACAATCCGAAAAAAATGCGGTCGTTCCTCGGGATCATCACACCAGCAGTCCACGATCAGATCCACAAATTCCGGCCTCACATCCACGCGTGTCAAGTCTGGACGAAAAGGAGGATCCTCATAGGCCACTACACGCTGAATGATCTCTGAAAACATTAAGTCACGCGCGTGTGTATCGGAGTTACGCGAGTGTGTATTGGCGTCCAATTGTTTTATGTCAAAAGAAAAATCAAAAATAGTCGTCGGCCACAATGGCAAGATACATTTAACAATAAGTGGTTTACGTTTAGACGTAGGAGTAATGATAGCTAGATTACCTTTACAGTCCAGATTGCAATCCAAAAATGGTTTGCATCGAGTTGAGATTTCCTGAAGAATGATTCCATAGCTGTACACGTCACCTTTTTGTGAGAACCCAGACTTTTCGCCCTTGTTGAAGTCAATGTGTTCTGGCGCTGTCCATAACAGATCTGTTAGACGTCGATCAAAATTACCTTAGAGTGCAACATCCAATGATGTATAACTAATGCAGAGCTCTCATTAACAAAACAACGCCTATTAATGCGAGTAAACTTAATTTACCATTTAGTTGGAGTTGACAAACAAGAAAAGACATATCGAGTGGATGACGTCGAACCTATGACTAAGTTTCGCTTCAACGAAGGCTCCTTGTGCGAAACTTTAGCCAAACGGCATACCCATCCATCCTTAGAGAGGAAACCGGTCATTTCGATACGAACTCAAGCTGTGAGAATGCACAAAAATTTCGTTCCCTTCAAGTATGGTTTACGCGTGAACAACAAGAACATTTTGAGTGAATATTCTTCGTTCTTCAAGCGAATGGCGTGAAACTGTTCATCTCGACTGAGTAAACTTGTATCAAAACGACTTTGTATCGAAACGGCTCGTAACCCCTCAGGAGACCACGCCCACTTGACCCCTGACCTATTCACGGGCTATAGTCAATCACAAACATACCCTCATTGGTTTTGTTGGTGTCCGTGTAGATCCTTTCTTGCCCCGCTTTAAATTTATTCAGCCCCCAGTCTGTGATGCTTACTACCCAGTGATTGTCGATCATACAATGACGAGAGGTAAGATTACCGTGAAACTTGACGGGACTGTTGTGCAGATACTTCATGCCCTGCAAAGGAAGTTTCCGTTTAAGGTAACCCCTGTCTCTTTCAAGATATGTATCTCAAAGGGATCGGGGTATTCTGGGAAAATCAAATGGTGATGTGCGACATGCTCTCTAAAACTTTTACACTAGCCTGGGACTAGGCTTCTGGGTTGGAAAAAAAGGCGAATAACGCGGCGAGGGAGTCGAGCAGGAAGAATGAGGAAAACCAAGTGCGGAACGTTGCGCCATTCACCCCGTTGTGATTCACCTTTTCCCAACTTAGATGAAAGCTAAAGTAGTATAAGGGAGACCAAGATAAATTCCAGCCACTTGGCCATGCTCTCTCAAGGGTCGTCATACCCAACCAATCACAAAGCCTCTGGGGGCAGGCAAAAAGCCTGGCTCGTCGAGCACTGGTAATCTTACAACGTTTTCTCTAAAACGTAGACTTTCTTTATGGGACGTTTGGTCAAACACTGTTCACCCGTAGTCACCTCAAGTTATTGTTTAATCACTTGGCCTGGTGTTTACTCACCGCTGCTATGTCAATAGACATTGACAACTTGAAAGCATGATCAATCTTGTTCTCTTCATTTGCCAGCACTTCCTGTAAACCATGAACCAAGCAACATTGCAATTAATTCGTGTTGAATATTAGATCGTGGAGTATGACTTGTTTTTGTTAGATGCTAGTCGACCAAGGGAAATGTTTACTTAGAGAGATGGTGCACTGAAGACGCTAAGGCGTTAGTGTTTTACTACAAGGTAATCCTCACTTTCTAATTCCTTATTTTTTATAGTTCTATCCAGACTTTGTCATAAACATGTACAGACCTGTAGGCTTCCTTTCTTGCAGTAGGACCACACTAGAAGGATATTGGGTGATTCGATACAGGCACCAATGAACGGATTTAAGTTCTCATGGCTCAAGTCTCGCACCTTCACGAAATGAACGGAGAGGAAGTAAAATGATCAACAGATTAAAAAAATAGGAAAAAAGGAAATAGGAACTGAATGAAAGGAGGCAGGGGGGAGGGAAGGGGAAACGGAGGGAAGAAACCAAAAGGTGTAGTGCCATTTGACTTGCGATATAATTTTACTCTTTGCGTCAAGACAAACATGCCTTCGAAACTGTCTCGTCTCTTTGTTCCAGCACTGAAGAGCACGTGGTTTTGTGGCATAGGTTAGCTTTCTTCGACACTCTGCGCATCTGCATGATTTTCACGCACTTCAGAAGCACCTAGACAACCTCGTTCCCAGGGTTCTCTCGCACAAGTATTCCTTGAAGATACCCTGGGAACGAAAGCTGGTGTCAATGACGAAAGTAAATAGTTACCTGTTTTAACTCAATGAGAACATCTCGCGTCAGTTGGACACTGCGTTTTCTGAGGCGTTCAACAGCCACTGGCTGCCCCTGAAATTAAAGGCTAAGAAGGTGAAAAACCGAGGGAAAAAACAGAAGCCATACAGGCCATTTTAAAGGCTGTAAGTAGGCTTGTCTTACAAGCTTTCAAGACAGAGGGCACCAATCTCCTACCCAGCCCCTTGCGCACTCCAAAGGATCGGAAGAGGAGAGACCCGGGTACGAGGTTGCGAGGTTACACGGCTGTTTTATGGCGCGCAAGGAACCAAGAACCTCAAACCAACGAGGACTCATGAAGACAAAGACAAGTAACAACAACTGCAAATGATGACGGGCAGTCGGAATGAGTTTAGACTCAAATGCTATCTTACATGCAGCGAGCTCTTTTGTTACTCGACTCTAGCAACATCTCTGTCTAGAAGTCCTTTCCAGATTCATCTATCCAAGTATCTCTCCAGTCTTTTCAGTGATTCGTGTCTAATGTGTGAAATGTACACCACTCACCTGATAATCTCCAATGACAGTGTAAACTTGCCGTGTGTTTTCATCAGGTTGGGATTGTGTCGAACTGTTGGCTTGACTACGACGTAATATCTGACCTTGCTGTGTGGTCGATGGACTAACGGTCTATACAAACGCAATTATAAGACCCTCATAACATTTTCCATTAAGGTGACTGTTTGCAAAATCAAAGGTGACTGATTCTTTTTGGAGATTTTTATCTACCTTTCACCTTTTTCGGCAACAGTAAATTTCCGCGGGATATGATATTTCTTACTTTCGCGAATGGTTGGAAATATCGTGAAAATCACGATAAGCAGATCCCACAAAACTTTGAGACATACCACACAGTAACCCTCCCTGGGTGGAAATCCTTGGAAATTCCTGTGGAATGTGCAGCATGCCTTCTGAAAACTTCACGCTATTTCACACCTAAATATGCAATTTTCCTTGACCCTATTTCAGACCTGAATTGCTGTTCTCACTAAGAGATAAATAATAAAAAATTACGCCTATTCCAGAACGTGGCTAAAAAGGGCGCAAAACCGGACCCTATTTCAGGCAAAATATACACCCAATTTGAAACCAAAAGGGGTCGAAAACCACACCCTTTGGCACTGCACATCCGTTTATAGCTTAGGTAACGGAGATCCTCCTCCTTGTGATAATCCCTAATTCAACTGCTGCTAAAAAATCTGCTGTGAATTCGCCAGGCCTTATATTGTACACATTTTTTTAAAAGTCCTACAGTCTGTCAATGTTATGCTGTTTATGTGGTTCCCCCTACCATGGAATGGCCGGTAGGTCCTGATCCAGTGGCCCTGTTAAAAATCGCCAGCATTCCCACGGGCTTTGCTTCCTGCTGTTCTTGTCCTTTTATACTCAGATCTTCATATTTGATCTTCCACGTCATGTTCTCGGCTAAGTCTGTCTCATATCGGAGCTTTCTGGGAAATGTAAAAGAAGTGAAACAAAATTTCAAGCCTACATCTTTCTTTGAAAACTGCCAAAAGCGGTTTTTATAGGAGTAAATACTCTATTCAGTAAGCAGGGTAGAGGAATTACCTGATGATGATAAAGAACATGAACGCTAGCACAACAACACCAGCCGTAGAAGCTCCTATAACAACGTTTACAAATCTGGCAGCTAGAACAAATAGAACAACTAATCATTAAACATCATCAAAATGACTTTACTTATGTCAACCACTGGCAGGCGACCACTGAAATCTGAAATCGTATCTTAATTTTATTAAAACAATGAAAAAAAATTCAAGTTCGTTACTTTAGAAACGACTGAAACGAGAAGGGGACTGGAGCCGAAATGTGTCCCGCCATTGTTTTTGGGATCGTTACTGGGGACGCCAGAGAGTAGAAGTCGTTACGTCACGTTGCCATGGTAGCAAAATTTCTGGATGACTGCAAACCCAAAATGTCACTTAAAAAGTGAATTCACACTGTTTCAAACTTTAATTTGACAAATGTTGGCGAAATTTTCTGGGTTGAACCCGAAAGGACTGCATCTAAGTTTACTGAAAAGAACAAGAACATTTTTGTGGTTCGTTCACCCACTCCATAAAGCGGGCGCGTGAAATGATAAAGTTACATGTTCGCAGTCGTGCAACGATGGCAAAGAAATGTACAAAAAAGCGTTATAACATAGCTAGAAAATTCGCCTAATCAAATTCAATAGCGCGAGCGTGCTTCATATTCCTATTGAGCACGCTGATGACGTCAATAAACTATTCGTAATTCCTCGAGTTGTTGGGAGCTTAGCAATCCTGAGTCTCCCGAGTGCATCCATAACTCAGCAATAGACAATGAAGCGTTTACCATGTGTTTTATAAGGAAATTTAAGAGGAAAGGTTTGAATTTGTTAACCGATAGTAAGGAAAAGAGGTGAGTGTTGTTGTTGTTGTTGTCATCTCGGCGAGCTGTGCGGGCTATGGCGTGAGATCATTCTTTGCAAAGTTGTTTTCTCTCAATAACAATTTTTCGGTAAATTAAAAGTTTTCCGGCACCTAACTATGGATTTTGCAATCATTTTAGAGTACACTTTCTCTCAGTTTCAGGATAAAAACATAAGATTAACTGTGAGGAAAAAAAATATAGTCACGTAATCATTAACGCGTACTGCTTAAAATTTTCAGTTAACTGCTGCATTGATCGCTTTGATAATGTTATAAAACAATTAGTTCATGCTGCAGCTGTGCGTATGTCGAGATATTGAGCACTTGGGAAGTTTGGAGAGCACTCAAAAGGCTAGAGTTGCACTCGGCTGCGCCTCGTGCAACTCTTACGCCTCTTTCGTGCTCTCCAAACTTCCCGCGTGCTCAATATCTCGACATACGCACGCTGCCGCATGAACTAATTGTTAATTATGCACGTGCGAAGTTGTTTTGCAAATATGAACCTGTTGTTTTTTTGCCTTTTTCGTTGCCGTCGCTGTTGCCGTTGCCAAAGCTCTCTATTGTTGTGATCCAGAAATTTTGGTACCATAGTAACGTGACGTCACACTTGTCCTCTCTATTGGACGTTTTTTTGCTCATCCCCAGTGACAGTCCCAGACGTCTTTGCGAAAGCTTACTCGACCCAGTTCTCTTCTCGGTTTATCGCTACTGCCTCGTCAGTCTCACCTTTCTTTTCTTGCTCGACACAGAGTTCATTCTCCCAACCGCACTTTGGTTTATCCAAAGGAGGGGTGGTACGACCTCCTGCCCAAATCACCCTTACATCTGGAAATTTCAAAATTTGTCACAGTAAGTTCAATGATGATTCATGTTATTAATTAAGACTTGACTGAGCTGAGCTAAGAGAAGCAAAAAAGTACAACAGAAGGGACCCTCTGTCTTTATTTTCCCCTTCGCCTTTTTTCTTTCCCTTTCTCGCCGCTTTTTACGCCCCCCACGCAGGCTTCAAAATGTACGATTGTCTATTTAACGTCCATGTGAATTCGAGGTGTTTGCAGTTTAAATTGCCAAAAATACGTTTAGTTGTTTAGAGCATTTCAAACCCGATGAAATGCAAGACGTGTTTTACCGTTAGAACAATTCCTCAGTAAACAATACTCACACTCTCTCCTCCGCAGAGGTTCCCGCTGGGGATTTCGATAAAAATAGCAATAATAAATTCCCCTTCCCATCATCCCCGGGCGCCATTTTATTTATTCTTCTCTCAAGCCTCCCAATGACAAAAAGAGGTCTCTGCGGACTGAGGAGAGAGATGCCCACAGAATAAAGCTTACCTCTAAGATTGAAGCCTCCTGTTGAATAATTGTAATCAGCGATACCTTGAAAACTTCCATTCACGTAATATTTAAGAGAATAGTCTGGTTCTCTGTCACCAGAACTGTCCATACGAACCAAACCAGACGCCCCTGAGGTGAAAGCAAACAGTTTTTACGTTCAGAATTTTCAATTCTTAATGCTCAAGTCCTCGATAGTACTGATATAAGTCACCTGATAAGTAACTTGTGTAAAAGGACGGCGGAGGAAAGAAGACGGGAGAAGTTTTGTGACAAGCGTGACAATATGTTCACCTTACTTTAGACAGATCTTTTTGTAGAAAACCAGAACACAATAAGGCTAAGTGAAGATCACGACAAAATATTAAACTCGCAAGTTATCCCTGTCACGTTTGTCTCACAGCCTCCTCCTCACCCTCTTCTTTCTGTCGTCTTGTTGCATAAGCTCCGTAATCAGGGACCCAGGACAGGAACACAAACTACCGATTCAGTCATGGCTAACTTCTTGACTCGGATACAGAAAAACGCCCTTGTTCCTCCCTTCCCGATTCCGAAGTGTCAGAAACAGCACTCTAGCTTAGCCTGCGTCGCAGACTCTCTGTTTTCTGTATCGAGACGGACTATACCAACAGTGGGTTTACTCGATACGTGGGCCAGCTGCAACGCAGGCTGCTCTAGCCAAGAAAGCGGCTTTCGGGGGCTAGGTTTGCGTATTAGGGTTTCGGTTGACTTGAGTGGAGTAAACAACCTAGAGAGACTAGTACACTGTCACTATAAACAAAGCATTATCATTAACTGTAGCCTGTGCAGCCGCCGGGATTGTTAGAGCGAGTGAAGCTTTGGCGGTATATACACTTATGCGAGTTTCGCGAAAAAGTCAGACAGTACTGTATAAATAAATTTGTGCGAACAACTTTACTCAGTGAAAACATTATCTTATTTGAAAATAACACTTATATACTAGTAAAAAAAAAAAGGCGAAGAACTCACGCGCGAAAGCAATGATTCTGTAAAACACCATATATATACTATTTTAAAAAATTGGGCGAGGAGCGTAACGCGAGCTCAAGCACTCTGTATAATAATAAATTTATACTAGTAAAAAATTTTGGGCGATGCACTCTACGCGAGCTCAACCACTCTGTATAATAACACATATGCAAAGCCGTGCGGAGAATGGAGAAGAGACGAGGTAACTCTCACACGTGCAAAAACAATTTCTTACCTTCAAACTCTCTGTTCAACATTCTCTGTACGATTGCTCGGCCATCCTTTTTACTGCCCCCCGCCGCAAGAGTTTCATTGAGAGCGTTAGCATACAAATAGATAGCATCGTAAATTGCTCCGGCGTACACCTCAACCTGAAAACAAATTAAAGTGATTAGGATAAATTTCTGAAAATTCCCCCCAAATTTCTTGGTTAACAAACATTGCGGCCGCTCTGTCTTCTGTGTCTTTAGGGTGCAGTGAGCTATTTCCGGGTTCCAAAAACTCTCACTTTCTCTCACTAATTATAAATGAGTTTTATTTGTATGAAAGTAAAAAAAATCATTTTCAAATCAATAGCTTCGCACTCAGCCTCGCTCTGAAACAGAGGCTTGAGGCTACTCGGAAATGGCCTATTGCGCATGCTCGCAACATAACAATCCCATCTTTCTTGTTTCACATACATTTTGTAATGAAAGTAAGCGATATCAAAGGAAGGGGTGCTGCGTTACCTGTTCACTGTCATCTAGTTTTATGTAAAACGGGAAAGCGTTCATTTTTTCCCTGACTTCTTCTTTAAATGACTGCCACAGGGTCGTGGTGGGCTCACGCACGTGGATACTCAGTATTCCACGAAACGCTAACGCCGCCTCAGCATCGCGTCCGTCATTTCCCATAAACGTATTATTTCCAATGGCGGCAGAAGGCAACAAGTTGACGGTTAAGAATGCGTAGTCACCGTTCAACATTCCAAAATCCAGAGCTTGTAGCATCAGAGCACGCATATCACCTCCGTAACAAAGAATTACAAAAACTGAAATGCAAGGAAATACGAAATGTATCTCAAGGCCAGTCTGATAAAACCAATTGCAGCTAATTGCCTACGGCATGACATTGCCAATATCGAACTACTGGAGGTCTTTAATCTCAGTGTATATCTTAGTCCTTAGCGTCGACAAGCAAGTCAAAAGGAACATGAAATACTAGAAGAGTATAGAAAGAGCCAAAAAAAGGAAACTGATATAGAACATACCAATTTAGTTTATCTGTACACCGATAATGGAATTGAGATATTTTAGTGGTAAATTTCACTCGATTCATGTCATTTTATTTATTTTTGTGAGACCGGCTTGTCCGTAAATATACTTATGAGAAAAGGCAGACCCAAAAAGAAAACTGCAATAATGAATACTGACATTGGAAAAAAAACAGTGTATTTCACTCAAGATAGGTATAAAATAACAAGATCTTCCGAGCGAATAGAACTATTCCTGTTGACATGTTCAGTGACTGACGCTTTGAACTCTTCAGAAGTCACCAATTGCCATAGTGCTTTCCTGTGAAGGACTACAGAATGGATTTTTGAAACATCTATCATAGTCAACAACAGTCCCACTGATTTAGGGGGACTGTACTCATCATATTACACGTACTTATGACATGGCCCCTGGGTTCAAACCCTTAACAATCACTATCCTACTCACTTCTTGCGGTCTCTTTTGCGCGCGATAGGATACTATTATATTCCTCTCTCTCTGTAACTAAAACATGGCCAGGGCTCAGAGTTCGCAGGTACCGTATATCAATATCATTCTGTAAAAAGACTTTCATAAGCCCAGTCATAGCCAACTGCCAAATGCTTTCGGTTGAAGCTAGGATTCCAATGCTATTCCAGTGGAAATACTGAAAAACCGAGAGAAATAGATCGCCCATTTTCGAAAAGGATCCAACAGTTCTTGCGAAGGAAGGATAGATTGTTTTTTCGGAGAGTTTTGACGACTCGCATCCCCAAGAAACCATTGGAAGATTCCACGAGGCGGCTAAAATGGCGGCCGGTTCACAAATAATATCACAGCCGTCACCAATAATCGCGTCAACACCCGAGATTTTGAACTCCACGGCTTGGTTAAGTCCTTCTGCAGCAAGACACATTGAGTCATTCCACAGGAATGTCATGTTATAGCCTGGTAGAAGATTTGGATTACGGTTGATTCGATCGACAGCAATGGTTATTGCTGAGGCAGAAGTCTTGCCAATCGGCCAATAACCAGTCATAGGGAGAAGAACGCCGATTTTTACTTCGTGCTCATTGTCGTTGCTTCCCGAATTTGAATCATGGCTGTGGGCAGACGTTTGGGATGGAAGCAAAATATACATACAAACATCAAGAGCAAAAACAATCAAAAGGATATTTCTCCATTGATGAAAATCCATTGCCCTTGATAATCAAGACGGTGCCGGTTTTTCTTTCTTTCTTTTTTTTTCGGTCGAGAAAACAAAGTAGCTACTTCGAGGAGGCTTTGATCTAATATGCAAATTTATAAGCGTTTTCGGTGACGTCAGGGTCTTTTATCCTTCACTGCCTGGGAGAGTATGAGGTTTCCCTGACACAAAGGAGACCGATTGAAAGATCTTATACATGTATACATTTGCCTTACTAAAATCATTTCCAAATATTCAACAAAACATACCTTTAAATTTTCATGAAGGAATACTTTCAAACGAAAAAGCAAACAAAGGAATCCGTGTGACGCACTGGTAACTCCTTTTTTAAAGTCACAAAGAAATCTGAAACATGAAACACTTAGTCTCCTTCGAACCTCCCATAAGCTACTAACCCCCATGGCATCGCTTATGACAGGCCCCAACGATAGTATAACTGTTAGCTTATGGGAGGGGTCGCTCACAAGAAGTAGTCGCACATTGGAGGTTTGACTTTACTTTATTTTGCAAATCGTTACTATTGAACGAAATGACTAGATATCAATACGCCACTTACAACTTTTAAAGTTACACAACTATTTCTTTTCTTTTCCAAAGATATTTACATCGAGACTAAATACCATTTGTTCTTTTACCAAGAGAGTATAACCAAGAGAGACTATTCTCTCTTGCCTTTACTCAGTCATTAATTTCGTCTTTAAGAAGTAAGGTGAGCGCGACAGCGAGGCTAATTACTGCAGGTTAGATTATTCTTTCACTATGGGTTCTTGCTGATCTCTTCAGGAAATTCTCCTTTCAATTGATTCGTAGTCTGACGGTTTTCACGAGCATCACTAGTCCAGCCAATCCTGTCAGTGTACACATAGCGAGGAAGCGACGCACGGTCTGAAACAACAATAAAAGATGGCAAGTGTTGACAATAAAAAAGGCCTACATCGGACAAGGGTCTGCGTAGCAACTAATATTAAATCAATTCGTCTCTCGACAACGCGAAAGAGCACTAGCAACCTTCGGGCCCGTAGACTTCTACAAAAAAAATTAAAATTGAGGGAAAATAAAGATTGTTGTTGTCGTATTTTGAGGTTGCGCGAGACTGAGTTAGTGTTGTATCAGACTGAATTATGGGACTGTTTTGAAAAGACTTTCCCTTTTATTTTATTAGCTCTTACGAGGCCACACAGGAGGCTGGGTCAAAATTCGCCCCCTGTCCCATAGTGCAATTTGACCCAACCCTGACCCAGTCTCAAACGCAACCTCATTATTTTCACAAAGAAGTTCCTCGCGAGGTTGTATGTAAAAATATCCAACCTTTTGTTGCCATTCAGACCTTTTGATCACATCACTGTAAGGTATTTCTGTGTATGTCACCTAAAACAAAGAATTGACATCACCTTTTAACAGTTAACTGAGAGGAGAAGTGCAATACTGTTTATGGATTTTAAAACATTACGTATAGGATGCAGATGAAATCATACGGCTTAGTTATTCAAGTGTAAAGTGAAGTAACTGAGACTTGGCCGATAAACAGTGCTTTCCTGTGGTTATCTTTAGTTTGACCGGCAAGAGTTCTAACTTTTGAGATCGTGTATTAAATGATAAGGTGCGATCATAGTTATTAGAGGAGACTGGTTATGAAAAGCGGCAAACATCAATGCATAGTTATTAGAGGAGACTGGTTATGAAAAGCGGCAAACATCAATGATAAAAACAACAGTGCTGCAGTTTATGTTCAAAGCACCGTGACAGTGCACAATCCTTTGTTTTCTGTTGGCAAATTGTTACGGAATAAATTAATGCAACGTTTTTATTGGTCAATACAATCAAAATGATAGGAATTCTTTTGTACGTTGTGCACTTTCAGGTCCACAAAAACATATAACAAAGGAGTCTGACGGGTTTCATAACCATTCCACTCAATTAACTATGATCAATGATAAAAACAACAGTGTTGCAGTTTATGTTCAAAGCACCGTGAAAGTGCACAATCCTTTGTTTTCTGTTGGCAAATTGTTACGGAATAAATTAATGCAACGTTTTTATTGGTCAATACAATCAAAATGATAGGAATTCTTTTGAACGTTGTGCACTTTCAGGTCCACAAAAACATATAACAAAGGAGTCTGACGGGTTTCATAACCATTCCACTCAATTAACTATGGTGCGATCATTCAGTTCACCCCTTATTAAGCGCCAATATAAATGCTCCACACTGATCTCCATCCGTTTCCTCACAGAATTAGTTGGGAGAATTTGATAAAAGATCAAAGCATCTTCCCTTAGGTGATCATTTTACTCATTTTCATATAAACCTTCTCTCTTGATTATGTTCCAATATTGTTAAGAGAAAATTAATGTTCGGTCTGGACAGGGAATATGAGTTCTTATGGATTTGCACTAATTACTTCATGAGGCAGAATGTAGGTTCTGTTTTAATCACGTCATTATAATGAGCTCGCTTACCATCGTATGGAGGGGAATAAATGTCTTGGGCATCAGCCAATTAAAGATACTCAGCAGTTTTCGCTCCAACAGAAAAGAATATGAATTAACCAAGGATCTCATCTGGTAAAAAAGACAACAACTCAGCAAGTGAAACTTTCTTAGACCAAAGACGCTGCAAGAAAGGCAGCGTGAACGAAATAAACACATGAAATCTGGAGATCTTTAGCTAGTGGCCCTACTCTGACCGCTACCTGCTGCTAAGCTACGACTGAAGGTATTTTGTAGCTGGCGAAATCTTGCGTACACTGATCAACGTTTCAGCGAGCATCTTCGAAGCGTTAAGAAAAACGTGCCGGGGTTTCCTGTTACCGAGAATTTTAAAACAGCTCCATTAACGACGCTAAGTCTAACGTACATGTAACTCCACTGAAGAAGGACCAAGCTCAAAACGTTTGGAAAACAACTGCATATAAATCACGGACACTTTTGTTCATATTTAACTTTTTATTGAACATTTCATTCAGTTACCTTTTAAAGGGCCACGCGGCTCACTAGAATTTTTTCCGTATTTTGTAGCTAGCCCTTACAAAAGCAGAACCAATCCTCTCCCGCCTCGTCCCCAGGGCTTTTCCGCCTTAGAAAATGGAGAACGCCCTGAAAACGAGGTTGGAAGTAAAGATCATTCACCTCTAAGTAATTGTACATGGATAAATCACACACTGCTTCAGCATCTTTGTTTCTGAGATTCGAGTATTCCTCAAATACAGCACCTGATAAAAAGCAGACCAGAAACAGAAGCTCGAGTCCAAGACTTGTACAATCCCAGCTTACTGGGTGACAGGGCTGGGTAGGTACTGAAAATCTGGCAATGTTTAGTCACTTACCAAAGTTGTTTCCATGCTTCTCTAGAAGTCTGTCTAAAACAAGACAATCTTCAAATGCCTAAAAAAATAGACATAGCTACTCTTAACTTCAACTTGAAGGACCAGTACAGACATTGAGAATTCTTACTAAATAAGTTCCAGAAACATTGATCTGAGTTACTCGCTTTGAATTCTTCTGAAACTTGTTAGGAAAGGTAAATAATAATAATAATAATAATAATAATAATAGTAATGGTCTTTATTTCCACAATATAAAGATACATATCCTATGTTACAACTGTCATGAATACTGTAATTCCAGGGGCACCGTAATACCAGGTAAGGCACCAGGTGTACTCCCTTTCCTTTTTCAACTGTCTGCGACAAATATGTCCGCACAGTGACGTCCCAATTAGCTCCCCCACCCCCAGGCTAAATTAGCTTTTCACTGAAACTTGGAGCCAGTTTTCTTTCTTTCTTAGTCAAGGCACATCTTCGCATGGTGTGGTTCGCAAGATGCGCTAACTATTCAGCAACTGATGTAACTGACAGCTCGGTTTTCCTTTTGTTTATTATTCATAAACAAAATAAAATAGGTCCACAAAAACTTTCCTTTAAAAAGAGACACTAACACTGTTCATTCCTTGTGCATAGAAGGGAACCATGGCATGAGCTGCATCGCCAATGATGAGTGCTTTATCTGAGTGATGATAAGGCTTGCACTGTGAACAACAACAAACAAAAGGAAAACAAATACAAGGTGTGCCTGATTAAAATAAGACTTGTTCAACCTGTAAACTTAGAATCATTTTTACAGAACTCATTTTCGATTTCTCATGAAATGCCACATTTTTAGGGAGGCACTCGAGCCAAATTTTACACGCAGACCGACTCTATTCCTGAACAACTCTTTGTTAGAGAGGCTGTGTCAAATTCAACCATTCAAAACTGGGCAACAAAATGAGTTAAAATCGAATAGTCCTTCATTTTATTTATACATACCCTTCATAAGTAGGAATAAATAGTTCAAGCAGATGCAACCTGTTATTACCTACCTTTACTGACACCATGGGCAACACTGGATTTTTGAAGAAATCTTCCAGAATTCTTTCCCTGAAATGGTGACAGGCGTACGCCTTCAGCTTTAAAAACACTCGGGCAAAAGAAAAACCTAAAACTCTTTTATTTCTTGATAACATCCAAAATACTGACCAGGTAGGATCAGGACCGACGAGCCGCCTGGCCCCTGGGTGCTCGGTCAAACCTGGACTCTACTGAGAGCCTCAACATCACTGAGTTCCATTGTTACCCTTTCCCAGACTCCACGCGCACAAAAGGAATTAAACAGAACTTCTAGGGACTAGGCTGATGTGGCCTGTACAAAAGAGCCGGTCTTATGTTTAAATCACTTGGGTTCCAGATGGAACCAACACCGTGTGAAAAACCGAGCCTCTCCGACTGTAAAAGAAACTTTTACCATGCCCAAAAAAAATGAGCAATTTGGGGTCCCTGTGCACTGTCAAGTGATCTAAGAAATAAGGAGACCTTAACCAGGTTCATTCCGGCGAGTAAAAATGGATTGCTTTTGGTCACATTCAGCTACAATAGACTGAATCCATTTGGGATTAACACTAGAGGCTACGGTCGTGAAAAAAGAACAGTTAACCTATATGGTAAACAAACAAACGATACAATTATTGTATTCAGCAAACAAAATTTACTTACTCGCCCATGAGTTGGACAAAATTGGGAAATAGAGCATTAAAGAAGTCGATTACATCTTCCTGTGGGAAAGAATCCATAAATATAATAGATATGAGAACGTACAAAACTGAATGTAGTATAATGATAAAATCATTCACCTTTTTTGTCAAAGCGTCAAACTTTTCAAATGGCATGATGAGTGTACAGGTGAAAGACTGCTCCTACAGAAAAAGAAATAAAAGTCTGTATTTCCAAGTTCACATTAATTTTTATGTAAAAAGCCCGAAAAATTACCTTTACAAGACCTTACTGATGCTTATTTTCACAGGCATCTAATTTCACAAAAAGAAAGACGGGAACTTGGCAATTTTGAAGAAATGATGAAATGAACAAATCAGATCTGGGCACCAAGATAATTATTTTAGCCAATCATACTTAGTGCAGAAATTCAAATAAACCAATCACATCTTGAAGCAAGTACTTGTAGCGGGCCCCTAGTACGGGAAAACTTGTCTGACCAAGTAGCGGAAAGTCACAGATGGTTTATGCTTTAATCTTGATCAGTTAAGGAAGTGATGCAAGATTTTTCAGCCAATCACAAACCAGAGCAAAAGCAATGCAAAACCATAGTACCTCACTGTTTCACTGTTTACTTTCATCACTTAGAAACCGCTTTATTATGCATTGAGGTGGGTTAGTAGTGCAATGATTCCCATACTTTGCTATGAAAATTTACGCGGTATACTTGTATCTTAGGTGGAAGATAGATAAAACGCACCTTGTTTGGAATAGCAATCAGCATAAATGAGTCTCTGGGCCAAACATGCAGGTAATTGGCCTTAATGGCGTACTCTCCACTTTTGGTTGGTAGTAGCTGAAACTCTTTGTATCCATGTGGAATATACTCCTGGCTGAAGTCAAATCTAATAACGTAATAATGTCTATTCAGATGGTTTACCAACCCACTGTAATCAAATGAATGAAGGGATTACTTTGTCTGTGAGGAAGCGAAACACAAAACTTTGGTTTCATCAACTTACTTTTAAAAAATCAGTTAACCACACTGGCATCAACAAGATACCTTCAATTTGAAACTTTAAGAACTTTTTTGGCAACTTTTCAGAACAATTAGTAAATCAGCAGCTTATGACGATAAAGTGTTAGACTTCAAGCACTGAAAATGGCAACTTCACAGCTCTAAAATACTTTGCTTATCTTTCGCAAATATTTCTCGTGTGACATCCGACAAGTATGTGTGTGTAATGGGGAAAAAACAAACCCTGTAGAACTTAATATGCATCCGCCAGACTCCCCATCCAAAAAATGTTCGACTCCTAACCTGCCCGAGTGGTTCACCGTTAGGAAAGTCGTGGATAGGGAACTGCCGACCTATCCTCTCCTAAGCCAACATTAACTGTTACTTCTCACTTAGGGCAAAATGTTGGCCTAGGGGAGGGGTAGGTGGGCAGTTTCCCAGAAACTTATAATGATGCAAATGTTCTTATTTGAAGAATAAGAGAATTACAAGTGCTTATACCTTGGTCTTTTCATCAGTTCATTTCTTATGGCTGAACGAGCACCATCTGCACCAATAACAACCTCTGCATTGACTTCAATAGTCTTGCCATCAGGGCTAAGCCATAAATTCCAAATAAAAAGAGCTTGACTAAATCAGATAAACTACATTCTCGATCTTACAGTCACCTGCTCCTCTGTGCTGACGGGGACACAAGGACAACGCATGAAAGCCCTCAACAGGCAACAAGAAAACATGCCAAGCTCATGAGCTTAATTTTATTGGTAAAAGGGAAAAGAGAAAAACAAGACAAGAGGGAAAACAATGGACTACCGAGTAACAAAGAGAAATTGAGATTGTTGCTTATTTTGTTGGCAAGAATGCAAAGAAAACCAAACTTCTCCAAATCAACTGAAAGAAAAAATGGTCAAGATAACTAGGCTAGCTGAACCCATTCCATAACAGGTGATACCTGCTGATGTGTCAGGCGCGGATCTAGGATAGATACGGACTAATTTCCTAAATGAGCACCGAAGGCGCAAGCTTCTAGAGGGGTCCGGGGGTATGCCCCGAGGAAAATTGTTTTCGATTTTAACTCCCTAAAATCCCCTTTCCTAGGTTTATGAGTCATTCAAACAGAATATTGGTCTGTTCCATTGTCCTAGGATGAAGCCTTGCAACTTGGAAACTTTTTCTTTATTAAAAATATATCTATTACGAAAAATCTGACCGATTTCCGTAAAACGGTGGAAACAGGTGTGGATCCGCGCATGCGTGTATTATAATAATAATGTTGTTTACCATAAGAAGGTGAGATGACCTTTGTCCAAGTTTACAGACACCAATTTGTGTTGAAAATGCAAGTTTAAATTGGAGAAGGACTCAGCAGCTAAAAGAGAGAGAGTATGCAAATAAATGCTTATCAGTTTGATTAAAAGAGTCCAAAGACCAGTCCCCTTTTATTTCATTCCCCACCATAAACATTTTCTTTCCTTGGTTGGAGTAAAAAAAAATATAACAAAAAGAGAAAATTGTCATAAAGTTTGTAAAGCAGTTGCAACTATAAAAATGAATTTCAATGTTTAAATGAATACTAAATATCCATTGAAAATACAGGTACATGTACAAGAAGGGAAGACAAAGCACTTAGTACACTTAGAAGTTGGCTTAAATAATTAGAAGGCTCAAAAAACAGTCTAGCTCATTAACCATGAGCTTGTGGATATCAGTTTACACACCTGAAAGAAGCATCTCATTTACTTTTCTCCGCTCCATTGCCAACAGAGGATACTAAAACAGAAACAAGCACATTTAAACAGGAATACAATTCCTGTCTATTAGTTAATATTATTTTTTAAATATTAAAACAGAAGAAAAAGTAACTTCAATAAGCACTTTTTTACACAAATTGTCACTTCTGTAACTCAATTACAAGTAAAAGACCCATAATAAATTTGAACTTATGCAACAAGTCTATCATAAATGTAAGTACATATGGACATGCTTTGTGTCATGGTAACATTTTATGAATATTCATAACATTTTAAGAAATTTTGTTTTAAAGCTAATCTAATGTGGTCGGCAGTTCAAAAGGTAGAGGCAATACCATACATGGCATGGGTAACTAACTTTCCAAATTCTCATTTTTTCATGGATGGCAGATGAAGAACAATTATGTGGACAAGCTACACCTAAATCATTATCATCTTTATTTATTAAATATCTTACTGGTCCCTCTTGTTCATAATAAAGGGGCCTCTGATCTCCACTTAGGGAATGCAGCATGCGACCATACATGGCCACGCCCAGTGGCAAGACCTATAAAAAGACAAAAATTAAGGGAAAGTTCATTTAATATGACAAGGGGGGGGGATGAAGATATTGAGTGGGGGCTCCAAAAATTTGTATACTTCAAAAACAACACATGACATCATCATACAGATCGGATGGTTTTCAACTCAACAATTTAATGACCTGTGCAACTGAGCTATATCACGTGGTTTACAGATATAACAAATGTAGTCTCAGTAATTATTACACTCTTGTTCATCCCAAAAATGCTTTAGAAAATTGTATCACAACTGTATCTCAAGTTTGTCATAGTATAAACCATTGAAGACAATAACGGTAAATATATTTAATACAGTCTAGCGATCTTTTTTCAGGGAAGCAAAGGAATTGAAGGAGGAGGGGGGGGGTCTGAAATTTTTTTCGACTACCAAGGAGGGAGCTCCTAAAAATTGAACCGCTAGCGAGGGGGCTGCTAAAATTTCAAGCTTCGAGTTTCAATATCTTCATCCCCCCCTTTGTCATATTAAATGAACTTTCCCTAAATACCATGGCTGAGTTTCACGCTCCAACCTTTCTGGAAAATTATTCAAAACCTAAGGATGAATGGAAGAAAGATTACAATTCTCCTGATCTGACGGCAGTTAAGTTCTGTTGACTCTTGTTTTGAAGTTGATTCCAGTCACCCTACCAATATTGATAGAAGCTGAATCCCCAGCCAAAGCTACAGACATCAGCCTGTAAACTACTTTTATTATCACGGACTAATAGAGACCCAAATGTATGTGCTTACATAATCGAGGACTCCTATGGCTTTTAACGCTTCAATACCCCGGGTTGACAAAGCAAGATTAGTACTGCGACCACGAACAAACTTTAATAAACGAGGATCTGGAAAAGATGTTGAGAACAAAATAACAATAAAAGCACTGAATTCACCTGGGAAATAACCAAAGAAGAAAAAAATCTTATCAATTAGACGAAACTTATTGTAAAGGAGCAACATTCTGGTGATAAAGAAGCATATGCTTCTGGTTGATAATTACCTTCACGTGCTTCATATAGATCAACCTTGAATCCTCTTTTCACCAGGAAAACTGCAAATAATGACCCAGCCTGTACGTACAACACAAGGGCAGATAAATAATTTTTTCTCATAGTATTCATAAATTGACCGATTATTGCCTACAGTTGATATTGCTCGGGGGTCCATGAAAAATAATTGAGAACAATTCAATTAAATCATTGAAGAGGAAACATCCAACATGATCCCTAGAACCGCTAGAAAAAAGACCAGTAGTAATCACAAAGGAAATCCATCTCAACGAAAGTTAGTCGCCTTAGTTTGCAGCGATGGTATGGAACTGAAGTCTTAGCAAGATCGTTCTCGATCGCAATCGAAGACCTGACTCGATATGATGTGATGGCCATGGTCGATATTTTCTTCAACGATCGTGTCGATCGTATGAAAGAGAGCAACATCTCGTATTTAAAGCTAAACAATAATAAATGATGTTACCAAACCACCCCCGACTATAACAATCTGTTTTGAGCTCGTCTCCTGAAAGTATGCATTTGAAGCAGCCGCCATATTTCTTGTTCCTAGTCTTCCAGTACTTCTCGGCCACTTCAAAATGGCGGACGACATAGCAGTTGCCGCAGAACAGCAGCCAGCGAAAAAGGTGGCTGTTGTTGGCGGTGGCTTGGTAAGTATTTCTGGAAATACCTCAGAATATATATTCTAATTTATGTTATCACGGTTTATCACTTTCGACTGAGTTCTTAGCTGTTTTGCACCGAAAAATTATATCATAAATGTCACTGAATGACAGTCTTTACATGTGCTTGATGAATCTTGTTATCAATCTTGTTTTAGAAGTTCTGGCAATTCTTTCTTTCGCGAAATTCCGTTTGTAAGTTATATGTAGTTCAAGAAAATCAAGATTTTTTAAATATCAGCTGTTGCGTGTCCAAAAAAATAAGTGGGAGGAACATTAGAGTCTTCTGGTGGATTATGTAATCGTACATTTACATTTATTCTGAGCATAATATGATCTTACTAAGCTAATAGCTGGACTATCAGGCATACTTATACTTCAGCATAATAAGATATTGTTTTGCACTTGTGAAGACTGTATGCCAAATTTTTCAGCCAACAGCTGCTGGAATGCACAAATTTTATAAAAGCATGGACATTATAGGAACTGAATACCTAGACAACCTTTAAAGACTTAAGCTAAGTGCAGTTTCGCATGGTCGAAGACCCTGGTTACCTCAATCATTTTGCAAGGCTTCCAAAGCACTAACACGAGAACATTTCTTTCAAAAGTAGTGTCAAAAACTGTGTAGGAATACTTATTTAGTTGATGCAGGAAGAAAAAAAGTCATCATACTTTGGCATAATTAGGAGCATAATCATAATCATTCATCCAGCAGAGCATAATTTTCAGCATAATGCCTTTGTTTCTTGAGTAACACTGAGAAGCATAATACTCAATTTAACAATCATAATCAAGGTGCAAACAAAGGGAGTTTTCCGGGGGGGGGGGCGGTACTGCCATATATGAGCTATATAGGTATGTGCCGCTGGGAAGGGTATGGTTTTCAAGCAGTTTACTCTAGGATAGGGAATATAAATCAGAGCATTTGGCTCTAGAATAGGGTATCATTTTTCAGGAAACTGATCAGTTGGTTGAAGATTTTATCTAGACTAGGTACACAGCTACTCTAGGATAGGGGGATTTGGGGAGTTTACTCTAGAATAGGGTAGCAAAATTCAGCTGAACTAGCTCTGGTAAAGGTTAAGGGTTCCAGGCTCCCAGCGGCACATCCCCACCCAGAAATTCCTAAAGTAACCCCCCCCTCCCGGGGGAGTTTTACAGCTAGCATGTACTAGCCTAAACGTTCTTTCAAGTAGCACAAAAAAAGAATTTTTGATGAGCAGGTTTGATTACAGCTCTTCTGTGATTTGAATTCCCCAAAAAACATCACTTGCCTGTGGGACAACTTAAGAACAGAACTCACCAGCCTGAAAGCAAAATCCACTAGTCCCAGGGCTATCAGACACTACTTTCTTTGCACGCTGATAGTTCATCAGACACTAGTCCTAACTGCATAAGTTTTAGATGCGGAAGTCTGATATGTAGGCATTTATAAAATTAATGAACTTCACAATGCGAGCTTAGAGCTTAGGTCAACATAAAACTGCTTAAAGTATGCCAATATCAATGTGAATATCACATTTCAAAACATAAAATTCATTTTTTGCACATTGTTATTGTGGTAGCCGAATACAATGTAGCCTTGATTTACATGCTCATCTAAAAATAATTTCCATGAGTAAAACATAATAATGGAAAGCAAATGTTTTCAGGCTGGAGCTTTGATTGCTGTTTATCTGGCCAAACGTGGTTTCAGAGTAGATGTTTACGAAGCTCGGAAAGGTATTTATCCTGTCAAGATTAACATTGTAACTGTTTCATTCCCAGAGTTAATTTTATAAAACAGGGCTATGCTCTACATAAAAGGTCATAGTAATCTTAGGTTTGAACAATACAGTTTAAAAGTTGTTTTATTTTGTTCAAGACACTCTAACATGTCAACAAGGATTACATCCAACTGAGCAATAAGATCACGTGACCTCTTGGTCAGATGATCTCACACAAGAATTATAATAACTGGGAAATTCAAGTCTCCTTTCATGGCCTACTTGACATGATGTAGCTAAAATTTTTCAGTCATTTCTTTGACTCTTTGCAAGAGAGAGACCTGGGATCAGTTCCTGCATTGTCCTTCTTATAAGGAGTGGCTGTATCTGGTATGAAGAACATTCAGTTATAAATTGTTCCAGCTAGTTGGTGTCCATTCTCTTCCATTATTGTGGGAGGCAAAATATCAAATAAAATAATTATTATTCAGTACAAAGAAGCTAGATAACAAGCTCTTGCTTCTAGTAATGTATTACTATTTCAGAACTGAAGACTGTGACTGATGTATTGGTTTTAAACTTGAGCACTCTGAACTATAACAGGTAAAGTGCATTACTGTTTGGTTTTCAGACCCTCGAAAGGAGCCAACAATAAGAGGAAGAAGCGTCAACCTTGCTTTCTCTGTCAGAGGAATAGCGGCTTTAAGTGCAGTAGGTGCCGAGGGACCAGTAAGTCAAGTTGTGTCTGTGATACATTTCCTGGCCAAATTATAATATGTAAAAGGGAACCACCATTTACACCAATTCACACAAAGTTTAGTGCACAAATTTTTACTGGTAGTGTTATCCAGTAACTTGCAGAAGGCCCACAAAAATTTAGTGCCTGACACTGTTACACATTTTGGCATCCATTAGTTTGCACCTCTTGTAGAATACTTTACAACCACTTCTCCTACCATCTTCATCTCTGTGAAAAAATAGTTGGTGCCCGATGCCTGTAAGTGCAGAAACTTCACTTGTTTCACAAGGTTTGGGAGAAGGGCAACACAGTTCTAGGAGTGAATATCCTGCCAAGGGTGGCGGTAAAAGGGGAGAGCAGTGATTTTGTTACCTCTGCTTCCTACGTCCATGACATATAAAAATACCCAAAGACACAAAATAACTCATGGCGTGCATCCTGGAGGATGCAAAGATCGATTGATTGATCTGAACATGTGTTTTTCCTAGACATATCCTGTTTATTTAATTTCTGTGGCAGTTATTATGGCTGTTGTTTAACAATGTTGTTTTTCTAACTGGGACTCATGATTTTTCACAAGATGAGTCCCAAGACTCACCATAACTTTTTGCAGCAAAATCACTGGGAGAGGCCTCAGCAAAAGACATGGTGACCCTCCATCTGCAGCCCCCCATCTGCCCCCTTAAATTATTAATAATGACCAGATCCCTTTAAAAGCATCTTATCAGTATCATCAACATGTCAGACCTTCTACCACATATTCTAACTGGAGCATTTACATTATTTTCTAATGATTTATAGAGTGAAAGCAAGAAATGCACATGTGATTATCTAATAGACCCACAATATTCTGATTTCATCCAACCAGGTTCTTTCTCTCGGCATACCAATGCATGCACGCATGATTCATTCTCACAGTGGTGAGACAACACCCATCCCATATGGAAAACAAGGACAGGTGAGTTGTTCTCAGTGCTTTATCCTTCTGTGCCCATCTCAAACCCCTGTCATTATACTACAGCTGCATAACTAACACTAAGATTTTAAAATAACACAGTCAAACCCCACTTCATGGACACCTCATTATTGCAGACAGTTTGCTTTGTCCCTGGGGAAAGAAAGCCCTTATAGACACTTTCTTTGAATTCAACCTGCTTAATATGAGCTCACCATTAATACAGACACTTTCACTGGCCACCTCAGTGTCTGTATTAATGGTGTTTGTACTGTAGAAAGTTCTCTGGTAAGAATACATAGTTCCACTTGATCATGCATAGAGATCAGACAATATCAATGACACCATATTGGCTCCTTGACACACAACCGTTTTTGTAAACCATCAGCTCTCTTATAAGTAAACACTATTTGTACCACCAAGCATCTGAGGTTTCTGGGAAGAAAGAGTTGACTAACATTTTTGTGCATGTACATTTACTCAGATTTACTGGCCTTTGTTAGTTTCTTTTCTTTTTTGGAGATATCACTGTTGCTGTAGTCTGTATCACTTCTAATTCCCAAATTAATACATTGCAATATTTTTTATTTTTTTTCAAAAATGAATTAATAAATTTTATTTGTAGCTGTAATTCTATCAGTTCATTTCTTTAACTGTAATATTATTCTAACAGTATTTGTTATCAGTTGAGAGGCAGAAGCTGAACAAAGATCTTCTATCTGGTAAGTGTTAGGACTCTCCTACTGTATCTGTTTGTTTCTGCTACCAATACATAGGTATATCAAAATGTGCGTTGAAAAGGTACGAAAATCCAGATCCAAAGCACTGATGAAAAGGGAGCACCCTCAAAACGTCTGGATTCTCGTACCGTTTCAATGCACATTTTGATAAACTTTGTAAATTAAATCAATCAATCACTTCCAGTTTTCTATACGTATAGTTCTTTCTTAAACCTAGGTAGATATATAAGTGACTTGTTATGCAAAAGGCTGGGGTGTACATTAATTAGTTTGCTTTCCACTTTTACCTATCACTAATGGCAGTAATGTCCATCCCCAGTCCCACCCTAGTACCCCTAGGGGAGAAATCCATCCACTCATTCCACCCCTGAAAGGGAACATGTCTCTGAACTTTCACCCCACCCCCTCTGCTCTTAGACAATGTGTGACTGATGTATGACCGACAAACAACTGATTTTCTTTTCTATTAGTCTCAGAGTCTTATCGCCATGTTGGCCTGCACTTTGAGCACAAACTTGTTGCTGTTGATCCAGAGAAAGGCCATCTCACATTCAAGTGGTATGTTTCTAAAAAAATATTGCTTGTTTATGATAAACTGTAATAGGCTCTGTTAATGCTTTTGCTTAGTTATATTTGATTGAAACATCCTCAGTAACCCTGTCAATTTATGTCTTTTATACAGTCTTGGAAATAATGATCAGATACTTGAGGTTGATGCAGACCACATCATCGGAAGTGATGGAGCATACTCCGCTGTGCGAAGAGAGCTGATGAAAAGGCCAAGGTATGTACAGCTGTAGGGCAGTCAAACACTTGAGATCCATTTATAATCACCATGAAATATCCAATCCCTGTTGAGTAGTTGTAGGTATCGCCATTTACCAACAAGGGAAAAAAAATACCATCAACAACATTACTATTCTTTGGTGTATTATCCATAGTACCACACTGTTAAAATCTTGCAAAGACCTCATAATGTCACACACCAGATTAGTTCTTGTGTTATCCCTATTTTTCCTTTTCTTACCTCATACAACAGTGCATTTTATTTATGTATTTTGTTGATTTTTAATTTCAGAAATAATATGAGTTATAGCTTATTCTTATTCTTTCAACTCCTGCAAAAAAATTGCATTACACTCAGCTTAACCCTTCCGATTTGTTCATAATTTAGGTTTGATTTTAGCCAAGAGTACATTCCTCATGGTTATAAAGAACTTTGCCTTTCTCCTACCCAAGATGGAGAGGTTTGGAAAATTTTTAAAGTCTTTTAAACAACAACCCTTATTATAATAATAAGATATCATGGTGTATTTTAGAATTTCTTTTTGTAACCATACAAATTCTTCCTCTGTACATTTAAAACTACTGGATGATCTTGACACCCATAAAAGGATGGGTTAGTTTATGAAAAAATTTCTTGGTTTGGACCTAAGGCTTGGCACAGGCTGAAGATATTAATAACAAAAACAAGTTAAGCTGTTCATGTTTATCTGTTAATAATATAATATTATTTATGATAAAATTATTTTATAATAAATTTGTTTATTTGTTATTTATTTATTTATTTATTTATTTCAATTGTAGTTTGCTATGGCAGTGAATTATTTACACATATGGCCAAGACAGACATTCATGTTAATAGCTTTACCAAATCAGGTACATGTACTTACTATCTTCTTTGAAATGAGAAAGTTGTTGAGTAGAGTAGGAGCTGCTCATAAGGTCTCTCGTAATTGGTCGCTGGAAACAATGACATGTCATTCTTCCAATTGTTTTAGTATCGTTTGGGGTCAGGGAAACACACTAGTGGTGACTTCTCTTCCGAGCAGCTGCTACATGACCCCAGTCATTGTTAGGTTATAGTCAAACCTGCAGGCAGACACCCATGGTACCCTCCCCAGTGGAGATGTCCACTTAGTACAAGTGTCTTTCACAGAAAATATGGGAAGAAAAGTGCGGGGGTCACTGAAGCTCTTTGTCAGCTGGAATTAAATGTTAATGGACTCGCAACTGTTTTAAATCATATTTGCCAAATGACCAAGCAAAAGTGTCATTTGTCAAATTAGCGGCTTACCATTCCCACTCATGAAATTATGATCACAAGAGAAATATGATGTTACTTTACTTCTTGTCATAACTAAAATAGTTTTGTTGTTGTTTTTTAAGGACAAGTCATTTACCTGTACATTGTTTCTACCATTTGACCAGTTTGACGTGTTAAAAACAAAGGTATGATATTCTTAACGTGTATTGTTATTTTTATTTTTTTAATAAAAATAATATTATTATTGTATCACTCAGTTGGTTAGTTTCATGAGTGCTTTTGTTGGTCGATTTCATAGGCTAGATTCTACTGTACAGCCCACTAAATTGGAAAATTTGCCTTTCCTTTGCATCCAATGGATATCTTACTAAACCTCTTTCTCCCTGTTGTTAGTTTACACACTGTAAATTACATTCCTCTGTTTTCTTTCCATGTTGGTTTACGGCCCAAGTGGGAAGTCAGGGGCCGATCCAGGATTTTTTTAGGAGGGGGTGCACTCGTCTCTTGCTCTACTTCAACAACAATAAACCATAGTTTTTTTTTTGGCAGAATACCAGTTGTATTAGAGAACCCCAGGTCATCTCAGGGGGGTGCGCACCCCCTGCACCCTCCCCCTAGATCCGCCCCTGGAAGTGTACAGGCCATAATTAAATCAATGGGGAAAAACTTGGTTCATAGATTACAGTATCAGGACTGAGAAAACAGGGTTCATAAGATGAATGAATTATAATTATTATTTTTGATGAATTATGCTTTGCAGGAAGATGTATTGGAATTTTTTCAAAGAGAATTCCCTGATTTCCTGGCCTTAATGGGAGAGTAAGAGAGTGATATTCTTCTTGACTTCCACATCCACAAGAATACATTGTAACTGGGTTTTTGCTTCACAAGATCGTACTTTCTGTCTGTCTGGTTATTCTCAGTCTGTTTATTAACTTGTAGAAAACCACATCACCCAATCCATCCCCCCAGCATAAGCCTAGAATAATATTCCTTAAAACAACAAATTAAAAAGGATGAAAAAACTAAATTACAGTGGAACCCCGCTATAACGAACCTCGCTATAACGAAGACCCCGTTATAAAGAACAACATTTGAAAGCCCGGCAGATTTACAGTAAAATATGTTGAAACGAACCCCGCTATAACGAACCCCGCTATAACGAAATCCCCGCTATAACGAAAGATTTTGACGGTCCCAACGCACAATTTACCTCGCTATAATGAATATTTTGTCCTGTTGCTCGCTCGCAGTCAGTAACAACGACAGATTTGAGCGTAGAGTAGAATTCACAGCTTGCTTTATTCCGGTTTTCTCAACACGCGACAGAAGATAAAACGCTGTACAGATCAACAGTCAACAAATCCTTTGACAGCAACCTATCAGTCAACGGCTTATTATGTCATAGACATTGGCGTTATACAGTATTTCGACATCAATTAACTTCTGCTCTCTTCTTGTTAATTCTATTAACTTCTTCACTTTCGAAGGCTTCTGTACCTAAGACTTTACCATAGTAGCAACTGACGAGGAACGCTATAGTTCCGAAACTGCAGTCTTGCTTAAGAATCCATAGCAGTCGCACAGATGACTGTTAAGCAAAAACTTAAGAAAATACCTACGAAGGAACAACAAGACATCGCACTCTAGTTCAAAGACTCACTTATGTTAAGAAAAACTAAATGGACTGTGTGAGCGCTAAGAGAATTATCTTGACTGACGCACGGCATATTTCTCCAAACTTGGTGTAGCTTTAGTTTTTAAGCTACAGTGTACACCTCATATCTGAAGATCGCACTATCCGTGGAAATTCAAAATCCTGCAAACCACACTATAGAGCTGGGCCCAGAGTCATACTGACATGGCAGGAAATAATCACATTCACGGACAAAGAAACTTGCATGCATGCATGTAGTTATTCAGATACAGCCATTTCGGAGAAACCCAAAAAAACTAAAATCTTTATTCAGCCGTAATAAACAGAGGTCAAAGGATATAAAACACTTTACAACTGCATCTGAAATCAAATCCTATCAGGGACACCTACCGAAACATAAACCACAGGAAATGATTACTCAGTATGCATGTAAAAAACCTGCTTCATGACCTCTAAAAAAGATTTAGTGCGGCAAAAACAAGATTTACTCAGTCAAAGTTTAGAATGCTACACCTCCTGCACTGTGTAGTGCTAGTAACCTTCGCGCGAGAGAAAAAAGAAAGAGAACCACTGTTCAAGCAGACTCTCAAGGTCACGTTTCACATTATCACGAGCTTATGAGTCGTGTTTGGCCTGTCAACGCTTATTTCTTAGTGTAGTATTGAATTTTTGGTAATTTTAAATTACCCCGCTATAACGAATATTTCTGTTGTTGACCGGATAATTCGTTATAACGGGGTCTTCGCTATAACGAAGACCCCGGTATAACGAACATTTTTTTCGGTACCGTGACACTTCGTTATAGCGGGGTTTCACTGTATCATCAGTTTGCAGTTTGTGAACATTAAAAGAGCTACTTTATAGTTTTTGTCCTTTTGAACAGATTGTAGACATTAATGCTTCCTGGACAGACAATAATATTGTCAGTGCACTAAATTTTTTTCCCTGCAGCAGTTCTGTTAAAGCAATCAATTTTTTTGTTTTGCTTGTGCAATTTTAAGCACTCAAGAAGTTACTTACAAACTCCATAAAAAAGGATTTTACTGTATTTTACTCATGCTTTTGGTTTGAATTTATTAGAGAAAAACTGGTGGAGGAATTCTTCAGAAATCCAACTGGCCCCATGGTATCAGTCAAGGTACCTTAGATACTAATCTGTAAATTAAGAATACTGGTAACCTGCAGGGGTGGATCTAGGGGGAGGTTGCAGGGGGTTCATCCCCCCCTCCCCTGACATGACCTACGGCTTTCTAATACAACTGGTATTCTGTATTAAAATTTGTTTACATCACCAGTCAGTTACGCCATTCCTTAGTGGTGCACCTGGATCCGCCCCTGTACTACATTAGGCCATATCTGTGTTGGCTTATTAGCCTCCTATTTAAAACAAAGGTATTAGTGCTGGCTTCAAATTATGTGAAAATGGTTCTTTGTTGTTTTGTTGTTTAATCCTTCATGCAAACAAAATCAAAGACAAAGTCATTTACCCTCTCCCTCCTCTCCCCCAAGTTTGTAATGTTAGTATATTACTCAACTGTTTTACATCTTATTACTTTATTATTAATGTAACTAATAATAGATTGTGTTTTTTTTCCTTAGTGTAAACCATATCATGTTTCTGACAAAGTTTTGCTCATTGGTGATGCTGCTCATGCCATGGTTCCTTTCTACGGCCAAGGAACAAATTGTGTATGTATAGTTCGTTTGTGCACTTTAGAAACAAAGAAATGTGAATAAATGAATAAATGATTGAATGAATGAATGAAAGAATGAATACGTTAGCAATTAAGTGAGTGAATGAATTCTCTATACATGTAGTATGCACGATATTTTCTATTTTCTTATTTTAACAAAAAGTTTTGATTTCTAAGTCACAATTTTATTTATATTATATTGAATCAAAATCTGGATGTGATCATTATTTGGTGAAATATACACCTGTGCATGAATTTGGGTTAAATTTAAATCTTGTTTTCCCCTTTTATGATTTTCTGTATGTCTTTCCCAGGCATTTGAAGATTGTTTGGTGCTTGATGGGCTTCTGGAGAAACACAACAATGATTTTGGTTAGTGAACTGACACCGCTTTATTTTTATTCAGTCAGAACTCATGCATCCAACTTCTTGTTGGTATTAACTACCTGTAGTGTATCTAAGGGTGGATTTGCTTCGTTTGTAATTCTTACGTGCGGTAGTTTGTAAATTTAACACACATAGACAATCCACCGTAACTGAGAAACTACATGTACAGTATACTGCATGGCAATGATAATTACCAAATTATATATGATGATGATGATGATATTGCACCTTCTGTCTTACATTTATACGTCCGTCATTCAGAATTAAGATAAGTGAAGATACAACTTCTTTTCAGTTGTGGTATTGAAATTCAAAAACTATTTATGTTAATTTATAGGTGAATTACCATGCATTAAAACAATAAAAAAAACTACGTTTAAACTAAAGCTGACATTTATCAGAATTGCACTGACAAACTAGTGCTTTGTATACTCAAACAGAAAGTCAGCTTTTGAATTTCTCTAGCTGTTTTACCTAATCACCCAAAGGCCCTGGTTACTCAAAAGCTAGATAGTGCTATCCACAGGATAAATAGCTATCCTGAAGTGGATAAGTGGAGTACCGTAAATCCTCTATTAAGCCCCCCCTCTCATATAAGCCCCCCCTCTGTAATAAGCCCCCCTTTTCAGAGGAGGAAAGCTAATAAGCCCCCTCTCTATTAAGCCCCCCCCCCTCCCCCTCCCCCGATCCTTATTCTTTACAAAAAAATTAATGATTAACGTGGACTGATCAGTTATGGTTTATTCATAAAAATTACCGAAGAACATGAGGCCGAAAGCACATTTTCGAAGAATAAGAATTTTGTTTTTGCTACTTTTAGGCTCCCACAAGTGAATTAAATACTTTTGACAGTGACTTTAATTGTACAACGCCTAAGTCTACTCTGTCTGATACCACGGTATTTTTGCTACAGGTGATTCGTTTCGCTAAATTAAATAATCCTCCCCTCTCTTTTAAGCTCCCCCTTAAAAGTGCTTGGAAAAAATAAGCCCCCCGGGGGGCTTAATAGAGGATTTACGGTAGTAGAGAAAAGTAATCGTGTTATCCAGTGGATAGTGATTTATTTGGTGGATATGGCTCTCCACATTTTAAGCAACTTGTGCCTGGTTGATTAAATCCACAAGACATGTTTAGGAACTTTTTCAATAGTTGGTTGAAATTGACATTTTCTTTTTGTCTGTTGCTACATGTACAGCAAGAGCTCTAGCAGAATACACCAGAACAAGGAACAAAGATGTTGAGGCCATGTGTGATTTAGCAATGTACAACTACATTGAGGTGAGTAGAACTGGTTCATTATGAAGACACTGTGAAGTTGTTTACCTTTGAATCCATGGGAAAAACCCTTTCTTGAGGTGACCATTCAAACAGATCTCTCATCAGTTTCTAACTTATACATGGTACCATCTGATTTTTGTTATCTTTCTTGAACTTTGACTTGAAACACTCTTATAATTTAATGGTAAATGGTAAAAAATATAAAGGTGATTTAAATGGGTCATTTCCTATGTGTCAATAAACCTCACTTTCAAAGCAAGGCATTGATGAATTAAAATGTTTTATTGTTTGTCAGTTTAGGCTAGTACAACAAAGAAAAACATTGCTCGACTTCAGAAGGAACAAAGTTTTGCAGCTAGGGTTGCCTCTGGGGCAAGAAAATTTGACCATGTCATCCCCACATTAAAGCAACTACATTGGTTGCCAGTTGCTCAGGACGGAGAATTTTATTATTTGGTTCCATAGAACCTTTTACAGTTAGACTCTTTTTTTACTAGCCAGGATAGTTATAATCTATTTATAGTTTTTTACTGTAAATGTTACTGAAAAACCATGTGTTCTTTTATAATGAAAATAATATCACAATAACTGTGGTATTTTCCTTTTCTTGGCACAGATGAGATCTTTGGTAACTTCACCAGTTTTCCTTATGAAGAAGAAGTTGTTTAACTTTCTTAACTGGGTTATGCCCAGGACATTTATACCTCTTTACACCATGGTAAGTACAATGAATGCACAGGATGTGATTGGGTAGGCTATTCTAGGATCTCTGCAACAAGTACAATGGAAGAGGAAGCCTGTCAAAATGAAAGTGCAGGACTGGAAAAGAGACTTCCAAATTAAAAAGTTCTTGATTTAACGAATGATTTTCTTTACCCCAATTATAGTAAGATATTTGAAAAAGAACCTCAATATATTGAAATCTTGTTATAACAAACAAATTTTGTCAATCCCTTCGCCCTTCGTTAATTCGAGGTTTCCGTGTACTAGTAATAGAAAGGGTTAGTTGTATGAGAAAGAGTGCAAAATAAATTAATGTAAATAAACCCATGAGCACTGTGAAAGACAGTTGGGGTTTTGATTACCACTCACTGTTTGGGAAATGAACTTGGGACCCAAGAGAGTAGCATATATCAAGCCTACTAGGACTGGGGAAGAGGTGCTAGCAATCATTTTCCACTGGGTCTTTGAACAATGTTTAACAACGATTTGCTTCTATTTTATTGGTGTCTTTTTAACTCACTGCTTGCCTTTATTTATGTTGTCTTCAGGTTTCATTTACTCAGATACCTTACCACACAGTAGTTGAAAGATCACATTGGCAAGATGAGGTGTGTGTGAAAAACATAGTCCTAATTTATTTTTCTCTAGCCTACGAATAAGCTCTCCCAACTCGGAGGTGGGAGAGCTGAGCCATGAGGCAGCTTTATCAACATATCATCATTATCATCATCAATCTTTATTCATACATGAAATCGTATTAGTTTTAGGTGTTGTGTGTAAAAATTAAACATCATCATCATCATCATCAACAAAATTAAGATCATCATCATCAGTGGTGCATTAGGCCATGAGGGAGCTTAAGGGATCTTGCCTGTCCTACAGCATTATTTCTATGTTTTTGTATCCCAGCCTTCAGTTTTCAAATAGACTTGCCCCTGCATTTTTAGAGTAGGGTTAAAACTGCAACCATTTTTAAATTAAACATTGTCAAAGGTGATTATCCCCACAGACTGACAGTTCATTTCCTTTAGGATTCTTCATATTAAATTAGTTTTTTCTTTCTTGCTTTCCAGTCGATCATCAACTTAGAATGAGCTAAATTTATCATGGGTATCCTACAGTTTGTCTGTATAATATATTTATCTATTAATTCAATGGACTTTTGTCATTATTTCTTGATAATAATATTAATGTTTACTTTTTGTTTCAGGTAGTAAAGAAGGCAGCACTGACAACTTCATTATTAGCTGGAGTAGGAGCAGCTCTGATTGGTCTCATAATTTTGAAAAAAGACTTCAAACTTTTTTGAGAACGTCATTATTAATTGTGCCCAATTTGCTAGTCGTTACAGATCAGTACAAGGTGTTGGTAAACAATGTTCTGGTTTTGAATTTTTTTACAGGTCATTGAGATGTTGTATCCACACATGAATCACACTTTATTTGAAGGAAGTAGATATTTATTGCCTTGACAAGAAAAAACTATTTCTGTAAAGTAATCATTATCATATTATTTAAAAGTGTTAATTAGAAAGTAAACCCCTCCTGGAAGCTGATGTTATTGGCAATAGCTGAAACATTGTCAGAAATGTGAATAGTTGGTCAAGGAGCAAAGAATTCAGGTCAACTTTGAGATTCTGAGGACAGTCTTTCACTTTTTTGAAGGTGTGTGTGGCTGACCGTTCAACACCTCAGACACCAGACTTGAGGTCCTAGTTCAGGCCTTGTCCATTGCGTTGTTTCTTTACACAAGGAACTTTACTCCATCTTTTCTCTCCTCACCCAGGTGTATAAATGGGTAGTGGCAACATACTGCTGGGGGAGGGAGTAACCCTGCGATCCTGTCCAGGGGGGAGTAGCAATACTCCGCTGTGGTTTGGGCCTTTGACTTGTGTGTGCCTTTACTTTTTTTTTCCCTTTCACCCAAGGGCATACTTATTGCCAGTATTAGCTAACCAGGAGAAAACTGTATTTAACAATGTTATTTGAAACTAGTTTTTTAATTTCTTTGTCTTCTTATCACAATAACAAAAATTAAAATTAAAGATCACAAATAACAAATAAAAAGGCAGATGCCAGTACAAATAAGCAAAGGTAAAAATATAGTTAATGACTTTTAATCAAACCAGCACAATGCTGCAGCTGTCAATGACTTTTTTGCTTGTTTATTGGCTACTGAGAAAAAATAATGAAATTCATCGGTTAAAACTTTGACAGGTTAGGTTACACCACTTCCTTAAATAAATTTGGAATTCACCTGTTTTCCAGAGTTCAGAACCAAAATACAATCAAAAAGTTGTGTGCATGTGTTTTTCTTGTTTTACAACCCTGTTATTTATTTTCCTAAGACACTTTGTTAACATTTACACTGATACTATCTGGACTTTGTGATGCTTGCTGATAGAGAGTTTTAAGTCTATTTTTAGCTGACTGTCACAAAACATCTTTGTCTTTACTTATTAACAAAACCACAGAGGTAGCATGTAATAATATTATCTTGTCTAATAACATCATGTGCGAACATTACGGTAATCAGCAAGCTGTAATTATTAAAAGAATAAGAACATAAGATAATATTTTGTTATTTGCAATTTGTTACCAATTTTAAATAACATTTTGGCAGCTTGAGACATAAATTACCAACCTTTGTGAATATATAAAAGCTCACATAAAGTGTCATTTAAAAATTACCTTCTTAATATTTTATTCACGCAGTGCTCTTCCCCAAAGTCCCTTACAATCTTGTATAAGCCCTGCAGGTTTTGCTGTCACAGTGGTTAAAGATTCCCGTCAACTAAACAATGAAACAGCACTTTATTCTTCTTTCTTATTTTCAACCGGGGTTACAGATGGTATAATAACCAACCACACAAATCAAAGGACTGAAAAGACATTGACGAGTCCCAAACCACAAGACAATAGTAGAGGGATGGACCATTAGAAAAGTGAAGAGGAGGAAAAAAAATGAAAAATTAATGATGCAAAATGCAAACATGGTAAAAATAAATACATTCAAAGCTAGCCTGAGTAGCAAGTGTTTCCGTGCTGTATCGGAGCAAAGAAAGACCGACGAACGGGATTCTCGGCTTTGGCCACACGAGAAATGAAATGAGAGCCCAAAAATGAAAGAGGGGGCCATTTTTTGCGCGGTCTGTGACTCTTGAAACAGCACGGAAACGTTTCCTATGCAGGCTAATTTAAAGCAGAAACTCCCTCATCCCCCTTTTCGCTTTTGTTAATATGGTCCACCCTAAAATACCCATAACAAGGTTAATGCCTATGCATCTTGAACAGCTTTAGAGAATTCTTCTTTTACTTGCTTCAGTAAAGAGGAATCACTTAGGACCTCAATAGCTGCAAAGCACAGGGCTTTAGCAGCAAGGATGGTTTGGTCATGGGCACCCTGTGTACCTGATACCTCTCGGAAGGCATGTGAGTGGTAAGGAACAGATTTTTTTATGCAATACAATGGATGCAACCCAGGAACTATCAAAGAAACATTTCCAAAGTCAGTGGATCCATCTACGATACTCTCTTGTTCTGCTCGTGATGGAAACACCATGCCCATTGTTTCAGCATATTTCTGATACAGTAGAGCGAGTTTGGTGTTCGACAGCACCCCAGCATGGGGAGTACTATCCCACTGAACGTCTACTGTACAGTTAGTAGCCTTTGCAGCTGCCTCAAAGCACGCATGAACCTTAGACTTGAGAACAGCACATTCTTTGTTCTTAATGGTACGCACCCAAAAGTCTAGTTTTGACTGTTCAGGTATGATGTTTGGTTTTACTCCACCATCAGTGATGACACCATGAACTCGCCAGGTTGGTTTCATCTGCTGTCGCAGCATGCTTATGGAGCTGTAAGCCATGACAGCAGCATCAAGTGCATTGCAACCCTCCCATGGGAATGCCGCAGCATGAGCAGCATGCCCCTTGTAGACAACTTTAACTTTTTCAACAACTTGAGAGACATAAAAGGCAGCATTAAATGGAGCAGGGTGTAACATTACGCAAAAATCCACGTCTTTAAAGCAACCGTGGTTGATCATTTTGATTTTCCCCCCGCCTCCTTCTTCCGCAGGCGTTCCCATAGCAACCACTCTAGCCTTAAGACCTGCCTCTATGGCGGACTTTAACCCTAAGGCCACAGCAACACCAGCAATGGCGATCAAGTTATGGCCGCATCCGTGACCAACTCCGGGCAAAGCGTCGTATTCGCAAAGCACACCAATTGTTGGGCCTGAGTCTTTGTCACCGAACTCTGCTCTAAACGCCGTCGGCAAAGTGTAGTGTTTCGTTACATCAAAGCCCTGCTCCGTAAAATAGTCGCTCAAAATTCCATGGGCGAAATGCTCTTCGTAGCACAACTCAGGTTTTTCCCATATCTTTAAGCTTATTTCTTGAAGATCTGTCGCTCGGCTTTCGATCACTGGCTTAGCGTGAAAAATGAACATTTCTAGCCCACCCGACATTGCAGACACTTTCTCAAGCCACAAACACACTTGATATTATAACAACGTACATAAAGTACTACGTGGTTGTATCAGAGATCATAGGTTCATGGTTCTTATGTCACCTGAGCTCGTTCCCAGGGTTTATCCTTTCCAAACAGAAATTTGAGATACATATTAAAATGGTAGTCCGATGTCGCGTCTCAAAATTTCTCTTGATACATTGTTTTTTATTTTTGTTTCATTTTTTCTCGGCCATCCTCGCCATCCCCCTCCTGGGTAAAAAAAAAAATAACCAAAAAAAATATCTTGCGGGGGTCTGGAGCATGCGGAGGAGGGGGACGAGAATTTTATTCAAGCATGCGCTATTGGGCACCAAGATGACGTTCTACGTCGTCCATGTTGTTGTGTGGCTCCGGTATTTAACGAAGAATTAATTTAAACCTTGAGACCATTTTTGAAGCCAAGAAAATCACTAATAGGTTTTTCGTGAGAAAGCCAGCTCGTTACTCGAGCAAGATGCATTCGACTGGGTTCCATGGCGTGTTTCTGTCGAGCATTTTACTGGCTTTCTTATTGTATTGCGTTTCCGCTGTCGATGAAGCTTACCAGTGCCCGTATAATATTCATGTACAGAAGGGACAGATTATAAAAGCAAAACAGTCTGTGGATAATGGAGCAAGATTTCTGAAACACACATCCGTTTATGATGCTCGGGAATGTCACCAGCTGTGCTGTGAGAGAAAATACTGCGATTTAGCACAGATGCAGTACAAGAATTCTTCAAATGAATTCTACATCATGCAAGTTGAGAAAATTTGTTACATGTTTCACTGCGGTGTTCCTAGTAGGTGTTTCTTCGAAGAACACGACCATTATGCTACAATAAGTTATGAAAGACCTGATGAGGAACTATCTGGCTTAGACAGCGATGATGATAATGAGTACAAAAAGCCTTCGGTGAAAGTCAACAAACCATCTTGGAAATCACAACAACCAACGCCACAAAAAGGTAATCTTGATTTTAGGCAGTTAACCATCAAAATAATGGGACAACTCATTCCCTTTGGCTTAAAACTTGAAACTATAAAGGTTTTTAGAAACAGGGGGATTTGAACAAGGATGAAGAAGTTTGCAAAACTTGATTATCACTCACTATCGTGATAATAACACAGTGCAAGCGATCGCTTTTGTATAAGCAATATTTTTGTACATAATTTTGTCCCCTAAATCTGCAATGAATTTGTTTAGTAAGGGAACTTTTGACCAAATTTTTGCTTCCTGCTCCCCATAACCTTACTTCCTTCTTCCAAAGATCAATTATCAGATTTCCCAAAGTGGGATCATGTTTCTCTTCTGGCTTATTATTTTAAAAGAGGCTTCGAGAAATATTGTTCCAGCCATATTTTTAAGAAAGGCCAAGTTACTGTGGTGAACTATTTGTTTGTTTTAATTTCTTTCATAAAAGGAGCCTACTTTAACTTGTCATGATTTTCTGTTTTGTGCGAGAGCATTCTTATTTATTCTGTCATTACCGCCTTATTTTAGTTCTCCAAAATTAATTTCAAAGCCACTGCACTATAAAATACAAATGAAAATTTTTAAAATTGATTTTTTAGCAAAAGTAACCAGAAACTGTACTCCTGGTACAAGAGTGGGTCTGGTCTGTGGAAGGCTGGACCCACAAGTTACTTTTTAGCACTGATATGATAATAAGTGAGTTAAGAAAAAAAGGAAAATAAATTTTGTACCAAATATAAAATTGATGCACAAAGTATTACAAATCCAGTTTGCAAGAAAAGGTAAAATCAGAGAAAAACAGAGCAAGGCTAGAAAGGTTCCTTCAATCTAATAATTTGCATTGTCATCTTATGGTGATGAGTGAAATCAGGAAATAATATCACATGTTTTGCCTGAATTCTAAAAATATCCGGAGCTATTAAGCAACTAGCCTGAGAAAGAAGTCAACGTTACCCTATGCCATCACTGGTTTCCCCGTAAAATAATGTCAGAGAAATGAGTGCAGAAATTCCTGATGATGTGTCACTACCCAGATCTTGGTAGTGCTTTGATTAATTAAAGCAAATTTCCCACATGGCACAACCAGTCAGAAGCATTACCCTGATCTGGGTAGTGATGAGTCATCAGTATGGAATTTCTGCAAACGTTTGTCAGATGTTACTCAGTTTAAGGGGAAACAAGCGATGGTGTCACGAAATGTAGGTTATTAAGCTACAGAAGTATCAAAATTTTGGACAAATGCCTGGTTGTAAAGTTCTTAAATAAACCTCTGAGATGTTTCTTTGTGATATGACAAACTTACGGTTTAAAGACAAGATACCTGGCTGTCAAGAAAAAGGCGTAAACAACTTTTCTTTCAGCAAGCCCAAACTGCAAATTAAAACAAAAGCCAGCTCCACAAGACCAAATTTAAATTAAATGCCAGGGCATTTATTGAGAAGATATATGACATTTATTTCTTGGATCCTGTTAGCATAGCTCCATGGTGATTTGAAAATGATATAATGTTCTAGACATCATCCTAAGACAGTTTATTTTTATTACTTAACTCAATAGATAAAAGTGATGAGGAGGAGGATTTAGGATCTGAACCTCACAAAGCTCCCAAAAAGAATCAACAGCCAGTGAAAGACAACCAAGAAAGTGAAGAACACAAAGATCTTCATAGCTCATGGAACACAAAATCGGAAAGTAAAAATGTGGATGATCATGCCAGTTGGAAATTTAAGGAGTTTGAAAAATCAAGAGATCATGTCAAGAAGACAGAAAGTCCTGTCTATCAAGAAGTTGTGAAAAACCTTGAAACACCCACAGAACAAGTAAGGGTTAAAACAAGAAAACCTGTAGTGGTGGAAGTGATGAAAGTCACTGAAAAATCAAAAGTACAACCACCAACAGAAAAAGACGCAGATGCTGAACTGGAGATGAAACTTGAAGAACTCACGCCGACAGAGCAACAGCCAGAACTGAAGACCAATCCCCCAGCAACCTTTCATCACTGGAGAGAATTTGTTGACAACAATCCCAACTTTCCTTACACAATTCCTGTGAATGAGGAGTCAACACCAAAACATACGCGTATCACAACCCAGTATCCTACCACAGAAAGAATAACAACTACAAAGACAACTGTGAAAACAGAGCCACGCAAAAAGACCAACAAACCAAAACCAAAGCCCCATAAAGGTGGCAACACCCATAGTAAGTGCAGTTTCCCTATTTTATATGGTATTTAAGTATAGGTCCTTATTTTACAACAGTAACCTGTTACTGCAATTCTACTGACAAACCTGAGGCCTACAATGCACTCATTTTACCCCCCCTCCCCCTCTCCATCAGTTCTCTGTTCTACAGATCTTTAAAGCTAATTAAATCATTCACCCCTGAGCTGCCCATAACCACCCGTGAAGATACACATCCCTTCTACCACTTGTGATGTCATCAGTTTTAATGGTCAAGGACAACTTTGTCTGCTAACTTGTGCAAAGTGAAGAGGTCTTTCAGACCGTAACAGAATGAACTCAATTTATTCAAGGACACTGGACAAAAAGGCAAAAAACCTTGTAACACTGGCCTGATAATTTCCACGAAAATGTTGTTTCACAACCGGCCTACCTTTCCTTTCATCTAATTCTAAGATCCTAAAAGCTTTCCTAAAAACTTTTCCCACCAAAATGAAGCCTACTAAATGCCCAGCAAAAGGGAAAAAAAGGCAAGAAAAGTAAAAGGCAAGACTGCTGTGTCACTTTCAAACCCAAAAACTAATCTCAAAGTTTTGCTTTCTGTGCATTCCCAAACTTTGCAAGCTAATATTTTGCACTTGGATCAGAAGGCCTCCACTAGCTTCAAAATGCATTTGTTGGCAAAAGTTCCAGGGGTGAATGGGTTAAAACTACTTGAAAAGAAAAGAAGTGGAGACAAAGATTTAGAGTCACACCTAGTTCAAGGAATGGAACTCAGAACCTTCCTCAGAGAAGGCCTTACACTGACCGACTGTGCTTATCCTTGTCCATGGTTAATTAGGATGCATAATAAACTCTGATAATATTCTTTACAACTTATAAATTTTTTTGCAGCTACTTTATTTACTGACAAGAGATATATCAAGACACATGTCTTTAAGTTGAAATCACACCTCTCTCTTTCGGTCTACCAGTAATATCCAGAGGTAGTTCACCTCTCTGGTGTCTAAGTCCCCAGGGATTTGAAAACAGCAGTGTTGGCCTTTCACTTTCCTCTTAACCTGACCACTAGAAACAGTAGACGACACAATGCTAGCAGCTTGATTTTATCAAATGGCCAAAAATGAATAGAAGTTAATCTCTTTCTCTTTTTTATTCAGAAGCTGTTGTTCCCACAAACCCTCATCCAAGACTTGAAGTACCATTACAGAACAAGAATGTTTCAGATGTTGTTGTCATAGAAACACAACATCTAAAGATTATCGAGAACAAGGCTGTACTTCCACTTGCTATTTTCCTCATATTAGCCATTCTGCTTCTCTTCGCTGTTGCTCTGAGACTCAGAATTGTAAAGAGCAAATTGAAGAGACGAGCATTTGCTACTGATGATGCAGATTATCTAATCAATGGAATGTACTTGTAATTAATAATAATAGTATTATTCTGTTAATTTATGAAGTGACATTTCTTAATGGAACAGTACAACTCTGAAACTGATCTCCAGATAGACCTAAAGACAATTTGCTACTGTGTTAAGTCATCTCAAATTCTTCTTAGAAAGACCACGTAATTGCAATCTCATTACAGGCCTGAATTGATTATCATTTAACAGATTTACAAAGTATTTGTTCCTCTGTCATTTTGAAAACACCTTATTACGAAGTGCTAATAATATTTCAGGTGTATTGCAGCATTGTACATTTCTCAGTTCTGTTCTATGCCTGCTTAAAGGGAGGGAATGTCAGAAAACTAAAATGTGGTGCTTGGAATAGTTACGAGAGCAATTCAAGAACGCATATTACAGGGTGCCTGACTTAAGTGACTCTGGTAGTATCAGCCCATCAATAAGTCACCCTTATCATACTTTCCTGACTGACAATAATATTGTTAGTTTTATCTGGTGATTTAAGGGGCAAGGGTTGTTTTAAATATTTGGCAAACTATTTGTCAAGAAACTTGTCATGAAATGTGCATCATGATATAAAATAAAGCTGTTTTAGTATACTTTATAGTAAGAACACAAATAATGCAATTTAGGTTGTATTTAGGAAATGCTTGGTGAAAAGATGATAATTTAAAAAATAAAAGTAATGTAATGTTAGTTTTGCTGTTGTACATGTTTTTTTAGTGAGAGCTTAGTGTCACTGTGGTGTTTCATATGTAGTATGCAGTGGACTGTTAAACTATCATAGAACTGTTAGAGAATGAAAACATTTAAAAAACAAGGGTAGAAGTACAGTTTTTGGTTGGCTGTGCTGGTCATCAGAAATGTACAGTAGATTCTTGTTTTAAAGCTTTGATAATAAGCAGAGTAGCACCAAAGGGCAGTAATGGCCTTAGTTCAGTTGAACCTCTCCACAATGGCCGCCTTGGGGACAGAAGAAAGTGACCGTTGTACAGAGGTTTAACCTTTAAGCCCCAGTATCCACATACAAATTCTCCAAACTGATCTCTATACATTTCCTTAAAGGATGAGTTGAGAGAATTTGATAAAAGATCAAGGCATTTTTACTTGGGTGATCATGTTATTAATTCTCATAACTTATCTGTTGACAATGTCTGGATATTGTTAGGAGAATATTGATCTTGGTCACTATTGGGACTTAAAGGGTTAAACAAATGAATGTATGGACTGTCCCCAAAAAAGGTGGCGGTTGTGGAGAGGTGGCTGTTAGTGGAGGTTTGACTGTATGTGCTAGTCTGTACTGAGCAAGAAATAAAAATAAATAGCTATTAAATACTGAGTGGTAATGTACTTTTGCTTGCATTTTTGGGCAGTGGAAACATCTTTCTCATACTTCCACAACTTTTGTACTCTTTACAGCTTTTGTAATTCCAGTACTTTCTGAAACTTTTTCTATGTCGTTTTTCACTTTTCCATGACCTTAAGTATAGCTGTCACTTTTGAAAATTTACAAAACTATGCTTGTTTTAGGGTATTTTTAGGTAACAAAATTCAACAGACATAATGGTGTAGCTTGCCAAAATTCAAACCTTCAAACTGTTTTGTAACTGATCTTCAATATATTTTGTCATTTTGTCCTTGCTTTGAAATCTGCATTGATTAATTTTCCATGTCTTGCCATAACTGATAACGGTAATTAAATTCCAAGACTATCCAGACCTCGAAAATGAAATTCTTTAGACAAATTGTTCCTGTATTGCATGGCTATACAATAATTGTGGAAGGTTCAACTGTAAATTGCTGGTGGGAATGAACTATTTGTACAATTTAACCCCTTTTCAACCTAGAGTAACAATAATCTTATTTGGATGCATCATAGTAAAGGACACCGGTTATGAAAGGAAATATTTTGGTTGAATCACAGAGCCCGCATAAGTTAATTGTGTACAAAACACGTGACTGCTCCCCGGTCATGTGACAGTGACTGCTAAAAGCATCCATGCAAAATACTTCAGAACAAAAACTGGCACCATGGGACCATGAAATAAACTTGTTTACTTCAACACTACTACTAATACTAAGAACATTAAATATTTTTTGTGCGCAATCTACTCCTGTTATGCTGTTACAACCCACTTCAATTTCACAAGATGCTTTCAGCTTGCTATCTCAGTAGGGACGCCATAAATTTTTCTAAGTTCCTGTAAAATCTCAACATTCTTTGTCACTTTGCATTTGTTTTCCATGTCATCTTCCAAATTAACCTCTTCCAGTCTTTTAATAAGTTCTGAAGTGATCTTTCTTTCCTCCTCACCAAGGAATTTCAGAGAAAGATCAAACCTGTTTGTTTTTGACAATTGCAAGAGAATATCACAAACTGCCTTTGCATCATTAACGTTTAAATAGTTCAGCAAACTTGAGAGAAACTCTCCCAAAAATCCCATGCTTATCTCTGCCTTAAAAATTCTCCCAAGTTCCTGGCCACCAATTTTCAATAAGAGTTCATATTTTTCCTTTTCAGTCTTGCACTGACGCCTCCATACTTTTGAAAATTCATGAGCACTTTGTGGTGTTTTCATAGTAGTAGGCAGAGATACATCAGAATGAACATGTGTTGTCTGTGAATTTCCTTGAGCATGTGGATTCCAGGGTTGTTTACGGGTCTGTTCCCCTGTAAAAGCAAAAAAAACGCTTATAAAACTCCCTAATGAACCCTCTTTATGGATTCCAACAAGTCTTAATAACATTAAAATTAAGTGGTTTACCTTTGTGGTAGATGTGTAAAGTGGGGGCCTGGTCATGTGTTAGACCTTAATAAAGGTGCTTCAGCCCGAAATTACCATCAAAATTTAGATTTATAAGATTCCTTATTCTAAACATATTGGTAGCGAATTTCATTAAATAAGTTTTAGCTAACCTGTGATATCTTTTCGCTCCAAAGGCTTCAAATGTGCAGCACTGACAATATCCCGAAACTCCTCGTAACTTCCAACACGCTGCTCGACAGCACGGAATTTTGCACTATTTTCGAGATCATACTTCGCATCCGCTTCAACAGCTAAGGCTAGCTCCCTTTCTAGTCTCCGAAAATCAATTCCTTCGTCTTCGTTCATAGCTTTTAACCCCAGAAAACAACACAGCCACAGCTGTATCGAATCTGTAAACGAAAACTCGAACGACGAACCGCTGTTTCTACCAGGCTGAATGAGAGAGCACTGGGGCTGAATTTGCGGAATCGTTACCAGTTTCCTTGTTTCTTGCCCCAGTCGGCAAAATGATAAAGTTGCTGGGTAATGCGGTTTGAAATTATTAAATTGCTGTTTCAAATAAAGTGATTGATTGATCGAATAATTATCGCATAATTTATTTTTTTAATACGAGAAAGAAGTAAAAAAAAAAAACGGTGACCCCTTCCAGACTAAAAAAAATGACAATACTCAGCACTGATAGTCCTTGATATGTTAATCATGATGTCCAGAAAACCATTAAAAAAACAATAGCCCCCATAGACTAGAGCTAATTCGTTGGCGGCGCTCTTTCGAGAAACTACCGAGACAGAAGAGGACGGTACGTGATTTGATTTCCCATGGACCCTTTAGAAGTGCCAGTTCTAATCAAGAGCATTCCTATTCATCAATAAAACAAATGGTCAATTTGATTGAACAGGGAGATTATTACAGAACCAATCTTTCACAATATTGACGGGCGGTACAATTAATTTTCTTTTCTCAAGCAATCGAGGTTTAGTCAATTAATTGAAGTGACTAGCTCTTGTTTGACGTCTGCTTAACGAACGACCCCACAGAAAGTGATATGTGCTTGCTGAGCAAATAATTGGTAAACAATGCTCTCAAAAAAGTCTATGAAAATAGAGCAACTCTTTGATTATCAGACGAAAAATACCTCTTAAAATCAATACAGCTGCGAAAAGACTTTTAAAGTGAACAACTATGCTAAAAGGGTGCCAAGTATCGTTGATTAGTGTCATTCGCCTAAACTATGTGTAATTTACAATTTGGACATTTACTAAGTCCTTCATGAATAAAATGTGACTTGTATTTCGCCACTGAGTAGAAGCGTATAATTAGAGGAACAATGCATTTCGATCATCAGCAGCTCTAAGTTTACATATACGTTTATTAATTTGACTCAAATCCGTTGTCTGGTACGGCTTATAACAAACCGTTATCCTTCTAAAACAATATGCTTGTGTTATTCCTACCTAGGTTTGGCCTGGGAAAACGAATCTTCAAGAGACGACTGAAATCATTCTAAAAACTACACTTTTACGCATGGTTATAGCTCCTTCCATTTCCGATGAATAGGTTGTTTAAAAGGCTTAGGTGAATGCTAAACTAATTAGCAAGAACTTCCTTTTGTAGTTTATTCTGAGTTTATCATGAGCATTCAGCGCGGGCATATCAAAGTTAAAAGAGTGAGCCTAAACCTTCATTCAAGGAGCTTCAGTGAAAATAATGAAAGCACGTCTTCTTTAGCATCGTCTGTTCTTCCGCGGGGAAGAAGCATTAGCGACCCTATGTTCTCTGTGGTGCGGATCAAGACTGACGAAAGCGAAGCAAGCGAATTCGAGGATAAAGATCACTTGGAGACTGGAAATGAAAATGACCAAGGCTTTCCGAGTCTCAAGACTTCATCTTTTTACTCTACGTTAGATACGTTTCAAGAAGAAATTCCTAGAGAAGCTCTCTTAGGGAAAACTAATAGGGACTTAGCCGTTTGGAGATTTCGAAGCGGGAGTGACTCTTTGGTATTTTCTTCCCTCACAGATCAATCACACTCAGAGCGTTTAAAGGCGAGAGGGCACCCACTATTTTCATTTTTAAGAGAACACTCATCCGAAGCGATTAAATGCAATAGCCACGAGGAAAATAATAATCAAGAATCCTCGGTTTGGAAACGCCGTTCTCGAACAGTATCCTTTTCTAGTCACTCTCTCTTGTGTTCGGCGATATCGCAAGACGATGTTGAGGAGCTAAGCAACTTGATTGACCGGGAAAACCTGGACCTCAATCTCCCGGATGAATTTGGAAACACTTTACTTCACCGCGCAGCAATAGATGGAAGCTACCGCTGCCTCAATTTTCTTCTCTCGCGCGGCGCTGAAGTCGACGTCACTGATAATAGAGGCTGGACTGCGCTTCACGATACCGTGTTTCATGGGCATACCCGCTGTGCCGTTTTTCTTATTATCTCGGGCGCTGACGTAGAGGCCGAGACAAGTGATTTTCTCAAACCAATTGAAATGGCCGAAGACGATGAGATGATTTTAGTGATCGGAAGGGCAATGTCAATGAATAGTGGTAAAAATTCCAAAAATTGCAATTACGATAAAGAAACGTTAGTTTAATGGTGACTCAGTTTAGAACGAATCTCAAAAACTTCCGCAAACGTATTAAACTTTTGAAATGACGAAATGACGAAAGTTTTTAACTGGAACAAGAGAGTTAACATTTCCTTTTCCTTTTTTAATTTCTGTATAAAATCTGATAAAGTCAATTAACAAATAAACAAAAACAAAAATGATGCTAGAAATAACAAGTGACTTATACTCGAAAAATAAAGACATATGCATGGACATAACTACAAGAGCTAGTGACCTGGTGACTAGAATCAAATTTCTCCTCCTTCTATCAATAGACCATTTCCGGGTTTTAAAAACTCTCACTTTCCAAACGAGGCTAAGTGCAAAACCTTTGATGTGAAAATGAGTTTTATTTGCATGAGAATAGAAAATCATTTTCATAGCAATGGTTGCGCACTTAGCCTCCCTTTGAAACAGAGGCTTGGACCGACTCGGAGGTGGCCTAAGACTGACTTTAGTGCACTGAGTTATATCCTGATAAACTATCTACTTTGCTATCACAGACAGGATACAACGTATGTAGAAAAAAAAGTGTGGCAATTTTCCTCTCTTTCAGCAAGCCGGTCTAAATAGCGGGGGAACCAGGAGGATAAAATCGGACGTCAGCATGTAAGGCGTACTTTCATTCCATTTTAGTCCATTTATCCTCTCACCTTGCCCATTGATTCCGACCAATGACGACGGACCCAGATTACCAGGAACCACTGAATAAACATCCAGTCAGATAGACCATGAAAATGGGGTTTAAGCACCCTGCTCTCTTGAAAAATGTATGGTTTCTTTTTCGTCCCTATCTAATCTATGTGTAAGGATCGTGGAGACCAAGGCCAGCAACGCCAGGGCATAAATTGAATTAATGTATGTATTTTGTAGGACACAGTTTTCATTGCCTATGCCTGTCACTCTAATGGGCGGAGCCAGCCTTTTGATGGTATAGCAGCTCAGAAAAGCCTTTTGCTGATCTCTTAAACTTTCCGATAGTGAATAGACGGGCTTGGAAAACTAATGTACGGACCAACAACTCTTTATAAACAGTTTTGCCGAAGGTAGAAAGGAAATGGTACTTACCTTAAAGAAAATTGATGTTTTTGAAAAGGAAGAAAGGAATTCAGTTTCTAAAGGGATTCATTAGAGATAAGTTATGAATGTCCATTCAATTGTTCAGCTTTTGAAGGCGGTAAGGTTCAAAGAGAGAAGGAACCAAAAGTTGTACTCTTTTCAAAAGCAGCGTCGGCGTGTTAAAACAAGAGCTAACAATAGATTAGCGAGTGTAAGAACAAAAGTCACCTATTAAAAAGTGTACAATGATTTTGCATTTACTAAGGTTGAGAGACTTAAAAACGCATGCAATTTTCTCATGATCTTCCGCAATTCTTGAGAAAGATAGGGTAGGCTTTTTCATCCTTTATGGATATAAATCTTACGTTAGTTTTGAATGAGACCAGAAAAAATCTTTAGTAAAGGTTTTTTGTTGCTGAACAAAAAAACAACAACAAATGAAACAGAGACGTAATCAATTTATTTACCTAAATTCGCACATACTTACATTAAATGTCTTTAAGAAAATGAAACACAATCAAAGAGGATGATGTTTTTGGTAGTTACACAAATGAAAAGTACAAACGTTCCGTGATCAATGGCCTTTTCACATAAATCACAAACGCCTTAAGTCATCGGGAAACTTTTACAGTGAGTAAGCGATTAAGTCTAACCCAAGGGATTTACGTCAGTACCATAACAATGTAGTCACAGGAACCGAAATTCTGTAGGTATTTGTTTGCGAAACAAAATCGTCTCTAGCTGTACAGTTATATAACATGTCCTCGACAGGAGATTTGTCACACCTGCTCAATTTTGCTTAGAAAACGGCAGCGCTGATAGTTCAAGTTGCCCTAGGCGTACGGGTCGTGACGACATTGCCGGACTTAAGCTTGTTGAAACGGCAGCGCTGATAGTTCAAGTTGCCCTAGGCGTACGGGTCGTGACGACATTGCCGGACTTAAGCTTGTTGTCGTCATAGGAAGATCATTGCAAAGAAAACGAAGGTGCTAACTACAAGCATTGATATCAATTGTTTGAAGATGTTTGCTCTGCACCGAGCATGCGAAGAAGGCAATTTAATTTTAGTGTCAATATTGCTGGAGAAGGGATTGAATGTGAACGCTAAAGATAAACAAGGTAGAACACCATTACATATTGCGTCGAAAATAGGAGATAAACTATTAGCGGAGCTCCTGTTTCAACGAGGCGCGGACATTTGTTGCAAGTCAGCGCGCGGTAAAATTCCTTTGGACTGCAGTCATGATGAGGAAATGACATTACTCCTTGTACAAATGATGGCACGCACGGGAAAAGCTCAACTTGCAAAAGAACGTTTACAGTTCGAAGAGTTAACGGAAAAGGCCAGACAAAAAGTCGCCAAACAATTAGACATAAAATCAACTCGGAAAAAGTCCATTCCATTCTCTCAGTTATTAGGCAAGCGGCCCATTGCTAATCTTTTGGGATTTAGAGAGCCTGATTCAAGGCTATCAAGCCTATCCAACGTGTCCGACTGTAGCAGGTTCAGCGAAGCCGAATCAGGCTTTTGCGAGATGGACAAGTCTCCTGATAGTATTTCAATGGAGTCTGTGCAAACAGATGAGTCCATTTCAAGTGGATTCATGTCAGTCGATGATGAGTCAACGACGCATCTTACCAGGCGTGCAACAACGGCGCTTACCAAACAAGAATTTGCTGCCTTAAAACGCTCTCCTTTCATGCCGCGAAGTCGCGCCATCTCGGAACCACCTCCAAAGAGGACAGTCAAACGCTCGTCAACATGGAATATTACGCGAACGCAAACAGGCACGTTTCCGCGTTCCGTTTTAAGAAACCGCATCTACAAGAGCGTGACGTTTCCAGCTGACATTCTGCTAGACATCGCAATAAAAAACGACGACTTCGTTGAGACATGTCATCTGATAAAATCACGAAAAGTTGACTTTAATCGAGTCGGGTGTAACGGCCTGACTCCTCTCCATCGCGCTGCCATCGAGGGAAGCTATGAATGTCTTCAGTTACTGATCGATCTCGGAGCAAACGTGAATGTCAAGGACGAATATGGATGGACGCCTTTGCATGACGCCGTGTTTCATGACCATGTCAACTGCGCAACAGTCTTAATAAACGCTGGAGCGGCTTTGGAAGCCGAAACGGACGATTTTTGGACGGTACTTGAAATGGCGGACAGTGATAAAATGATCTTTACGATTGGAAGAGCGTTAGTTGTTAAAAACAGCGACGGGGACAAACGTGACCTAATGTACTGGGAAGATCAAGTATTTGAACCTGTCTTTGATCCTTACAGAGAAACATGTGTATAAAATGAATATAGCTTAATTTTATTATGATAGTAGGACGTTTATTTATCTATTTAGAGTTATTTAAGACAAGTTTCATTTTTATTCACTCCAAGATTCTTCTTAAATAGTGCAATAACATTTGAAGACTGTACAGTAAATTTTACTCATTATAAATAAAAAGAAATGATCATGGAACGAACGTCTTTTAGTGTGAATTCTATACATTTTCAGATGGCCAGGAAGAAGATACTTCAAGGACAAAAGACGCCGAGGTCTATTCTAAGTGAACTGTGATTTAATTCAGTTGACTGATGACGCGACAGAAGTTTTCCAAACAGGTTGTTTCCTTAAACAGCCTCTTAGCACAACCAATATTTGCTAACTCTCTTGTAAGTGTGGAATGGATATTATCACATACTTGAGAAAGTTATTGGCAAACTTCGAATTTTCAATAGCGTGTGAATTCAAAACAAAGTTCGCCCACTCACCTGTACGCATCATTTACTACGAAAGATAAATTGCGGTATTGTCAAAGGCGCAAATCAATTTCCAGATTTTAAACTCGCTGTCCCCGAAGAAAGCTAAAAGAAACTTTTACTACTAGCAGCAACAGAAGAACTGCTACTACTTCTACTGTCACGTGTACGATCACGTGGATGCTCACGTTTTAGCTATTGAGGCTCCCCCCAAATCATTTGCATTTGGTTTTGGACTTAATAGAACCAAAACCAATTGCCTAAAAATGCACATGAAATTGCACTATGAAATTTTTGTAACAGCGCTATCTGTTTTTAATAGGCTGCGAAAGGTTGTTTTAACCATCTTTCTAGAAAATGCAGAATGTCTCGTAATTGTGAACTGGCACTCATTAGAGCTAGAAGTCCAGCAACGTGCCAAGACAGAAAAAACGAGGACGCTCATTAGTGCTAGTGTTTTTATTGTTAACTAGTGCCCTAACAATAGCTACTGTCTCTTCATCCATTAGCCATTAAGAAGTAAAAGGTTCTTGAATAACCTTCACTACCAGGAATCGTAGAATAGCGTGGGATTTTCAAGCGCAGTAAATTGTAAGTCGCGTTTATAACGATTACAAAATGGCAGAGAGACTAATATGTCAGACGAGTATCGGTTAAGATAGAATTAAGGAGTTAATATAGGAATTACCAATTTCAGTTGCCGCACGAACCAATATCGATTGCAGCCCGTTTGTTTCTGGCAACCCTAGTCTTTGCCGGCGTAACTTTGTAATGTTCAGCGAATGAAAACAACCATTAGTTGTAATTAGCTTCCATTTTTATACCCTCATAGTGACAGCTGAAAACGACAAAACAAACATTAAAAAACGTTCAGCAGAGTAATTTACAACGCGGAGTCATCAAGACTTTTGTAAGCAAAATCAAAGCTCTCTTTGTAGTCAAAATTGAACGTTCTTTGAATAAAAAAAGAATTCCTTAATAGACAATTATTTTTATTTGCAATTCGTTCTGTTTGCAGTTAGGTGTATTTCAAACAGTGGCAAGAGTTTGGCAAGGCAAGATTTTCCAGAGCGTAGAGAGCAGGGTTAAGTCTCTTGGATTTACAATAAGTCACAACGCCCACACTGACGCCCACAAAAAAGACTGGAAACTTAGTTTGATACAACATGTATACGTTATTCTATCTGTAGCAGAATTTCATCTTCTGTAACAGAAGCACCCGGGAATTAAGAACTCTTGTCGGAAATCAACATTAATTCTTTTAAGATATAGACATTTTGAAAGCAAAAAATAAAGCCCCTTCATCCGCGAACTGTTTAAAGGAACAGGAAACTTTTCGGAAAGCGTTCCTCTTTGTCTTTTGTACTAAAGTCGATAAAGCCTTTCTGTAATCGACGACACGTAATTTCATTACGTTATTCTGTCAAACAAATAAATCCATTCAGGAAAAGGAAAAAAACAAACCCAGGAATGACTTCTGATATCACACAACAACAGCGTCTCTCAAACAAAATCAAACGAAAAGAAGGCGCTGCACAGGTCGACTATCTGACGAAACTGTTCATATTCCTGATTTACAAAAAAATGTTTCGTTTATCAAAATCAAGGAGAAAACTTTAAAAGGCGGTCTACTTTTAATCAGTCCAACCAGCGCAAAACCGGAAACGGACCCCGCAATACAAAGCAAGAGACACTGAGTTACAGCCCACTCGGAAGCCTGACGCACTAAAACAGATTGCAAGAACAAAGAAGAAAATGAGCGTTTGTCTATAACCTACTCAATGGATGCAGTGAATATGACAATTTCAGCACAGAGCACACCAGTAAAAATGGTAATTCGAACACACCGCGTACGGTTACCAAGCAACAGAGCAAAACAACAAGGCTCGATTTCCGTCGCAGTCTCGGTCCTCCCCGAGAAGGGACGGCTGGTCACGTGAGTGTTCGATTAGGCGAGGAGCGCGGGCTCATTTTCCTAACAGCGGCTGTTAATCGAGCCTAGGTAGGTACTTTATGTATGATTATTATAGTGTACCGAGATATCGAGCCTACAAAGCAACCAGCACAACTGAAAGTAAAGTATCCCACGAACAAATTGTTCCAATCAATTCTTTTGTTGATATCGACTTCTGCCATGAGGGAATGTATGAATGAAAGGTTTCACAGAATGTCAAATTTCCTATCCCTAGTTATCTCATCAACAACACAGAAAATTTTCAACCGTTTATTTAACTTTTAAATTTTCAATTAACATTCTAACAGTTGGCCAGTTTCATCACAATCACCAAGGCAGCCAGAGTGCAAAGCTGAGTTTTCATCTATTCAAATGACATCCAACAATGTTACATTAAAAGTCAAAAGCGATTTGAGCAATAACTTAGAGTTAACGACTAGACAATTTGAATGGCGACGTAAATATTTTCCATTTTAAGTTATTAAATACTGTTGGATGGGAAAAGTAAAGAACAATTTTTCAAATAGTTATAACAGTGTAGGAGACTGACAGTAAGATCGTTTTTAAACGCCCTTAAAAAAGTACACGTTCTGGATTAGTATTTTCTCGCCTTTTTACAGATTGTTTACGACTGGATGAGCTTTGAAGTATCACGTTATCAACATCACCTTTATATTAGCAATTTAATTATTAAATTCTTTACCATTTATTTTTAATTTGACTATATTTACGTAAAATACGAAATTGTTGGTTAGTTGTTAAATCTTCTTACCCCTCCCCTTCAGCAAAATGCTAGGTTAGGGAAATGGTAGGTGGGTAGTTTCTTAGAATCTTATCATCAATGTACAAGAAATAGTCATGTCCATGGATCTGCCATTCATATCCTAGCAATTCAAACAAAATATTGCAGTTTTGTCTCAAGAATTGTCAGGCCACATATATGCCAAGTAGTCCGTTTCGAAGTACCTATCTGACCACTTGCCGTAAGACAAAAGATGCACCACTTAATCGCTCTAAGATCCATTGAACTGCACCTGTGTTGAGTAGTATCTGTAACGACAGATTTGAATTCAGTGAATTGGTCTGGAGTGCAAACGTTTGTCTCTGTTTCAAATTATTTCCAATATTACACCGTTGCGCGATCGCGATAAGCCATCTTTTTTTTTCTGAGTGCAAAATCGGTGGTATTTTTCACGTGTAATAAAAGCATATGCCACAGGACACATAGCAATCGTTAATTTCCTGTCACGTGATAGAGTCTTCACAGCCAATAATACCACTCCACAGACCAACCAGTAAATACGCCAGTTATTTGTCTTTAAATGCGATGTTTTTCTTTTCAAACATGAATCACTATAAACGTTAATTTTCCAGGGGGAAACACTCACAAGAAAATAACGTAAGCTGATGGAGATGATTTTCGTCTCTACTGCTGAGCCGATTATATGTTACACTTTCTCTCTCCAAATATGAGATCACAGCCCACAACTTCCATGACACATGATGATGTTGCTAGCTATTGTTTTGACACAGCAATGGTGGAGTTCTGGTGTTGGCAACAGGAAATGATGCTCAGGAAAGGAACAGTTTAAAGCGAACCAGTTTTGGGATCTTTCCATCCCGACCGCTGACCTGAAAAAAGAGATCACTGTGCATTAAAAATGGCCTGAAACCTGAATCCATCAAAAGCCAACCGCGTTTGCACGAAATAAAAGACCCTGGGAACAAAGGTTGACTATAAACTCGAAAAGCTAAGCAGGCATGCGAACACAGGGACCCCAAGGTAGCGACGCGCACACGGATGGCTAAAGCAGACATTCCCGATAATATGCATCCTTTTTTGTATTTTTGGTTTGTTTGAGAACCCTTGGACTTAATGTTACAGTAATGGAACTCTGCTGGGGTGAATATGTTCTTCAGGCCTAGTTATTTTAAGCAAATGCGTTTTTGAGCAACGCACGTCAAGCGGAAGTGCACTTTGTTCCCTTTTTATATGCCTTGATGCTACTGAATTAGGGCAAAACTACTGCCCAAGTATGCAAAAAGCACACTTCCGGTAGACCTACGTCGCTCAAAAACGCCTTTTCTTAAGCTCCCAAATACCAAAATCCTCTTACCATTAATTTTCCTTGAAAAATTAGCATCATGAGTCCATCCATAAGTTCGCTTCATGCACCCAGATTTCATTCTTGGGCTAGCAGTTACCATAGCAGTGCGACTACCCTGCCTCGATCCCAGGGGATGGTACAAATCCATTGCCATGTTGTAAGACAATGCAGCGGGAGAAGGTTGATACTTCATGTAAGGGGAGCGTCCTCGTCCTTTAACCTTGCGAGAATTTACAACAGCTGTCTGTGGTCCTTCTTGAATAGGACGCCCGTAAATATTTATATCATTTTGTTCAGTTTTTCCTGATGCAGAAGTTGGGGCAGCTTTTTTCCGTTTATCGGTTTTATTTATGGTTTTCTTTTTTTCAAACTTAGTTCTCATGTGTTTTCTCCATGCTAACTGTATCGTGAGAGCAGCGACTTCTTCACAGAGTTGTTCTTGTTCTTTTGTCACGTCACGCATCATCATATCGCGCTCTCTACGTTCGCGTTTAATTGAGGTCCACTTCCTAAACCATCGCTGAATCGTTACCGCTGCATTCACTTTCGTACGTATTAAATGAAGTCGTTCACGCTCTTTTCGTGCGAGCTCTGTCTTTGAAAAACCGCTGTGCATTTTGGTCACTCTTGATTCAGAATGCTCGTTATCAATAAAATCACTTTCTGTAGCACTTTCTTTCAAAGAGCTTTTACTGCTGGAAAAGGAAAAGCCTTCGTCCAGTTCCACATCTTCGTCCAGTAACACAGAAGAAACAATTTTCACCAGCTCGGAATTAGCAAGAGAACGCTTTCTAGACTCCTCCTCTCTTGGTGAAAGGGGTAAAGACGTCGAAATAGTTTGTTCCTCGCTTAATCCTTGTGATAAATTATCGACTATCCTTTCAGTCGTGATATTTTGTGCAACGTCGCTTCTTGGCAGCTGGGACTCTAGAACCAAGAGATCTACCTGAGACTGTCTCTGCTCTTCACTTGAAGACAAACTTTCTCTCCTCTGTTGTTCCTGCTCCAGAATGACTTCGTGGCTTCTCGAGCTATCCATGGTAGAGTTTTCTATTTCTCTGACAAGGGGGGAACAGTGTAATAAAAGCACGTTAATACATACATTTTTTACCACGAGAATAACATAAGCTTGCCGTAAACGTTATGATTCTACTGCATACGAATACAAGTCAACACCTAACCGACACACCAATTTATGATATCAATACTTTTTCCATATGGCTGTTACCGAAAATTTGCGGAAAATAGCAATTTTTTTCGGAACATGGAACCAGTTTGCAAGAAGTAACCTGGAGCTCCTGGGATCACTTTAAGTTCTTATTGATCCATTACGTTGATTTATTTATCGTTATAAGCCTTTTTAATTGGGTACTTTAAAACAAAAGCTTTTTTTTGTCCAATCACAACAGATGTAGACCATCTAGGGAACCAATCAAATTTCAAGGCCAAGCGCGAGAGGACGCGCGAAGGCTCGTCACCACTGTTTTCGTCTTGCAATTGATTGGCTGAAATTGGCGCGAGATTTTGCTAATCCCAAATCGTACAAATGCAAACCAGAGCAACTACTACATGTATACCACGTGACATTTACTCCGGGCATTATAAGCAAATAATAAGGAAAAAATACCTTGGAGACACACCGCGAGAAGACTGGTTAGCACACAAGTCCGGAGTCTTTCTTTGGCCCGCTACACTGGCACGTTTCCTGACCTTTTTCACCCGTTCGTGTTTTACGAACAGGTCTTTCCGGACTAAAAACCCTTTGCGCACTCGATGACCGCGCCAGCATTTCTGAATAGTAGTGGAAGCAATATCCTCGATTCCATTTATAGTTAAGGCTCCTTGCTCGATCATATACTGTTCAAAAGAACAAAAGGGAAGCAATCTCGATAAATACTTCATGGGAAACAGTGGGCAATGGGACAAAGAAAGTTTTACAGCAACACCGAATTACTATTACCATTATGTTATTTTAATCGAAATTTCGGGTTTTGCAGCGCAAATTGTAAATGCTAGCTGTTACCCTTTGTCTATTTTATTGATACATAAAGTTTTCCCTTGTTACCTGAGCAACATCTTGATGGTCACCAATTATGGCGTAATCAAGAGGCGTCAATCTGAATTGAAAACAGATTCATCAATTAGTTTCTGTGAAAACCCAAGAGATATTATAAAAATCTCTGACTTTCTCATAATGATATTTTCTTAAACTGCAAGCAAGTGCCTCTACCTTGTACAGGTGGAATTTACAAAAGCTATACATCCATCACCACTCTACAGACTGGTATTAATGTCAAACACCTGTCCGTACCCCCCTCAGTAAAAGACAGAAAATGGATTATTCTTCAGTAGTACTCGACCCTCTCCACCCTAGCAGTGATTTAACCTACCTGTCAGTGTGCCCCTCAGTAAAGTTAGGAAATGCTTTGTTCCTAAGAAGCAGTTTAACAGCTTCCAAATGTCCCGATGCACAGCTCCGGTGTAAAGCTGTGATGCCGTCTTTGTCTTGATGATCCACATACGCACCATGCTCTATTAAAACTGTCATGAACTTAACAAACCCACCATGAGCTGCGCATTGCAACGGAGTACGGCTACAAACAAAACCAATTCGCCAGTTAAGAAACTGTAGACTGTAGAAAGGCAGGGACAAACTCTAAGTCTCCGGTGTATTCTGGAGGTACTCGTGTCTAGAGGGGTCTAGTAAGAAGGGGATGACAGCAAGACACGGCCCACTACAAAGTATACCCAAATCAGAAGGAGACATCATTTATCCTTTTCTTTCTTTTGCCCTTTCTTGTGTTTACAGTACCACAACAGAATCCCGAGTCCCGCCGGATCCCTCGGTTTCTGGAACCTTCCTATTTTTCGCAGTACAAACACTGTAATTTAAACCGAATGTTTTAAACCTCCAGATAATTTAAGGTTCGGAAAAACAGACATTCCACCGTAATATCTTCAGTCAGTGTAATATTTATCTAGCCTAGTCTCTGTAAAGCGACTTCCCTCGCCTTCTCGGTCAATGCATTTCACATAGTCCGCGGGCAATGATGAGGCCTAGGGACAAGGTAAGTATTCATTTTTGTGTATGCTGATCTATACTAATTATGTAATTTATTTCATGCAATGCCAACAACTGTAAACTGAAAGGAAGAAGTGAAAATCAATTGCAAAGGAAACACGTGTCAAACTCACTTCATTTTATCTCTGCTGTCTGCAGCTAAACCCTGTTCTACTAAAGCGAGGCAGATAGGAGCGTGACCACCAAGCGCAGCCCAATGAAGCGGTGATCGACCGTCTAAGTCTTCAAGGTCTATTGCCGCCCCATCTGTGATAAATAGTAAGATTCAAAGGTAATTAGCACCAAACTTAAAAGAGGTGTCCCCCACCCACCCCTTGAAGGTGTTAACAACACATGGCTAGTGCGGCAGACCCAATTTCCGAGACGAATAATGTACATTGAAATGCAAACTCGTCCTATTAAGGACGGTAGGGATATTATCGCCTGTGAAAGCAAAATCAAAGTGCTAACAAGACGAAGTCAATTAGGGGAAGGGGTGAGGAAAAGCAAAATGTACAACACCAAAACAAACGCTTGTTAATGAAACAGACTGAAAAGTCCCACTTCCCTCCCCAGGATTCCCTTTTGCCTTCAATTGGGGGAGGGGCCAAGAAAAGCAAAAATGTGCAACACTAAAACTACTATTTTTAAACAAACGCTTGTTAATGAAACAGACTGAAAAACAATCACTCACTTAGAATCAAATTGTGGACAACTTCCGTGTGCCCCATTTCGCATGCGCGGAAGAGGGGTGTGTGCTGTAACCTGTCCACAGCATTAACGCAGGCTCCAAATTCAACAAGCAGCTCCACACAATCCACGCGACCAGAATACGCAGCTGCATGAAGCGCGGTACCATCGGTATTGTCCTTTGTGTGTACATCAAGTTCGTGGTCTAGCATCGTCTCTAACGCCATTTCACTTCCTGAAAGAAAAATCACCACTTCAGTTGTACAAACGTCAGGTTGCGTGTTGCCATGTTCTATGAACTTAAAGGTCAAGCTCTTAAAGAGAATTTCGGCATTTACTAAACAACTATAAGCAATTCGTCACTTTAGAAACGGGCGAAGAACTGGGGACGAAATGTTCCCCGCGAGTGTTTCTGGGATCGTTAATGGGGAAGCGCCAGTCAGCTATCGGCCAATTTTTTCCCTAACCCTTGCCACAGTCCCAGAGGCCTTTGCGAAAGTTAACTCGGCCCAGTTTTCTTTTCTTATTAAGTTGCACGTTGAACTGGATTGGTGTTGTATCGAATTGCATCATGGGAGTGTATTGGGGACACTGCCGCTTCTTTCATTGGCTATTGCGAGGTTGCGGAGGAAACTGGTTAAAAATTTGTCCACCAAAACCCGACCCCTACTAGACCCCCAGTGCAATTCTACCCAGTCACAAGCACACTCCAAATGGCCGATAGAATTGATTGACATAACAAAATAACTGCTTGGAACAGTAAAAGAGTAGAAGAGCAAAGACTGAGAAATGTGGTAACGCCAAAGAAAAAGTTTCCCTCAATTTGCATGAAGGTGTGACTTACGATGCTCGGGAGTGATCAGTGTTTGCTATGAAGCGATGATTTTGTCAATAAACGGAGCTGCTGAAAGCTTGTAGCCAGAAGCATTGAAAATAACGTGACCTAGCCTTCCAATCCCATCACACGATTCAAGGGAATTTTCTAAGCTTTGGACAGACAAGAATAAAACACACCTTTTCCAGCAGCCCACATGAGTGCTGTTCTGCCTTCTTTATCGGGGATATCCTCTATATCATCAAATGACAAGAACACCTCTACAGTCTCACTGAAGTTACCCTGAGCCGCGTAATGAAGTGCAGTGGCTCCATTGTCATCTGCGGCAGTGAAGTCTGCTCCTTTATCCAGCAATAATTTCACCAGCTGAGAGTTGCCTGAGGGTACACAGATAAAGTCAATGTCTGTGTTCATTCCCGCGATGATTGTTGGGACATTTTTGGTGAAAAACCCTCGAGTAATGACTCATAAAACTTGGGGTCTATGCCACACGGAACAAGGCCATTTTTTTCCGGGAAAAATAAAACTATATGTGTAACCACTTTATCGTGCGACAAATTTTCCGTTAAGCTTGTCCATGGAAATGTATAAAAAAGTTCACATTTTGAATCCCCGGGTCCCACGATAAAAAACAACCAATCAGAACCGTAGCTATGAAATTTCCCGCGTAAAAAGACACAACGCACACGTCACAAGGTGACCAACACGGGAAACAAACTTGGGCGTTGCCGCTTTTACCTTGGTTAAAGTACCACGGGCGCAAAATTCCTAATAATGTGAAGGCAACAAACCTAATACAGCCGCCCAGTGTAGTGGTGAACGTTTCATGTTGTCTTGAACGGATACTTGACACTTCCCAACAGCCAGTAACGCCCTGACCGCCGCTTCATTATGTTGAGCTACAGCTAAATGAAGAGCTGTTCTACCCTCGCTGTCTTGGTGGCTAATTATGTCAAAATTTGCATCCTTAAAGCGGAAAAAAATTATATCATTATACAAGTAAGACTAGGTAGAAAATAAGACAAGATTTCTGCACAGCCCCATACAATCTTTATACATACACGTTTCGACTCTATGCGTATAAACTGTTTGTGACAACTACTGTGGGATAGCTGCATGCAAAATAAATGCATGGGCGGCCTGTACAGAAATCTTACCCTAACTTGTTTTGAGTTTCCATATTATAAAAACATTGTTCAGATTATCCTCCTTAAAGATCTCAAAGATTTTCGGGATAGTTCAGAAACGATCACTGTAACAGGAGGGCACAATCTTCAGACAACATTAGATAACGTAAGTCAACTGAAAGATTTCTTAAAATCTGACCTGTTACAAACAAGCTGTTGTACAATGCACTAAATTCTTGATTTAATTCAAAAACACTGGACAAGTAAAAAAAGGAAAGTGGTTTGCTCCTAACTGGGACGTGTCAAAGGCCCAGAATACCCATCCTTATTCCTGTTAGCTTCAGATAATCTCAGTTCAACCCTTCAAGTCTACAGTTACTGTTCATTCCAGGTTATTGGGCTTAATAATGTCTACAAATTTTATTTACCAAAATGAGTTTCAAAACAGCAGGATCAGGATTTGTTGCTGCCCAGTGAAGCGGGGTTCTCTCTAATAAAATACAGAGAAAAATACTCAATTAGATCTCACAGACAATGTCCGCCTTTTGAAGACAGTTACAAAGCTGCCCAAGATAGAGTTGGATAAAAGAGCCATGTTGGGCCTCCTGTGCTCTACAAGTTAAGGCAACCCAACCCGTTTAAACAATCACCTTTTTATTACAAGCACATTCTTTAGGTTATTGGCAGGGACCAACTTTTAGTGTCTGTTTTAGAGAGGTAGTTGTCTTTTAGGGGTGTCCACTCTTTTGTCAGCGAAATTAATCAACTGTAAGTACCTAAATCAATACAAAAACATACAGAGATAGAGTATTCAGCAATGCTGCTCCCTCTTTATGGATTAATTTTCTCTTTCCAGGAGCTTCACTTCCGCAGTAACTATAAAGGTCTTTCAACATAAGAAATCTCCAGACTGATGATTTTTTTGAAAATTCTATTGTTTTTTGTTTGCTTATTACTATCTATCAGAACTATTGTAAACAAGATTGTCAAGATGGACACCTCTGTAAAATTGACACCTAGAATTGGTCCCTCCCTTCCTTTACTTCTTTTATTTGACTCTCTATAAGACAGACATCTCTCTAACATGGCCACTTAGTGCCTTAGCGCCGGTTCCAGAGGGCCCGGGGGTCCAGACCCCCTACCCCCATCAGCCATCAGACCTGAGGCTTCTTTGAGACTGAAATTCTTACATTGTCAGGACCATATATCACTTTTTATCTGTCTGATTTTTTCACTGGGCAATAAACTAAATTTGAGGGATATATTCAAAAACGTAATAATTGTTTTTTGGTACCCTCCTATGATCTGTTCGCCTCTGCTCGCAAAGAAGTATTTTCCCGCTCCAATGGCATCCAGCGTGGTCATCTCTGCTTTCTCAGCTGGTTGACAATTATGGCACAAGAGGAGGATGTTACAAGGGTGCATCCTTTACAAGTAGAATTCAAGTACACGGTAAAGGGCCAAGGAATTATGATGTGCAACCACGACTGGTGGGAGGGGGCATGGGGGAGAAGTAATTTGTCACAAAAAAGTTAAACAGTCCTTTCTGAACCAAAGTTTGGACCCCCCCGCCCCAATAAAAAAAAAAAATTCTGGATCGGCTCCTGCGGTTCCAAAGGAGTCTATCTTAGAGAGAGTTGACTGTATGAGCCTTGGAAAGTTGATTCCATTATACTAACTTTCTTTGTCAGTGAGTGTGACATCAGCACCAGCTTTCAGCAGCAACTTGACATGTTCGGTATTGCCATACGATGCACTCCAGTGAAGTGATGTCATCAGGTCACTATCAAGTTCATCTGCTTCACCTTTAGGGACTTGCTTCAATAACAAACTCAGACACTGTAATGTAAAATAACGAAAATGCCAATATCAGACAGTTTAGACAAAAATAATGGATAATGTCATGAATAAAATTGATAAACTACTTCCCGTTTACAATCATTGTCATCAAGCATAGGAGACAAGTCAACGGGCAGAGAAGTTAAGGTAGCCAAAAACTCATTTCCATGTTTTTAACTTGAAGAAGGAATAATATATATTTTTTAATATACAAATACGTGTAATTTCTACGACTTTTGTAAGGCAACAGCAGCCACAATACTCAAATTTCAATTCTCACAAATTTCTGAACAAATGTTTCACAGTCTATGTTGGTGTACCTATTTTTATATAGCTAACTAATGCTCATAATTTCCTGAGACGTACATGAGGGTCAAAAAAAAATTTGAGCTACGCACGTCAACCAGAAGTGAGATCTTTTTCATTTTAAAATATATTGACAATACCAAAATTGTATTTCTTAGTCTCTTTCTTATTGTAGAAACGATTTGTCCAGAAATTTGGGCAAAAATAAAGCTCAAGAATGAAAAAAGTCCACTTCCAGTTGCCGTGCGTCATTCAAACGCGTCTTTGCTATTAACTGATACTAAACTGTACAACTGAATGGGAAGGAAAGTACAAACCTTAGAAGACTGATGGCTGGTGGAAAAGTGAAGTGGGGTTCTATAACAGAATAAAAGAAAATAGAATTACCTGTCAAAAACTAAAAGGAAAATCCCAGATAGACTGAGAACCGCCTTAATTCTTATTTCACAACTTTTGAATACATTCAACTAGATTTCCATTCCCCTGTGGTCACATGGGATTTTGCAACAACATAAAGTTTCCATGACTTGTCATATTTTTATTAAAGGTCATTTTTGTTGTTGTTTTTAACTGGCTCTTTCTGATCAGTACAAGATTCTGGGAAAAGTCCCCAACTTCACCTACCCATCCCCTCACCCACACTTTGCCCTAAGCAAGAAGTCAAAGTTTTGGGGGGATTAGGGAAGGGGTCAGTGGGCAGTTTCCAAGAAACAAGAACTTGTAACTTGCCTTCCTTTGCTATCTTTTACTTTCCAGTTTGCTCCCTTAGCTAACAACAGCTTCACACATTTCAAGTTTCCCTGTCATCAGAAAATATCAATAAATGAGGCCCTGCTAGGATAAAATTTTGACAAGCAATATGGCCTTCATAAAATATGTTGTTTTTGACAAATCTGATAAATGTTGAATTTCAGTTCTAGAACAGTTGGTCGATTGATACCTGGTAAGCTGCCCAGTGCAGGGGAGTCCTGCCGTCCATGTCACATGAGCTGACCTAAAGGAAAGTAATGGTTTTAAGAGAAAAAGAGACTGCATTTTAAAAAGGGCACAAAAAACCGGCCCAAAAAGTGCTTTTTTTTTCACAGCTTTATTGGGTGGTCCTCTAGTGAATACAATATAAATTTGTAATACAACACACACACACACACACACACACAAAAAAAAAAGAAGCAAAAACCCAAAAGGGGTGGGTGCAACGGGACTAACATCCCATGCGAGGCACCGCCCCTAGATTAAGACATTCATACAAAAAATAAAATAAATTACAGATTTGCTTCTTTAATACTAGATGAATGATAATATTATTATTCATCCAGTATTAAAGAGATATTTTTCGTGGCCAGTTTCTTCATGAAGGGATGAGATATATGCTGTAAGTTATGAACTGCATTTTTTTGCTTCCGTCAATCATGTTTATATATTTGGATTAAGTGAGCAATGTACAGGCCATAAAGTAAATCTGAAGAATGTGGTTTTAAGCCAAGATCTCTTTCTCTTTCCGTGAACCAGAAAATTTAGAAATAGGCATGTATTCAATCCACTGAAAATCTGAAATGCATGAATGTAACCTAACTGTTAAAAAGATCACTGGGGAGATTTACATGAATCTTAATGTAAGTAAAGAAAATTCTCTTACATTGGCTCCAGCTTTAAGAAGTGTCTCAGCACAATCAAGTCTGTCTCCTAACACACTGTATACCTAATAAAACAATGGATTAGCTATACTGCTTAACAAACCACGGAATTTCAAAATGATAATACAAGTATACTGATCACATTGATTTGCTTTGTACAGAAAATGTGCCCTGCGGGGTGAAATACGTAGGACAATGTACATACTAGTGTTGGAAATCAGCTGAGATTTCATAATCAATCATCGGAAATAATCGGATTGACTCACCTTATCAATCAAAGTTTATGATCAGAAAAAATCTCACTATAAGAATTCCATTGATTATTTTTCACCTTTTTGCAAGTCAAAGTAAAATTAATGTTGGGTAACACAAACGTTTTGAGTTTTTAACCGTGGACCACTGAGCTCAGAACTTTTTCTGTGCTTTCAGCTGATCAAATTCTCTAATTATAAGACTATTAAAAAGACAGCACAAAAAGATTTTAAAATCTTTATTTGCCGATAAGAAATTTGTTAATTTTTTCCCCATGATAATCAATTGAACATCTTCCCTAATCAATTATCAGATCATGTAATGTACTACATAAAAACATACATACAATCAACTGGTATAACACCTAATCTAATGCAAGAGCGATTAACCTCAACTCCAATATATTTAACAAGAGGAAGTACATGTACTGGTATGTTCACATAAACAGCAAATGTGATTATTGTAACCACCTTTGATACATTTTAAAGACGAAAGTACTTTAAAACTTTTTTTAATGACTTTAGATTATAGTTCATGTACGGACTCTCACCAGTGGAGTGCGGCCAAATTGATCTCCTTTGTTAAGAAATTGTCTTTCATCTTAAAGTGAAAAAGTGAAATACATTAAACATCAAAGGACATCTTTAATCTTAAGCACCTATCAGAACAGCCAACCATGCTAACTTTCTTTGGAAAGTACATCATTCACCATTGTACAAGTACAATGTTCAATGTTGCACAACTGCTGACTTCTAAATTCAAAAATTACATAGTCCATTGGTAGCATATTTAAGGGTTATATATAAAACATGAAAGAAAAGTAAAGAGCAGGAAAATGTTAACAAATATATACTTCTGTGTGTGAGAGTCCCACAGTATTAATATAGGCAAGGATTGTGAGACGGGGCCTACGGTTTTTCGTCCTTATTTTATGATGTACAAGATGTCATTACAAATTTATATCACTTTATAATAAGCACCTGGTGTTGGTCCGGCCGGGCTTGAACCCGCATCAGACCGGTGCTCTCCCAACTGAGGGCGGCATAAGGACATAAGTGTATGTTAAAACCCTTTAAAAGTTCATTTAATGCCATTAGCAAAGTTATCTTTTACACCCTGCAAATAATTTCTTTAACTTTCTTTTTAAACTTTTGTTTGGTACTCAGAATTTTTTTGGAGAACCTGAACTTTGCTTTTCATGAAAATGATCGAGATAATATTATATGACTGTGTTCTTTTTACTCACCTTCACGTAACAATCTTCGAAGAAGGGCTTTATTTCCGTTTACAGCAGCTGCATGCAAGGGAGTTGGTAATGCACCTAAAATTAAAAAAATATGAAATAACATCTTAACACATCATCCTGCTTTGACCACTAAGTGAATAAGATAATATGAAGAATATTTTAACTACATAAAGTTGAACAATATTGATATCAGTAGTTCTCATCTGAGACTTTTACTGGTTTAAATAATTATTATAATTTAGAAATATTGCTTCTTCTTTTTTTATTTCATTTTTTGTGGTGAAAGAAAAATCAAGGGGTCAACCATTGACAAATTTGACGCAAATATTAATTTTATTTTATTATGCAACTTCACATTCGTCAAATGAAAGCATTACAGTGGAACCTCGATATAACAAGCCTCTGTATAACGAAGTCCTCCATATAGTGAACAATTTTCTTCACCCCAGTAATAGTAAAATATATGAAAATGAACCTATATTTTATGAAACCAAATTTTGCCAGTCCCTTAGTCCTTCATAATATAGAGTTTCTACTGAATCTTGGCAAGTGTTCCCAGTGAAATTAAACCTTATTAAACCAAAACAAACCTCGAGTGCTCAGGGTAACTTTAATTTCATATAAAATAGTGAATGTAAAATGTGAATAATGCCCAAGACACAAATGTACATCAAATAGTTCTATGCAAGAGTGCTGCTAAGGTTTCATTTGAATGGCTGCACTAGAGAATTTAGTTTGCAAACTCAAAAGTTCAAAAAATATAACATTGTAAGTGTTTCATGTAGCATATAAAGTGTGTGTAAATGACTCTGAAAGTGAAATAGTGAAAAGGCAACAAATGAATAATTTTTTGATCATTTAAAGCTTTTATTACCATCTTGAGATGACCCAGACTGTGTAATACCATGGCCATCTGGACTTGAGCGAAAATTTTCTTCAACCTTTTTTAAACAAAAGTAATATTATCATTACATATGTTCAGTTTGACAGCTTTTTTATTTTCACTTTTTTCAGCGAGGAGAGCTGTAACAGCTAGCCTCAACACCCTTTTATATAAAATTTAACTTTTTTCAAAGAAAAACATATTGTCTAATACTTGGCGTTAAACCAAGATGTCGTAGAGTGAGTAACAAGTAACTAGAAAATAAACAGTTTATCAAAGCGTAATAGTTTCCTCAAAGGATATAAACTCTATGACATCTTAGTAATCATTTAAACTACAATAAAAAAGACGGAAAAGTACATGTACACTTGATGGTTGAATCCTGTGATTTTAAGCTCCTGAGAATAAAGAAATTGAATTAAAAAATAGGAGTAATCAAAGGTAAAGTAACTTTAGTTGGGAAAGAGAAATAAGGATAGAATCAAATATCTGGATTATGTATAATCACCACAGGTTCAAAAATTAAAACAGGATTCTTTTTATATCAACAACCGGTAATACTGTAAGGTGATAAGTTATGTTACCATTAGATACATTGTACATAAGAAACTCTCTCCGCCACTCTCAGTTCTTCATGGATGCATTTTGCAATGTTGCCTCTTGAATTCACTTCAATTCCTCTGTTTCAACATATATCACTCATTAATGTGCAGATTCCAGATTTTTCAAACAAAGAGGATGGTCCAAGATTTAACTGTATTAAGTTACTAACTTTAGCTTGATTTTATGATGTACAAAGCTTTTAGTTTTCTACTGATGGTAAATTTAATGATCATCTCACTTCACTCTGGAAGGAAAATTCTCTTTTACAGCTGTCATATCCAATTTTCTGGCAGTATTTTCTCATTCTGACATAAATGATAATATCACTTTAAACACAAAATGAGCATCACATTTGAAATTCTTATTAAAAAGAGTACATACAGCAGATGTCCAGGGACAAAAGCTTTCAGTAAATATGAGAGTACATGAACACGTACATTCTGAACATCCACTTTGATTTTGAGATTACCACCTGTGATGTGGTCCTAACTAATAGGGTATAGCAGTGATGCCATCAAGGAGATTACAAGCAAAGAGCCGGACAGCTGCCCTTCAGACGAGCAAGCTCTGTTTCAATCTGCCACCAAATCAACGTCTTTGTGCTTGTCTATGGGCAGAATTGTGTGTGTGCAGTTTCTCACCCCACTATAATATTTCTTGTCACCCGTTTATGGAATAATAAAAGGATATAGGAAGTACTAACAAAAAGACACCAATATAATGCGGAAAAGTTATAATTTATCGGTCATCACAATTTACTAAAAAGATGCTTTTAAGTAATAAAAAAGTACATATTTTTCCAGATTTCAGCTTTACGCACGCGTATATGTGTGTATATGGACACTACACTCCCGTAAAAGAAACTTCTCTGGTGGTAGTTCAGTTTTTTTATTCCACAGAACAAAATTATGATTTTCTTGAGAATTTCAGTCTTGACAACTACTGGGAGTCAAAGAGTCAAGCTTGCATCAATGAAAGACTGAGAGAAAATAAAGTGAGCACTCTGTCAAGACATTACACAAAAGTATATTGTTAGTGAACTGTGTGTGATAAAAGGAATTCATTTATGACAAGCCTGAAAAACTATTGTCCAGCTGACACTCAATGCTGGAGCAAGAGCAAATAGCTGCCATAAAGAAAATAACAAGGCATTTGATGCTTCGATGCCAATAATGATACTTCTTCATTAGAATGCTTGCAACAACCAATATATCTCCACATATTTGGACAAAAATTTTGTTAAAAATATGCACTCTTTTACGGGCCTCTTTTGGGTATAATTTGGACACGAAAAAAAATCACAAGCAAGCAAATATGTACACCATAGCAGTCAACGATCATTAACGAATATCCTGTTTACATTTTGTTTCGTCAGAAATCACATATCAACCTCTGATTGAAACTGGACTAAAGACTTCAATACAAAATAGATCACGTCCACTGCAACAAGATCAAAGTTATGCACTATGTTTACGTGCCTCTTTTCAGAATATTCTCCCACGATTCTCACGTAGATCTCGGGATTAGTTTTAAATCTGAATTCTTTCAAGGGAAATAATTTCATATCAAAACTGAACTTAGCTATTAAATGATGTGAGCTTACGTTTTACAAGATGTCTTGTACTAAAATTATCATTAAAATATCATACTCACATATGCACTATCTCCGGAAGACATCAGTGTTGATTTGAAACTTTCTCGGATCTATTTCTCTTTGTATAATAAACGTATATCATTTCACGACTATATGCATCCTTGAAGTCGAAAACAAGCTGTTGGCACAGATGTACCTTTGCCATTATACAAGATCAGCTGAAGCTGTCAATAAATCGACACCAAATTCACACATTTAAAAGAAGGAGTTTTCTATAGCGGAAAGATTTCCTGCCATGGCAACGAAGACATAAAGCAATTTCTAGAAGTTGTCGGTAAAACAATCGTAGTTTCTTTCAATTAAAAAACTCAAATTGAAATTGAAATTCAATCAATATTACATTAAAATTTTCCGACCGATTGTTCGAATGAAGTCAGATGAACGCAGAGACTGGGTACTAGTCTAATAATGCGCATGACAAAAGGTTATTCTGCATTCCGCTGTTCAATCGTAAAGTGACGCAGGATACGCAGGGAGAACGAAGAAAATCTCAAGATGGGAGGAGGCGATTTGGTAACGATTTTTATTTAAAATACAATCGAAATGTTCGATTTTCTTTTACTTAAGGGTGCTTTTGGAGACCTGGATCATTAACTGATCGTTTTGATCATTTTATACAGAATTTAAAGAAAAGTTGGCATCCCCAGACGCTACGAAATGTGGAGAGGGTATGGAAGGCAGAGCAAAAAGCCGAGGCAGAATCCAAGAAAATCGAGCAATTACGGAAGGAGTTGGAAGAAGAGAGAGCTCGAGAAGAAATGCAGAGGCATGCAGTACAACAAGGAGTAGCTAAGTAAGTTCATAAGCTGAATACATAGATATTTGTAGGCCTTAAATGAACGCTTTGTTTATTTGCTGTCAAAAAGCTGAATTAGAAACTCTCTCAACTGACACCCTTGCCTGGTTCTCACTTGCGACATTCAGAGTCGGATGCAAAGCAAAGGATTGCCTCGGAACTAACAGAAAATATCTGCTCAAAGGTACCAGGTATCCACTTTCAGCATGATCTCGACACCGAAATTACAGTTATTGTTGTCATTTCTTATTTGGCCTCAAAATGATGATCACCTATCGTAATTTTGAAGCCCCTGACCCACATCCCCAGGTAACAGTGATAACTAGTAACGGTAATCAAAACTTTGGTCTTGAGATTATGTTGCCACTTAAGTGTCTGGGTTGTGAGCACTGAGTACCGTGCCATAATTCCGGCATGAGTACTTGAAAAAGCAGTGTGTAAGCCCTACATTAGTACCCAGCGAGTACCACATTCTGGGACCAATCCAAGACACAAAGTGTGAATGCTGCCTTAGCCCATATCCACACTTGGTGCTTGGACAGTGTATCCTAGTACGTAACCTGCTGGTTACTAATGTGTAGGAACTTCTTTGGAGTACCCACATCTAAATTTGAGCACAGCACCAGTGTCCAAGTACAAGGTAGAGACCTTGTATGCAGGTAAGGTTGTGAGCACTTTATCTGTTAGTTCTGAGGCAGTGTCCAGGAACTACAGTCAGCGACAAAATGAGTTGAGACACTTCATCCAAACTTTGGCTTTTTTACATTTTACTGACTTCAAAAGAAGGAAAAATAGCTTTTCCTCCCCCATCCCCTCCATGCAATGTTGTGCCAATGTTCGAGCTACCTATAGAAAACAACAATCACCCCAACTTTGAATGGAGGGGTCAGGGGAGGGGTGCAGATTCTTTTGTTCTCCGAAGTTACCCTATGTGAGTACGATGTCTCAACAATTTTGTCACCGATTGTAGAACTTGGGTACCATCTTAGTTGATTATTAATGCTGACTTGTCTCTGTATAATGTTCATTGTAAAGGAAAAAAGGTGAACGACTTGATTGGATGTATGCCGCTGCTGCTGCTGGAGGACAGGTTGATCATGAGTTGTATTTGCTTGGTAAACCTGTGGATAAAGCTGTGGATCCCATGGCACAGGACAATGAAGAGGTGAGTCATTCTCAATGTTTTAAGCACCCTACCAAGTAAAATAGTGCTATGTGAGGATCAGAGAAAAGTCATATATATTAAAGAGTTGTACACCTTACAGGAATGTCTACGTACAAAATTTAATGCAGTGTGTTTTTGGGAGAAGTGACTGAAAGATGTAAACTGAGTATTCATGTGTTATATAAAACACACATAAAAGTTAAAAGATACACTGACCGCTGTTAGAAATTGTGTATAAATGATCCCCAGAAGTTGTGCGAGTATCTCAGCAGCAATGTGAAATTTCCATGTTGCCTTGGTAATTTAACTGTTGTTATAGTAAATTGTAATTTGTTGAACTCATTAACCCTTTATCTCCTAAGAGGGACCAACATTTATTTTCTCCTACGAATATCAATATATACTCAAGGGAAAAGGTTATGAAAATTAATAAATTGATCTCCTTAGAAAACGTGCTTTGATCTTTTAACAAATTCTCTCAACTTATTCTGTGGGAAATGTATGGAGGTCAGTCTGGAGAATTTGCATGTGGATATTTGGGGCTTAAAGTGTTAAAACATGTCCATGTGTTCCTGATCAAATTGGAATTTGGAAGTGTTGGGTTTTAAGGAAAGGGGAAAGCTGGAGTAGCCAGAGAAAAACCTCTCAGAGCAAGGAAGAGAACCAACAACAAACTCTACCTACGTTGCGTCAAACCCGGGCCACATAGGTGGGAGTTGAGTGCTCTCACCGCTGCACTACCTTTGCTCTGAGAATTGTCTTTAAAGGGCCATTTTAGAACCAAGACAATGTGTCAATGAGATTTTAACATTGAATGAGAATGGGGTGAAACCTTAACCTGTATTTTGCTGAACTATGATATATCAACGTTGCATGTCTGTGTTATAGGTCCAAATTATTAAATTCAGGTTAATCTTTTTTTACCAAGGCTGATAATCAATTTTCTTTGGTTAAGGTGTAAACAAATGGTGACATTTTTTTTGTAAGGAATCAACTGCTCCAGGGGCATCGTTCATGAATGACTCAGGTGCCAACACACCAAATGACTTGGCATCCAAAGTGCGGGATGATCCACTGTTTCTGATCAAGAAAAAGGAAGAGGAAAAAAGAAAAGAACTGCTGAATAATCCTGTAAAAATGAAACAGTTAAAACTGATGCTTAAAGCCAATTTGGAGAAGTCAAGCAAAAAGAAGAAAGACAAGAAAAAGAAGAGTAAGAGAGAGAAAGTGGGAAAGAAGAAGAGGAAGGAGAAACATGTAGAACAAAGTGATGAGTCAGAGGATGAAGAGAGAGACCACAGGAAAGAAAGGAGAAAGAAATACAGAGAAAGAAGTGATGAGTCAGACAGTGACACTCGAGAAGTGAAAAGAGACAGGAAGGAAGTGCGAAGAGAGAGACGCTTAGAGAGAAGCAGTGAATCCGATAATGATACCAGGAAGAGAATGTGGGAAAGTGGGAAGAAGAAGCTTGTGAGAGAAGGCAAGGAGATGTTGAATGGGATCCATAGAAATCGTCACCGGTAGGTAACTGCAACATGTTGTATATGTTGGGGTTCAATTTTTTCCTTGGTTTAAATTTTATTCCCCTATTGTATAAGTTTGCTTATAAGACACAAAATTTTACATGAAATGGCATGTGCGCAACTTCAGACAAAAACACGAACTTCAATATCTCAAAAACTTTACTATGGAAAGTCGGGATTTCAAATTCTCTATGCAGTAAGACAGTTTAGTTCACTATTTTCAAAAGACAGACTTAAAGCAAGGGGCACACATACACCAACCCATGATCCACCTTCCCCATGCATGTCGTGGGAGAACTGCTGTGCAGTTTCCAGCCAACAGCTCCCACATGTGTTGCGTGGAGCTGGCGCTTAAAGGAGTGCTTTACACTCGCCTCTGCGGTAAAGGTTCTTTCAGACGTGGGTTTTCACCATTCATTGACCTAATAGCTTTGCCTTGCTGGTGAGCTCCAGTAAGGGTGAAACAGCCATCCATGGCTGCCACTGCCAGTGTGATATGGCTGTGTGCATGCGTGAGGTACTGGCCAGACTGTCACTTGGGTTGGTGCGTGTGTGCTCCTTGCTTTAAGTTTGCACTATTTTCAAGGTAATTTTCGCTTATGCAAATGAATTGCATGTAACTTCAATCTATTTTTCATAAATTACTGTAGTTCATGACATTTTTAAACAAATTGAACAGCATGTGCGATAGCTATAACTAGTAATAATAACAAAGACGGCTTAATTTGACTTTTACGTGTTATTATTTCAACTTTAAAGGGACAGAGAAGATGAGGATGAGAGAAGGACACAATACAGAAATGGAGACCACTACTCCAAAAGACATAGGTATTGAATATAAATTAAGTGTTGTGACAATAGATTGGTGAAGTCCTTTATAATTTTCAGAGGAGTAGGATTGGGTTTAAACAACAAAATAACAGTTTTGTAGGAATGGTACTTGTATGGGGCAGTGTTAATTTTTGTATAACATAATAATTACAAGTCTTAAGTGGATAATTTCCTCTTTTACTTTCCAGATCTCCAGACAGAAAAAGACCTCAACAAAGATCACGGTCAAGATCACCATTGACAAGGAGAGAAGGAGAAAGGAGAGAAACACAAAGACAAAGACATAACTCCTCACATTCACCCCACAGGAGAGAACAACACAGACGTGACTCCTCGCATTCACCTCCCAGGAGAGAACAACACAGACATGTCTCCTCGCATTCACCTCCCAGGAGAAAACAACACAGACGCGACTCATTGCATTCACCTCCCAGGAGTGAACAACATAGACATGACTCCTCGCATTCACCTCCCAGGAGAGAACAACACAGACATGACTCCTCACGTTCACCTCTGAAGGACAAAAGACATAGATCTCGGTCACACTCACACACACCCCCAAGGAAATTACAGAAGTCTCCTTCTCCTGACAGAAGAAAAGCATCACAAAATAGAGGATCAGCAGTTACAAAGTATGTCAGATTAAAGTTATTGCTTAAAGCTTTCGTATAAAAACCCTCTCACTTCTATGGTGACCATAATTAAAACTACAGTTGAACCTCCATTAAGCAACCCCCTATTAATCCTTTAAGCCCAAGATCCACATACAAATTCTCCTGACTGATCTCCATACATTTCGTTTAAGAATAGTTGAGAGAATTTGGTTTAAGATCAAAGCATTCTCTCCCTTTGGTAATCTCATAATCTTTACTCTTGATGATCTGCTGATGTTGTTAGGAGAAAGTTGATAGCAGCCTCCCTCTATTAAGCAGTCAGTAATAAAAGCCCCGAAATAATTGTAGGAATGAATGGGAAATTATACCATTACAGCCACCTCCATTAAGCGTCTGAGGCCACCTTTTTGCCGTCCCAACAAGAGTTCTCCCATGGTTGTCACTTCTATTAAGTGGCCATCAAGCACTTGATACACTTAGTTTTGCTTCATTTTAAGAATACCAGCATGTCAATGATAAAAGAAAAAGTAGTCTGAGATAGAAGGTAAAGACTGATTGTGGACGAGTAATGCTGTTCCCGTTGCGTGTTTGTTTCAAAGTGAAGCGATGTTTCTGCCAAAGATTATGGTAATTTATGACAAACCTCCATTGAGGGTCACTTGCCATTACTCCGAGGGTGGCCGCTTAATGGAGGTTCAACTGAACTGTAAAGAAAAATTCCAAATGTCATGTAAAATTTGGGAAACAAATACCACTCTGCAGTAGAACTGCCAAAGGGTGTTCGTACTGATGAACAGACACATCATAGGGTTTTGTTCAGACTCAAATGTCACTCATATCAACATAACTGTGTACTTGGCTAACCGAAAATTAATCTGATACAACAGAGTAATGGACGCTGCTGAGAAAGAGAAACGTCTTGCTGCAATGATGGAGAATGCCAAGTAAGTTGTTTGACTCTCTTGATTAAAAAATAAATTTATTTATCTGCCCAGGTGCAAAGTAATAAAGTAAATAAATAAATAACAATTTGCAGGTAACACATCCACATAGTGGTTCTTCATCTACCTGATTCCTGGTCGAATTGGAATTTGAAAGTGTTAGTTTTTAAGGAGAGGGGAAAACCGGAGTACCCGGAGAAAAACCTCTTGGAGCAAGGGAGAGAATCAACAACAAACTTAACCCACATATGGCGTCGATGCCGGTAGTTGAACTGAACCCAGGCCACATTGGTAGGAAACGAGTGCTCTCGCCACTGTGCCACCCTTGCTCCCCGAAGTAATTGGTCTGTTATAAAACAACTATCTCGTTGTACCCATCTCTGTGGAAATTTTATGTAGAATAAGAAATGGTTGCACTTAACTTTGCCTCAAATAAAATTTCTTGAAGTTGGCTCTATTTTTCGCTATGGGGTAGATTTTACGGCAGAACTTACCCTGCATTTTTCTATTTATTTGAAGACTTAGTTTTAGGATAACTTGAAGGTGTGAAATTGAATTTTTTTTACTGGCTTCTTTGACGTAATTGTCCTAGTTTTAATCTTTTAATATTTCTCTCCTACACTGTAGATGGCGAGATGATCAGAGAGGAAGAAATGTTAAAAGATACAAGGTAAAGAAGTCTCGTTTTCGTATAATCATTAATGACATTTAAAACCTTAGCAAAACATATATCTGTGTGTGGATGAAGATTTGCCTGTAATATGCTTCACTAAGCCCAATTGACTAAGGGTGCTTTCCATTTGTCAGAACTGTGCGGTCAAACTATTCCCGTTCTAATGAGAATTTCACTTTAAATCTTAACTATCGATATCCAGTCAGATCAATCAGATCTTAAATACATGTATTATGCACAAAGAAAATAGTTTTTCAGCAAAAACTCTTGGATAAAGCCAATTTCATTGTCAAAATGACTGGTCCGCCTATGGTCTGGCCGGCCAATTCTGACTTTTGGAAAGCAACCTAAGTAACTTAGGGAAACAATATGAACTTTCTTTAAACATGAAAAATTTATTGCTACAGATTAGGTGAATATGAGTAAAAAGTAATCATACGCCATATGCCAAAAGTTCATTGCCATAACTGGGTAGAATAGTAACATAACAAACTGCCGTAACATTCTTATGAAATCGAAAGTCACCCAGATTATTAAAAAGCGTTTTTACTAACGTATTTAAGGAAGAGGATGCCAGATTAGACGCCAAAGAATCCATGGAGAAAGATAAAAGTGCAACTTTCTTGAAGTAAGTTCTAACGTACTCCCTATTAAAATGCCGGTTGAAAGCCAACACGAGAAGCAGTGACTCTACTGTTATCCAAACACTGATAACAAGAGAGAAAAAAACAGGTCTCAGCAGGCGAGGGGTGAACCAGCCTCGAGGTGTCTGCGTATCTGATGAAACACTCTGTCGAGTGTTAAATATTACTTCTCGGTGTTAGGATATCGGGATTGGGTATTAGGCGGATTCGCCCGAAGGTCGATTCGCCCGAGAACAGTTCAATTCGCTCGATGTGTATTTGTCGTTCTTTAAGCCAGAAACAAGAAAGAAGCGTAAAGACAGGGAATACACATGTGGAATCCTAGCTTAACTGAAATAACATCTCTGATAAGGATTTTTACCCTGTTTTAGAGTGTTGTATTTCATCGGGAGAATTGACTTAAGTCCAGGCGAAACGACCACATTTCTGCTGGGTATCACACGTACACTCCTTTTCGTGAATCACTTGCTACAAAGACGACAAATGTTCGTCCGCCAACTTCAACCGGGACTTGAATTTTTATGGTCTCGCTGAGGAGTTGTATTAGTGCAGGAGGGAAAATTGTGGTCGCTAACTAAAGGGATTTTCTCTGTTACTTTACCAGTGATATGAAAATTCAGTCGTTTTCCTCAAAGACAACGTCTAGTGTCAGCGACCGCATTCGTCGTAACATCAACTCGGTCCAACGAACGGCGGTGGCTTTAGAGTCGTTTCTGGGAAAATAACCTGCGAGACACATCCGACTTAAAAAGAGAGGGCTGGACTGTCGTCGAGAGTGTACGGTATGTTCTGAAGAATGAATCGTACTCTACACTCTAGGAACACCCGAATCTTTAACTATTAACAGCCGAAGAATTTCCTGAGAGTTCACCTTGCTTCGGTTACTTAATGTGAAGTTGGAAAGGCAGCCAGATCTCTTATCACCCAACCCAACCGAGATGCTCTAGCAGCATTCCAGCTATTTTTGTGGAATTACGAAGATGCTACGCAGGTCAACGAAGATTACTTCGGGAAATGATGGTGTTAGAAGAGTCAGCACCATTCATTAGCAACTAAACAGACTTCTTATTGCATTCAAGCTAACTGCTATGAGTCAGCGTTCTACTCTTCACATCTACTTGTAACCAAAATGGACTTTGCATAAGTGATCCGAAAACGTAGTAGGGGATGAGTTTGTAGAGCTTCAACCTTGTTACCAAGTCACTCCTCTTGGCTAGTCTCTCTCACTGCGAAGGATGAGATAGGAGAGATCCTGGGTTCTAACTAGTTCGTTTGGGCTCGGCGCAAATGGTAAAGCTGAGGTTGTAAGAAAATTTAAGACAGAATAGACATGAGCAGTCACGGACATTGTTTATAGAACTGTTTATTATGCCACTGTAAAAAAATAATTTTAAGCAGTACAATGTTGCCTTTCTTGGCACAAAATTACTAAACGTTTTTATGTAAAATATATGTTCAAACACCTCGTGTTTTCTCTAATTATACTCTTTGCTCTAAACACTGTTTTAACATGTAAGTTTAAATTATTCTATTTTACTTCTATTTTACTTCACCGTAGTAAACCTTGTTGGTATAATTTAAATATTGAAGCGTAAATATTCTCTTTTGAATATGGGCTAGTTTCTATCATACATGGACGGAAGCTTGTCATAGTTCTCTTGTACAGTATATGAAGCGACTTCCTCTGTTCTTTGTGTAGGGTAGGGTTAGGGTAGCTTATAAATGATGGGAGGGATGGGTCATTTGGTTTTTGACCGTGACGCGTTTACTGAAATGGATTGAGGGTACAGTGATGCTGATGGGAGGGGTGGGTTGTTTGGTTTGTAACCGTGACGTTCGTACTAAGGATGGATTGTGGTTTCAGTGGTGTTATGGGATGGGTGGGCTGTTTGTTTGTTTGCTTTTTTCACCGAGATGCGTGTACAGAGGATGGAGAATGAAAGTAAATAGTATTTTTTTATCCTACTGAGAATGCCATATTTTTCCCTTTTTCGATATATCTATAAAGAATCTTAACATGTATTTCACTGCGAGTAACAAAATGGCTAATTTGATATCAAGTCGTTATACAAGAACTTGAACAGACTGGTAAATTTTTCCCTTGCTGTCCGCGCTATTTTTCCTCACCATTTTCTTTAAACTTTTTATCTTATCGTCTTTCTTTTTTAAGTCGTTTTGCATTTCACTGACTTTAGTGACGAGGTTTTGTATCTGTAGTGTCAACGCTTTGATGTCTTCCTTACAATCTGTTACGTTTTCTTTCTCCTGAAAAAAATAATAAATAAAGGCAAGAGTGAACAAGAGCCGTAATCACGTACCAAACTAGTACGAATATTCCACGATATTCGATTAAGACTGTTTTGCGATCGTATCATCAACATGGACTGCTAGGGGCCCCTTTTCTTTGCGTAAAGAGCGAGAGGGTAAGCAACACGGGGCGCAAAGGAGATGGAGCCTGGTTGTGTAATTAGCTAACCTCGTTCCCAGTCCCTCCTCTTCCCTTCTGAAGTGAGAAAGACGGCTTTCTATCTCTCTCTCCTGCTCCATGGGAAGGAAAGAAGAGAGAGCCTGAGAACGAAGTTGTTTGCTACGTCTTCGGGACATTCCCGAGGGAATGCTAACAACCTACGCTCAAAACATTTATCGGGTTCCACGCTCTTAACCACCCCAAAATGAAACAAAGTCTCGCGTTCCTGTTTTTCTCGTTTTTGTGTAACACCTTCTGCCTCAAAATAAGCGTCTGTGTTCACAGATTCCGTTGCTTTGCTTTCGTTTGCACTGTGTTACACCTCGCTGGAACACGAGGAGATTGTGGCCTGTGCAGAGGTGCTTTTGTGTTCGTTTGAAGTCTCTGATACCAAACACCAATCAAGCAACACAACTGAAAGCATACCTCTGATTTTGTGTCAGGAGCCTGGGCTCTAGCCACCACAATTGTCACTGTATTGGTTTCTTGCAATGCAGCGATCACGGGCTCAAGCGGAGAGTTAAGCAAAAACTTGCCGTCGATCTGAAGCAGTAATGAAATAGATATGTTTAAATTCAGAATGAGTCCTAGTCAAACTATATTTCGGCTAAACAACAAGCGATAGTCTTTGAGAGCGAGCCAACTTGTTAATAATTGCTGTATATATACCGGCGCCCCCTTCTGCCCCCACACCCTCCCCGAAGGGCTTTCATTTTTGTATGACAATATTTTAGTATGTTCCTATTGCGTTCTGTGATTATTAGTGAGTCTTTGATGAGCTCTCGTCTCTTTTGCGTCGTTCCTCTTGAAAAAACTTCCAAATAAAGCATCCCAAAGGGCTCAAAGCTGCAGGTTGAAGTCGCTGCTCAGGACTATTCGTCTTCTCTTGTACGTCTCTGTTTGCAGTCTATGCTTGATCACACGTTGGAACCACTTATTGTGATTACATGACAATATACCTGAAGATCTAACGAAAAAAAGTTTTTGCTCACCTCAACGATTAAGTCATCTGCAGCCAGTTCACCACTTGTTGCTGCAACCCCTCCTTCGGTCAGTGCAACTATTCGCACTCCAGGACGAGGCTGAGGACTTCCATCTTTACTCCATTGCGCAAACGCAGAAGAAGGTCGCTGAGGAAGAGGGTTAATTTCTCCCCCCGCAGGCGCAGATCCCGGCCTCGACAAAATGGGACTTAAAGCAGGAAAGTTTAGATGTTGATTACATGTGCCAATCTTTCTCCTCTTAAGGCTCTGTTTGTGTAAAATATGCCGCATGTCTTGAGACTTGTCTGCGAGAGATGATGTTCCTAGAATTGATGTTATCTCCTGCTCACTTGACCCAGATGAGCTATGAGAATGCGGAGTGCTGATCCCAGATGGAGAAAACAAATCTCCGCTGGAATCAGCCGCGGAAGAAGTTCCGACGATAGAATTCTGTCCATTTCCGCTGTGGAGAACGTACACAACCTTTTCGTCGTCTATCGCATCATTGTCGTGTTGGCTCATCGGGGAACCTGTTCTGGTGACATGAACCAATTCTAATCCCCAGCCTTCGCCCGGTTGCTTGTTTAAAGTCACTGTAACAAGTTTGGAATGTTTCAGAACACTCGCAAGACTAAGGCGATTTGATTTTGAGTTCTTATCAACTGAATCTTCAAGTCTATTTCCGCAGTTTTTTTCATTTTCGCGTAAAACATCGTTGTGATTATTATTGTTACGAAGGTGCGATGGAGGGGACGAAGAAAAACGCGGCAATTCTTCGCTATCAGAGGAAACGCGTGATGGAGGCGTCTTTTTTCTGCTTGCATTATCGCCATCTTTGACTTCTTCGTCTATCGTGTTGTGAGCACCAGTTTCTCCTTTCCCACTGTTTTGCGCATACTCAAGAAACTTGCTTCTGAAGCGGTCAATCTGAGAAACTTTACGCCTCTTTGGTCCCTCGCCGGAACCGGAAATGGCTGTTTCGTCAACCGCAGTAACACTACTTGGCTTCCGGTGATACTCCTGAAACTTGTGCCTCAAGTTATCAATCTGCGAAACTTTGCGTTTAACCTGATTGACTTCATTCACCTGATTAATTTGAGAGAGTTGTAAATCTAAAGCATCTATTGAAGTTCTTCGCCTGCGTATCTGTTCTGTAGTCTCTTTTTCCTCGATTTCTGAGGAGGAGGAGTTCATAGGTTGGTCTTCGTTGTTCTTGTCACAGTCATTGGAAGATTGTTGCGTAGCGTCTGTTTCTCCACTTAGTGACACGTCCTTGTCTTCACTCTGAAGAACGCCCTGGAAAGAATTAGAAGGATTGTGTCAATCTTTAACTGACAGAGTATAGCAAAAGTTTACGGAAAAAAAAGTCGGGAATCAATAGTGATTCCTTGCATTTCATTTCATTTCAATAGTCGTTCCTTGCATTTCATCTTCTTGTGAAAGTAAACAAAAAAAGACACACACACAAAACATAATCGCGTGCATTTTCGCGCCATTGGCGCCTGTTAGATGAAGTTACTCGGAGATCTGATTGGTTCATTTTTTCCCGCACGCATTCTGATTTGCCAGATAAAATATTTTGGTCCTTGTCGTCCAAAAAAGGAGACTTCGGAACGCATGCGTAGAAAGAGTTGATAAAGAGTAGTTTTAGGGCCATATGCGCCTTCTGCCGTGAAAGGCGGCGATGATAATGAAAGAGTAGTAGAGTTGATAATGATCGCCTGTTAATTGAAAAGTTACCTCAAATTCAGCAAGTGTTAAGGTAAATGTTCTCTGCTCTCCAAGCTCCCACTGTGATTGTACCTCAAGAGGACATTCATCTGCTTCCAAGATGCGACCAACTGCAAGAAAATCGTATGATTTATTGCTTCTCTTCTCAGGATTTTGCGCATAGAAGGAATTAAATAAGTCCTATTGCCCTTTGAACTGAGTCAGAGAAATAAAATGTTCTTAAAGAAATAAATCAAACCAAACATTACAAAGTCCAACTTCCGCAACGGAGCAAACCGGAAGTGGAGAATCCTTAGGATCGAGGTTAGTCATTTTTAAGGAAGAGTTACTCGTGGATTGAGTTCAAAGGTCTACTTACACGAGCAACTTTCTTGTGTGTCTTGTCGCGTAACAAAGTCGTTACAAGTTAATTGTTTTCTTCGCGTATCACCACCTTTACTAGTAACAAATTGTCGTATTTCGAAAAGACCCGACGTCTTCTCACTCCAAATTGTGTCAACTTTACGCGCAAAAATGTTGGACCAGGAATGATTCGCGTAAAAATTAGTCTTTCCGATACTGACAAAATTTTCACTTTTTACGGTTGCAAATTGTAAGGATGTTCAACTTACCCTCCGAATCAGACAAACTCTCCACGAGAACAAACTTTTCAGGAGGTTCGTCGCTGCCATAGCCAGACAAGATCATCTTCACAACTTCATCGGCTCTGGTTTGACGAGATATCTGCACGCATTTGTAGGTTGCCTGAAAGATACCAGACACGGTATATCATTTGCATTGCTTTGACGCAATCCTTGTTTCGGTTTGACTCAGTCTAGGTAGCCTTTCATGTACAGCCGTCCCTTCACTTCAAACTAAAACGACCATGTTTATTTAAGGGGGGTGGTGGTGTACACAGGCTAAGTTTAGGCAGTGGCAACTTTTGAGATGAACACCTGGGATAAGGTCGTTGTCAAGACTAGCCTGTTGGCAATACTTTAACGTTAATTCGTCCCCAACGTTTGATTGAATTCTGGACGGTTTTTATTTCTGTGCGGATAAAATTTAATTTAATTTCCGTTCTCTGTGTAAATTCACGGTAATGAAATGAAGCAATAAATATGGCGCCGATGTCCACTGAGTGTCCAACATTTCACGTATCCAAAGAGGAGCCAGTCCGGCAGTTTTTCTTGTACCGAAATGCACGCCGAATTGGAGAATCATAATATACTACCACCCTTTTCTTAACAGTGGCTACAATGTGCGTGTCCAGTTTGGGCGAGGCACGTAAAATTAGTGACATAACCGTGATCTGTCTTGTCTAGGTCTGTTTTTAAGGCTGTACGCCTCGCATAAAGCATTGCTTCGCTGTTATGACATCGACAGATCTTAATCTCATAATTTACATTGCGCGGATAACTCGCAAACTTACCCCAGGGCTAAGTATCCCGGCTTGAACGCGCAAAAGACCTCCACTTCTCATCTTCAGATGCAATCTAAAACGGAAATTAATGCCATTCACTTAGGTGTTAATATCTATATCAGACCTGATCACAGAGCTTGTCTTTGCTTATCTCTCTCGAAATATTGCACAGCTTGAATGTATCGGAATAATTAAACAAACGGTATCATTACGCGCTAGATTATACAATAGTCACTTTTTGTATGATTCACCCCCATGTGTGATATCACGTGGCTTAGTAACATCACGTGAATATGTCTATTATCTTGGTACTCATAATTGAACCGTATCAGAACCACGTAATCAAGTGACTCCGCTAAATGGGTTTTAAGCGATGCCCGGTTTTGGGAAGTGGTAACTCTTCAGCAAAATCAAGTAATACCAAAAAAACTACTGGAAGAAACAAGTAATTCTTCTAAAAAAAGGCAGCGTTGCCTTTTTCTTTCGTTATCTTTTCCATAAGGAAAGTCACAGATGATTAATCTCGCGTAACGTTCCCGTGAAAACCCGCACGATTGATTATCTTGCTCTTTGTAAAATTATTTTTGACTTGACTTTGCTGCAGTGGTCCAGGTTCATCGCTGGGTGGTGTCACTGTGTTGTGTTTTTGGGCAAGACCCCTACATCCACAGTACCTCACTCCACACAGGTGCATAAATGGCTCCCGACAAATTTAATGCTAGGTGTAACCCTGACACAGTCTAGTTTCCCTCCCAGGGGGAGGTGGGGTAGCAATATTCCTACAGGCTTCATGCCATGGAAACAGGAATAAGCTCCGGCTTGATGGGTCACTTGGCCCGATCTAGACTTAACCTTACTTTGCTGCAGAAGCGCCTTGTTTATGAAGAGATGTAAAAAGAAAAATGACACCCCTTAAAGCTCTGTCCGCATAAAAAATACTTATCCGTGTACAAGCTGGTGTATGTTTAAAAAATATACTGATCCGTATGGAAGTAAGTTTATGATGCCTTTCCTAAACGCATGTAATATTGTATTTAGTTCGCTACCTTGGTTGCTAAGTGTTAAAGGGGTAGGGGACGGGTAGGTGGGTAGTCAAGCCTCGTTTTAAAGCGTTGTTTCGTACTTACTTGGCTTCTCCTGATGGTTGACGGGATTGAATCTCCAGAGGACGATCATCATCAGCCAGGACCATCATCTGAGATATGGGAAGACTGGAATCTAGATAGAACATGGATATTGAATTAGAAGGTTGGCGTGCGGGAAGGAACTGGGGCCAAATATTATGTCACCAGGAGCACAAAAGAATCTTCAAAAAACGTCCAGCAAGGACGAAAATGAGTAACATCACAAGAAATCGTGAAGTACTAGGGATAACAGAAGTGCAATGAAGAAAATGTTCGGCGTCGTTCAACAAGGATTAAGATACAAATACCAGGAAGAAAGAACTGAAATGAAATGCAAATGACTGAAATTCGCTTAAAATGGCCGCCGAATTTGATATTCAATCGACCAGACGTCGAGTCTAAAATTCTGTTCTCTTTACCCTATTTTGATCCCTAGTACGTCTAAATTAGCAAGTATTACCTTTCTTTTGCATTCCAGTTTCCACCGCTATGTAAAAAAGGTTTGGATCCTTGGAGTCCGCCTTACACTGAGCCAGAAGCAAACTAACAAGTTCTTTGCTGTATGAGAACAAAAACGGTTCAATTAGTTGTGAAACTCTTGACCCAAAGATTTAGTCATGTACAGCGTCAACCCTCTCTAAACGGACATCACGCCCTTTAAGGTGATGCTAGACCAAACGATTCCCAACGATGATTTTTGGCGCAACACAGCGTTGCAATATTGGAACAATATTGCAACAATGTCGCACCAATGATGCAACGCTGTGTTGCGCTAAAAATCGTCGTTGCGAATCGTCTCACGTAACATCACCTTTAGTGGTTGCTTGGACAAAAAGACGATGAATTTCAAGGATTCACCTCACCACATCAACAACCTTCCAATAAACAGTCATCGTCATTGGCGCAAGAGAACTTGTATGCGAAGCGTGAGCATTTTATTTTTCAGTTACCTTGTCGTATGGTTGGTGATTTCAATAGTTATATCTTCCATGTCAAACTGAAGTCCAGCAGTATGTACTAGAACTTCTCCCTGAAAAAGACAGTTCTTATGTCAATTGCCATGAAGCGCCTCTAACATAAACAATGAGGAACGATATGCATCAGTCACTAAAAATTACCATGCTGCTCATAGTGCCGCACAGCACACTTACTCCAATATACAATTTTATTGTAGCTCTCCAGCAAAGTAATGCTCAACATTAACATGGACAAAGGTGTGCAGCATTATTTAGTTTACAGACATGGACCCCTCTGGGAAATGAAAAAGAATTCGAACTTCTAGACTTTTCAAGTCATCCTATTGGACGGCTTTATGCATATATGTATTTGTACATTTTACTGTCCTTGATGTTTCTTCTTACCTTTTCCACTTCTTGACACATTTGGTCGTTCTGTTCATGAAGTACCTCTTGGGGCGTTTTGCGCTCAACAACCTCTATACCTCGCGAGGAGGGAGTACCTAGAAAACAAAATGTCATAAAAGCTGATAAAACTAATTCAATTTAACACTGTCAACTCGTGCCTTTAAGTTTTTTTCTTAACCCGAGAAAGAAGATCGAGAGCGCGCGGTGTGGAGGGTCCCACTTTACGCCACACCTCTTGCACCACGCAAAAGAAGGACCAGAAAGATCTCTTTTGCCTCTTCCCTTTTGACGGGGGGTGAAGGGGGGGGGGGGGGGGCACAACCATTTAACGTAAAATTGAAGTTGCTTTCCGTAAGTCTGTCAGTTGAGTGCCAAGGTCATTGAGGCAGCACTTTTGTGTCTTCAATCAAGACGTAAACGATAGCAGGAACTGATTCAAGGAACCGTTATTATTTTTTATAACAGCTATGCAATTTCTCGCGCAGTCATTGGTCAAGAGCTACTGTTTACGAGAGTGTGGGCTATCAAAAAATTGTCGTCAGTTTGTTGAATAGTTCAGTGCATACAGTCCAGGCCACATCACTGGAAATCATAAGAAAGGGTAACCTGCGACGTTTAAATGCATAAGAAAGTTTTTCTTTCAAAGTTTACCTTTGTTTCTCGTGATTTGGGAGACGAAAAAGAAACATTTTGGAAGCAGATTTGAGGGATCAATTTATGTTTCTGGGAAGCTGTCCACCTACCCCTCCCCTAAGCTAACATTAACACTTACTTCTCATTCAGGGCAAAATGTTGGCTTAGGGGAGGGGTAGGATTGTAGTTTTCCAGAAACCTAAATTGGTCGGATTTGAGCTTACCTTCATTAAGTATTTCTTTAAGGAAGAGGTGCGCATTGCCGGGGGGCCTCTCAGGAAGGGACCTTTTCTTCGTTCTTGGACTGATCCCGTTGTTATTATTTCCTGGCACATTTAACCGAAACTGCCTTTCATCTGGGACTGGACCCCCAAACAATTTCAGTTCGTGAACAGCGGCAAGGAGTTTGTCACGTGTTGTTGGATTTGATACACCTAGGCGATCTGCAAACAAGATTTTGAGATCCGTTAGTCCAGCAACAACGATTCCATTTGGCACTTAGTTGAACAGATTTCAAGGAGGTTGGACATTTCAATACTTTCTACCACTTTAAATAATCTTTTAGTACTAGTGGCATATTACCGGGGAAAATCTGGTGGTATATTTACCCAGGCAAGAAAAACTGGAGAAACGAGAAACTAGAAAGTCCTTCTACTTTGTTGAGAGGCATCGAATGATATTCTTCGCAGACACCTAGAACAGTTTTATTTTAGTTTTAAACTGCATTTTAATCAGTGTGATTTTTGTGGTGGGATCGTAACAGAACCGTTGCGAATATCGGATATATTTGCGCATCTTTACGATTGGTAAAGGTCAAAAAATTTAGTTGAGACAAACACATTCCAAATGAATCTACCTAAATTGTAATGAAACAGAGTTTCAAAGACTGGAAGTGTTTAATTACGTTTTATCATCAAGAACATCTGATACTTGAACCGCTCGCCATTTGTAGGTGATAAGTTCTATTTCCCTCTTTCGATAAATTCACTAATTTACTACTGACTGAATGCTTTGTTTGATAATATCTTGGTTGCCAACGTTTTGTTGTCATAACTCATAGTGGCTCTTCTTATCTTTGAAAAAAATCTGTTTATCCCGATGATGTGGTACTTCGTAATTTATTTAGTACTATTACAATATTGAGGTTCGCTATCAATCGAGAAAAATAGTATCTGCTCTGTGAAAAAACAAAATTAAAATTGTTTTGAGTACAATCCCAGCGAGAGAGAAGGTGTAGACATTCGGGGAATATTTTGTGGGTACCTCCATTATGACAATCTGCTAAGAGTCTGTTCAAGATGCGGTCGGACTAAAGTTAAATGTCTTTCGTTACTGTTTTATATAGCTATGACATATCCTTATTGTATATGACTTGAAGCACATAAATCTACGTGCAGGCAAATCAATAAGAAGAAATATTACAGTCATTATGAATATCATGTTCTCCCTCGCGCCCCATTAGAAATCAGTATTTTTCATTAGACCTTACTGCACAGTAGAGAAGCACTTAAAGCTCTTGACCGTGTCTTGCAACATGACTGATACATATAAACTCCTTGATTTAGGAAGACAAATATTAGTGTCTCTGATCTCTCACGTTTCATCTTTGGATCTCAAAATATGTAATGTAAGCGTTTATCTAAGCCTTTAGTACTTTTTTGCTCTTTATCGGAAACACTGTCCACAAACATCAAACCAGAACGGCAATCTTGTGGTACTTTCTCCTCGTTGAACTCAACGAATGGTGGTTAAACGGGAACTGTTGTATTTCGATACAAAGTGCTTGTTTATCCCTCGTATCTTAATCACGTTTACTGGGACTTTACATAAAAAAAAACTGTTACCTTTGCTTAGTCCACAGTCTGAGAAGAAGAGACTCATCTTTTCAAACGTTGTGGTCGCTATAATCAGCTCCTATAAAGGTTTTTCCTGCTAAGAATACGTTGAACAACGGCGGATGATTTCGATACCAGTCAGATGTAATCGATATCAGGCAAATTCCACTGCGGATTTCACTCGTAAAATGCACCAATCATGGGGAAAATTGATTTCAGACTATAGGTATGTGTATGGACGAATAAGCAACGTGCGAACAACTTCGCCGTTTTATATATCGAAAAACAAGAATGTGTTTCGTATTCCAGCAAGACTTGCCTTTAAGTGCGAAACCAGCAAAAACTATACTGTCTTCGTGTTGAGACAGTAACCACCAAACAAATTTAATCAATCCCTAATACACCGGAAAGTCGGTTCTATTTAAAAAACGTTTCGCGGCATCTTTTAATCACCTCGCTAATCCGAACCCAAACCGACAGATCCGAAAGTCAAAGTAAGTCACGCTTGTGGACAAATCTCTTTCCTAAACTTTACGAAACTTAGTTCCCTCGCTCGCCCATCGATATTTGCTACATGTTTGCCAGACGTATTTGTTAGATCTTTCTTCTCGAGAAATTATAACTTGTTAATTTCACAATCACGACTAAGAAAGCCCTGTTTTCGTGAAGTCACGCGACAGTGTTACAGAACACGCGATATTAATGAGTTAAATATTTACAGCAACTATAAATCAGACAACTAAATTAACGCGGCGCTTGTGAGGTTTTCCGAATTTTTATTTGTTGAAGTTATTCGTTAAGAATGTCTTTTTTTTTTCTCAGGCGTATAGTACTGTTACTGGTTGAGTTTAAAGTAGCGATTTTACATCTTTCAACTTATAAATATTGGTAGACTCTGCGGCTTTCGTCTGTTATGTTGGAAAAGGCAAGCTTTTACGATCAGATAGCTGATAAATTATGACTGCCCATGTTAGCAAATTGGCGGGCAGTTGCTCGTGATTAAATTTCTGGATAATTGGTCACATCCAAAGAAAATAACACAAGAACAAAAACTGAAATAATGTCCATTTGTGATAGAATGCTTATTCAAAATAATGAAGTAAACACTCCGAAAAAAGTCATACATGATCACTGGTCGTGGTTAGTGTTTTTTTTTTTTTTCTGTCCTGTTTCTATTTTTTACTTTCCTTTTTTTATTATTATTTCCTTTACAATACTTTATTTCGAAAGAATGTCAGTGAATTAACAGTAATTCATATGACGTCAAATTTCAAATGCACACCTGTTATAATCAGTGAGGACAAGCACGATTTGCGTTCGTGATTTGATCAGTGTGGTGCTCATAGAATTGTTATAGTAATTATAAAGGCACAAGACTTTGCACTCAGGCTGTAATTATAATTACAATAAGGAGGCAACAGTGAACTGAATTCCAAAATTTCGGCCGTGTCAGTTCTCCCTTTCATGTCCTACTTAACTGAATTCCCGACAGTCTAGAACAGCTAATTTCTTGCCATAGTAGTTTGAACTAGTGCAGTACTTTAAAAGTATTAATTTCGCCGAAATATTTTCCTCTAAAAGGGCCATCAAGAAGGCTTGTTAATGGATATGACATCATTCATAAGACCAAACAAAAACCGAATGAAATCGGTTTGTTTGTCTTCCTAAAATCATGCGATCACGTAATTTGCTATGTGGTATCTGAGTAGAGATAAAAGTTACCAGTCAGTTTTCTCGTCAGCAAATCTCTCTAGCTCTCTCTTTCTTTTGTTGGTAAAGTTTGGAAATTTCAGGTTAGCAGGCCACAACCGTGTAAAGTTTATTCAATTGACTCCTTGCTGTTAAAACTGTTGTTGTTCAGATAATTTTTATTTAATTCAACCGTACGACGTGACCTATTGAAAGGGATGTTGACACACACTTAGAACATTGAGGGCACGAAGAAAGTTACTAGATACGTAAACAACTAGTGTTGCCTGGGGGGGGGACTCCTTTATATAGGCAATAGTTGTTGGGGGGTGGGACATTATTTTCGAGAAGCCTAGGTCTTAAAATAAAGGTATCCTTTTTGGTATATGTGATCCTTTGACAGGATAACGGAAAATTACGGGACTTATAAACTGCTGCTGTTATAAACCTGAACCACTTGTTTTCTTACCTACACCGATTTAACTAGGTTTGCTCCTCTTGTTCATGAAGGGAGAAGAAATGTTAAAAAACCCCTCCGGTCAGTAGGAATAGACTACTTAGGCAGTTACTGGGTTAACCTGTCGTAGTATTTCAGTAAATGATTCAACTTGAGCTTTTTATCTATACATTGTCCTCAGATGCGGAACAAACTTGCACAAAGGTCTGTAAATCTTAGTGAACAATATCGGAGCGAACTGTGGCCCAATCAGAAGCGTTTTATACTTGAATGAGCTAGTTGAAAGATTCAAATCGCATGGATTTTTATCTCAGTACTGATGTGAAGTTAGTTTAGGATCTTCAATACTTAAAAGGAGAACGTCCTCCGCTCAAAAGCTTCCATTTTAAAAGATTTTAAATATTAAACCACTCTGCTTTCGGGATACTTTTGACTTGTAGACAAGATTCACTTTATGGTTACGCTTTGTGATTTTAATCATCAACGAGAATTAGTTGATCAAGTTGCCAGAAGAATCATGAAGGAGGCAGGCCTGATCTCTTTTCTTAATGTCAGCCAATTTCGCTATTAATTTCTCGAGAGATAGCAAACTTCAAGAGTGGACAAGTTATGGAAACTCTACCTAAACCTTGAGTTTTCACAATGCCTTGTTCATTCACGGTCAGAATAATATTTACATGTACTAATAATATCTACTCGCGTGATAGGAAAAAAAAGGTATTTATAAGCTTTCTTGTCGTGTAGGATTCAAAGATAAGCCACCGTTAATCCGCGTGACAAATATGGATGAACAGTCTTCAGGGACGTGTCGATTTGTCCGTTGGTAATGAATGACGATTATGTTTATAGTTTATGACGGCTACCTATCTAGCACTAATTAATAGTCCTATATGAGTGCTTTATCGCGATTAACAGAAACAAACATTCTAAGTGAATACATGAGAAGTGTTATAGTTTTGATCCCTAAAGCAAAGACTTAGGTTTGAAAAGGCTCTATATCGATATCTGTATGGACAGGATATAAATAAGCATATCTTTGTACATAGTCACTGATACTGTGTAAGAGGTATGAGATACTTACCAAGATACTGGCCTGTGGTCTGTAGCAGGAGTTTTCCATCGAGTTTTTTGTCTGAAACCGAAACAAATTTCATTGATCTTCTTCACTGTTAAATTTGGACTTTTCAAGTTTTAAGAAAAAGTTTCAAATTAAGTATGCCGCCGAGGCGAACGATTTAAGTTCAGCAGCACATGCATACCACGAAAATGTCGCCAAAGTTTAGAAAGTCCCTTTTGTTTGAGCCATCTGTAAACTTCTCTTTCATTCCATTCCTTCACTGGATGTCTCTGTATTCCTTTTTGCGAGAACATATTTCTTTTTGATCTGTTCGATGTGACCTTTGCTCACGCGAATGCAACTAAACAACAATTCTTCATTCGTGTAGCTATTTTAACCTTTTTCATACATCATTTTCCGGCCTGATAGTTTAGCTAGTCACGACATATCTCTCCCTAAATATACCCTTTTCAGCGTCTTAACACAAACAGAACCAAGTCTTTTGTATTCGCTTTGTCAGATGCGAACTCGTTCCGTGAACGACTCCTTTCATTGCTAAGAAGTTAATCGCTGCTTTTTAAGCCGATCCCTCAAGGCACTATGATATGCTTCGATTACCATTCATACACCGCACAATTTGAATGGCGGATAAATCTACTTGGCAGGTTTAAAGAAAAGAACAAAGGATTTGCTTAATTGCTACAGAAAATACATCCGTTTATTTGTTGATCTTTCCTGATTGTTATTGCTTAGCTAAGTTTGCTCTTTGTGAACTTTAGCTTCCCCCAGCTAAAACAACAAGCTTTGTTGATGCGTAAGTGGTAAAGATTACTCAGCCCACCAACTCGCCCCCGAACTTTGGCATGTTAGAAGTCACGAAAAATCCTGCATCCCTTTAACCATCCAGGAAGTCAGTTCGTTTACAACAATATTCCAGTATTCTTGGTTGTCCCTTACAATATAAACAATCGATATGTAGAGTAGTTTTTCCCTCCCATTCGGTGACAAAATCATTGACCCTACAATTTGACGTCATGATGACGTTTCTATCAATCACGTGCCATGCAAATAAGCTCGTTATCTCCTACTTGATCGACTGACAACGCACTTATAAAGATAAAAAACATTAACCTTTTGAGTCCAATGGTGGCCAAACATCAAAATTTGAGAAAAATAACGAACTTAAGTTTATAAAATTCTATAAGACAAAGAGTTCCACGAGAAAACTGCTAAAAAGAATTTTTTTTGTTTCACGGAATGGTCACACCATGAAATTTTCGTTCCGACACAATTTAGAAGTTATTAACACTTCTGGATAATCGATCGGCCCTAGAGGTGTAGAGGTTAATGCCAGTTTTTAAGCGTTCAAAACGGCTTTCCTGAGACTTTCAATTCGATTAAAATTCTTTACATTGCACAGATTTTTCCAACGTCCTTGTCACTTTATAAGCATCGGCACTTGTCATGTAACACTGCTCAACAGAGTGTGAAAAGGTAACTGGAATACCAAGATACCAATATAAAACATTCAAAAGACATTACTTATACCGTTCTCCAGCTCCCCTTTGTAAAAATCTAAGAAATGATTAGTACTATTAAAACGTTCTGCAGAAGAGGTTCCATCTGAATGGTAACACCACAGGATTCTGTCCCCAAATTAAAAAGTAATTTGCAAAACAATTGCTAGCGGCATTTCTGTGGCGCTAGGAACTCAGAAAAACTGTTTTTTCGGAACCGCGCGTAGCCTGCGAGCTAGCTCTCTAATCGGGGGTTATTGTGAAAAGTACACGCGCGTGCGGCACGCGAGAGCAGCCGCCACCTCCTTGCGCGGCTCGCTTCTCTCGCCAAAATAGAGAGCTTACTCGCGCAGCGACTTATTCTTGATGATTAGAGTTACATGTAGCACAAATGTGGTTTGAGAGAATTTCATCTGTTTTTAATTTTTATAAAAATGTTTTCGGTACTACCTGCGCTTATGCGCTACTCTATATATAGCCCGAGTCTGAATAAAGTTCATACCCACATACACACAAATAATACAGTATTAATTTTGTCAGGTTTCCAATTTAAGTAATACCTATATTGAAATTTTCATGTTCCACGAGTCCTCTAGTGACCATTAGCTAACGAAAGAGCCAAAGGATTCTGGGGAGGAGCGTTGCGTGACGATACTAAAAACGGCTCCGAGCCCTAATGGCAGGTTATTCATGCAGTTGAGGCTGGAAAGGGGAGGTTATTACTAGTCTGCGCAAACACTCTAAAAAAAAATTAAAAAAACAAATTAAACGGGCAAGTGGCCCGGACAAGGTTGGCCCAGGAGCCTGGGGCCGATATTGTCTCATGTCGTTTACATGACAGTACATTCATCAGTACGTTCATCAGCAAGCAAGCACATGGTAAGCCTTTCATAAGCCTTTCTTCGGGGTCTTCTTGCGGCATCTTCTTGGTGTCGTTCTTGGTCGCTGTCGCTGAAATTGAATGCCTTTTATAACCAACACGTTTTTCCAAGTTAATTCTAATTTTGTCGTGCCCAAAACAGTTCTCGTAAGGCTTATTAACGACGTAGAGTGTTGTTTCAAAAAACAATGGTTGTACCAAAGTTTAAAGGCGGGTCATCGGTCACTGAACGATCCATGTTTGAGTCAAGTCATTCAGGAACAACGTATGTTAACAGGTACACTGTATTAGATACATGCAACTACCTGGTCTTTGTATTTTTTCTTACTACCATTAGTTACGTTCTAAGACCCACGTTCAAATAAAATATAGTCAATATACATATTTAGCTGGAACGAGAAAGGCACAAGAAGAAGCAAAATGTTTTAAGGTGGCTGAACACAGTTTTAACAGTTTGTGAGCATATGTCATTTGCAAAATCATGGCAAGAGAAAGGTTGCAGCTCACAAGCTGAAACTTGGCAAGTGAAAAATATAATGATGAAAGATTTTGATTGACAGGTAAAATGTGACGTTTTCGTAGTTTCCATGGCAACATGAACGATTGAATACAACCTTAAAAGTTTACTTTTGCTCACAGCCTCCTCCTCAGGCGCTTGCTTTTTGGCAGATCGTCACTGATGAACTGCAGGGACCATGGGAAGGGTACAGACCCATTGTCTCCTCCCCCTTCCCTTTGCGCCAAGCACAATGAAAAGAGAGACGTCTGGGTGCGAGACAGTTTTGCTCAGTTTACATAAAATTCACTCATTGGATTTTCCTATAAACTTCCAAATAGCTTACTATAATTCATCATTACCATTTGAAACTTACTTGACCAAATTTTAACAGACGGGTTTTTAGATAATCAACAATATAATTGTACTGTAATTATTAAATGTGTCACAAAACTCGTCTGTTCAACTTCCATTTTAAAGTTCTGATTATTTAAAATACGATAAAAGTAAAAACTCTGCCTAAAATCACAAACGCCAAACTGTGTTCAGCCACCTTAAATATCTTTGTATTTTTTCTTACCACCCAATAGGTCCCGACACTCCTTCCCTTGGTAAAACTGTCAACTACAAGATGGTCGCTTTACCAGGGGCCCATTTCTCGAACGTCTCAGTAACTTTTCGTGTCCCAAGGCAAATTTGGAAATCAAAACTTGTTGAATAGTAGCACGGTTCCTAGCTCACAAACCGGTCAATTTTGTTTTCTTTTTTAACTGATTCTTTCATTGTGTCATTTTCAAAATTATTGAAACTTTTGATCTTGAATGCAAACACGGTAAACGTAAAGGTACTTTTTGGGCCCAAAAAGTCATCGGGACTTTGCTAGGGAAAAATTAGGAATCTAATAACCTGTGCATGAGGTATGTGTAATCATGACGAATTTTACAAAAGTAGAATATTGGATCAGGGGATGCATAATAGTGGGGACAATGGTCAACAGTGCACAATGCATTTAGCTCCAGGTGGCTGCCAAATTTGCATGCTTTGCCATTTTCCTATCCTTTTGTAGAAGGGGCACCAACTTCAACCAACTTCAACCAACTCTAAACCACACCAAAATGCCAAAGACCATACTCCCCATACTAAAAATTTACAGTAAGTTGGCACCCCAAAACAAAGTTTGTCAAAAATACTCCACTGCGTTGTTGCAGCTGCAGTAAGTTATTCTGAAAATAAAGAAATTAGTATGAATTATATTCAAAACAATGATAGTATGCATGAGCAATAGTTCTTTTAAAGTTGGCAAATGCAAAATAGATGAAGCTTGCTAAACTATGGTGGACATTATCTTAAAATGGTATCATGTCTGTTAAATAAGTGGTTATTCATTATTTAATTATTACAAACAAGTCATGCATTTGTTGTGATTGGGACACTGAGTCTCAAAGAGAGAAAGCAGGACTGGTTTACCTTGTTCGTTATCTTATTAATCCTTTAAGCCCCAATATCCACAAACAAATTCTCCAAACTGATCTCTATACTTTTCTTTAAAGAATAAGTTGAGAGAGTTTGATAAAAGATCATAGCATTTTCTCTTTGGTGATCATTTAATTAATTGTCATGACCTAATCTCTTGACATTGTATGGATATTGTTAGGAGAAAATTGATGTTGGTCACTATTGGGTTAAACTTGTTATGTAGCACATTAATCTTGGATTCACTAATCATCAATCCAAAGACAGCATGGGAGGCTGTAAAGCGTTTTAGAAGAATGAACAGGTCTTCCCTCCCCTGGTGCTGTGCCTTGACGTGGCGGGGAGGCTTGTGTGCCCTTATTACCCTTAGAGCTTTGATGGCGGGAGCTTATGCTCCTAGCAGGTTCAACCATGCCAGATTTGTTCTAGGGGAGAGGGGCCAGACTAAACAGCACCCTGGTCCTCCAGGTTGGGTGTTTAGTGCAGGACTAACAACCCTGCCTTGTAAAACACCTCATGTTAAACCTCATTAGGAAAAACAGGATGGAAGAATATAGTAAAAGCCTTGCATGAGGCTCTGCAGGAAGAGGACAATGCGTGAGGTAATGATCTTCAGAAGAATTAGCTATAAATGCAGAATCAACTGCCTGCAACAAATCTGTCGCCATTATCTTGGACACCAGCATACTAAAGGAATTTCATCACTCTTTGTGTAGCTGACAAAGAAAACTTTTGACTGCTAACTGACAAGAGATTGCGTAAGACACAACCAGTCATGCATGGAGATGCTACAGAAATTGGATTCCCTTCATTTGATACCCAACATGCATACTCAGTCAGTTCTCATACTGACTGTTCCTTTACACTTTTTGCGATCGCTGCTCCACAACTGCATCCCTGATGCCTGCCCCATACATTCCAGATACCAGACTGGAAACTTGTGGAAGATACAACTTGTATGAGATTGGACTCCTTACAGTGTCTGGTTGCTTGTGTTTGACTAGATTCCAATGAAAGCTGAACTTGTGGATATGGTGTAGTGGTGTTTGGCCGATGAACTGTTTCGACTTGGGGTGCGTTGACCTTTGGGATGATAAGGATTTACTAGGATCGGAGTTCCCAGACCACTTGGATCATGGTAGACCAAATGAACCGATGAATTTTTGTCCAGAGTGGAGTCATCAGTTCATTTGATCTTCCATGATCTGAGAGATCTGGGATCACTTATCCTTA